GAAACGAGATAAACAAAAATCACAATCTAATTACAGTGAGAGGAATAAGAGAATGACATTTATAATTCAATATAGTATTTGTATTTACAAGCATTTATACAACTGCGGACATTAAACATGGGGTTCAAGCTTATTACTATATTAGGACATGGAGCAGAACAATCAGATCATATAATGCACCAAATATAAACCTTGTAAACATCACATCTCACCTTTTATCTTAGATATCAGTCAGATTAAGTTTCTATTCGACAGGTTCATAACATATTTGTCCTTACTTTAAGGCATAGGTATCAAGCTTAGGAGTGAGCCTGTTATAAGATTTTATTTTAAATAAGCCAGATTTTTCAGGGAGGTTTCACTCCAACAAGGAAAAACCTACTCGTCACAGCAAACCCCCAAGCAAAACGTCCCCACTTGTCTCTGAATCAGCTCAGCAAGCCGTACAGTTATAAGATCTCCTCCACTCCGTGCGCAAAGATCATGACCAGGCCGGGTTCCAGGATCATATCCTCCCCCATATGCTGATTCTCACAGGCCATCACCACCACTGCCTGCTTGCCAGGAATACGCTTGGCAACATAGTTCTCGTAGTAGCGCCTGTTCATCTGTCGTGTCTCGAGCGTGGCTAGTCCCTGCGGCCAGTTACGCTCGTGGGCGTTCTCGATCAGGTCATTCACAATTGAGAGAGGACAGCCGCTGTCGATGAGGGAGCGTTTGATGACTGCCTGGAGCACGGCGTCGGGGGTGGAGATCATGCCACCCCAGCGTGTCACTCTTGCGGGCTGCATGGAGTTCACCCACCTGAAGAGAAGATAAACCACAAGAAATTAGAGACACAGCTGCATCTCCCTGATAAAGTTTATATTATTTTATATTAGAATACAAAGCAGGGGAGATAATGAAATTTCACTTACTCCAAGATCTCATTGTACTCGATGCTCTCTTCAAGGTTTTGCAGGTTAGGGTTAGCACTGCGGATTGCTCTCATGTAGGCTTTTAGCAGCTGAACGTCCCGTTTCTGGAATTTAAAAAGCATCATTCAGAGACGGATTTCACAAAATCTCCTAAAAGTAAGGAATTTATTTCAATTAATTAGCCTAGTGGCTGCCTTGAAAGGCTGCATGGATCAGAATGTGAGATATTCACATATCAATTTTCTTCAATTTCTTTCTTTCCTTCCCTTCACTCACTTTTATTAGATTTTCCTCAGTTGTATTAGTTTTGTCAGATTCCAATAGATTTCAATCTAACTGTTAAGAATATATTTGTAATAGCAGTGCCTTATATGGTTACATGATAATCATATATAAATATTCTTCTACTTCTACTACTGTATCAAACAGAACATATATAGAGACACGCATCCATACCAACCTGTAACACACAGACATATCAAACTCAAGTGATCAGTCAGGCAAACAGTCTACCAAACAATAACCACAATCTGTACCCAAATGCTTTGAGCAATTAATAAACCCAAATCCCAAAAAGCATTTTAGTAACTGAATTAGAGTGAACCACAGTATCTACTCAGTATAACTGTCAATATGAACCCATTCCACATTTGTAAGTAACATTATCCGTACTGGGCTCACAAAGCGGCTAATAAATCAATAAGCAGGCAAATGTTCTTACTTGTTCCCCCAACTGGTGTTTATGCTCAGCCACAGTTTTCTCCAGCTCCGAAATCTTTGTCTGTTGCTGCTGGACGACGCTCCGCAAGTGTTTGATGCAGTTATGGTTGGGCAGCTCATCTTTGGGCATCTCAAGCCTGCAAGAGTGGTGGTGGTGAGAAAATAACAGGAGAGAAAATAGAGGCTTTAATACCTACCATACAGAGGACAGGTCATACATTGCAAATCATATATTCATAATAATTTACAGCAAAAATTTAATTTATTATTTTTTTAGGTCATTTTCTGTCACATGAAAGCCACTCACCCACAACCCTCCTCACAGTTGACAGGCCTTTTGGGGTTGTGCTCACAGTCCTTGAGATGTGACTGCAGCTGGTCCAGCCGCAGCGTGGCCGTACAGCCAAAACCAGCATTGTCACAGCTGATCTGAAGTTTGGACAGCATGTTGCGCATGATGCGGGGCACAGGCCGGAGGTGAGCTAGTGTCACTACTGTGCGGTCAACAGGACAAATCTGTTGCTGCGCAAACCACTGTGTTATACAGGCATTGCAGAAGGCATGCTCACAATGTGGAGCCTGAAATGAAAATGAGAACACAAATTACACATTTGAAAAACGCTGATACAATTCAGAGTGGGTATTCTTTCAGACAGACACTTACCTGCACTGGTTCTTCGAGCACTCCACTACATATAGGGCACAGCAGGTCTTCATCCACCTCCCCTTGGAACCTCGTAACGTCGTACCCCATGGTACATTACTGGGACCCGCAACCTCCTGATCAACACACAACCATGCAAATTAGGTTTTTCAGACAACTTGACTACATTAAATAAAAGGACTGAAGATATTTCAGACACACACACAAATGCTTTCGGACTACCTCACTCACAAAAGGCCTCAAATGCTTCCATTCAGCTCTTGATGTAGTGCTGATTCGTCATATCTGGCAGAAACAATCTGTCTGGTGAAAGAGACACAGACAATCCCTGCAAAAAAAATTATATCATCACATGGTTATTTAGTTTTCAAGAGACTATAGGGTAGCTGCTGGTTAGATGAACTTATGTTATGCAATGTAATCTAACCCCACATGATGAATATAATGCAGTTTATCTGCAGACAATCAGTGATTTCTAACCTTCCTCGTCCTCATCAGACACTCTCTCTACTAGGATAACATTATAAAAAGGTAAAAACGAGGGGAATATTGCCATCTAACGAACACGTGTAGTCTTTTTTTTTTTATAAATTAAATGTACTCCATGGTATCAGCCATATTCAGACACATCCAAGAGCCCAAAAGCGACGTCCTTGATCGGTAACGTTGTGTGGGTTTCACGAACATTATCTCCCCGACTTTTGTGTTACCAGCCGAGCTCCAACATCTTGAGGAGAGCATCCTGTCGTCCCAGCTGACTGGTGGCTGACCTAATTTCAGTGAAAGCAGAACATACCGGTCTGGAGGCGATTTACAGATCCCCTTTTTTTCCTCCCATCGCACTCAGCATGCCTTGCAAAACAAGCTACCCCTCCATGCTAACAGTAGCTACGTGTATGATGTTGGTCCGCTGTCAGTGTTGCATTAAATCGCGCTGCCTTCGGGGTTTATAACGAGACGAACCGGTGTCGTGTTGAATAAACAGCCCAAATGCTTCTCTTCAGGTGTCAGTACCATGTATTTAAAAGGTGGCTAACGCTTGCTAACTGGATAACAGCAGCATCGCCCACGGTACCGTTGGTTTCCTCTGGATATTAGCCACCGAGCTAACCAGACAGACCTCAGTCTGGACAAACTGCACCGACAAATGGCTGCTTACAATCAGCCACGTCGGGAGAAAACATTATAACCGAGTCGTATACTTACTTGAACACACAGTAAAACAGATCCTAGTCACGATGTTTGTGTATTTTCGGGGCGTCCTACTGTTGCTAGTAGCTCCCTAGCCACGTCCTGTGCTAACGTTACATCCTACACTTCTGTCGACGTTACGCAGGCGGGCGATGACGTCATGACGCACAGGGAGCTTTTGATTGGTCTTTTAAAAATCTACCTCTCTATATTTTACCACATGTTTGAGGTGAATCTGTTTTATTTTATTTTTATAAACATGTGGTTAAATATGTATTAAAGGACCTTAAAGGAGAAACACAGCATATGTTACACTGAAAACTTACTTGTAAAGGAATAACAGTAGGAAGGCATGATGAGCTGTGAATATCTGTTTCTCAGTTTGTGAAAGTGTGCATTTTAATTCAATACATTCCAATATCAGGTTTGGCCGGATACGATAACAGCATGAAACTCCTCTTTCGCTGCCATGCACTGTTGCATTCCTCTGTATGAGGTAGAAGGTAAACAGGAAGGAAATGGACAGCAGCCTGCATGCAGAGTGTGTGAGAATATGGCTTAACAGAAGAGGGAGCTGACTATAAAACATGAGTCATCACTCCCTAACAGTGTGATTGCATGTTGCAACACCCCCCCCAAAAAAGCAATTTCATCACATTGCACGATTACTCTTAAAGAACCATTTGGTTGTGTTAAAACTGAAATCCAGCCCCAGTCAGTAGTAGTGTGAGCACAGTTAATGCACAATGGGTTACTGCAACATTTATGCTTCTTTCTTTTTGTGGTTGCCACAGTATGTAGTACAATATGTTCTTTAATCCTATATGGGATTTACACTTGAATAGAAGGACTCATTCATTGTACTACATAATTATTTTCATGTCTAAGTGCAGGTCAGTATTTCATTGGCTCCTCTATGAGCCCTTCTTAATGTCTCACAAGGTGTCTGAGAAATACTACAGGTTTGTATGACATTAGAGTGGCCTTTGTACATTCATTTCTAGTGGATGTAGCCTTGGGTCCGGGAGAGAGAGGCCATCGGGTGGTGCCCAACCTTCTCAGAGTGTTTGAACCACAACACTCTCCAGTTGTCAGTAGGACATTGGAAGCAAAAAGGTGTAAACTTCAAACCGTTCTGGAGATGTATATTGACACAGTAACTCAATACCCTTGAGAGCTAAACGTGTTATTGTCTGAAACACACCCAACACTTTCCTTCAGTAAATCCAATCAAGTTCTTTTCTTTGCTTCATCATCTCCGTCAGTTCCTCATTTCAATCAAGATAAACACCTTAGATCTGAAACCAAGAACCTCTTCCAGTAAAGACATTTTCACATTTAAATGAAGACTTGACTCAAACTATTTTTTTAGATAAAGAAGATTCTTCAGCTTCATGCAGCTTTTAGTTATTCCAGTTGATTCAACATAACTAATAAACAGGATAAAACATGTGAATATGAGACCTGAACAATTACTTATCAAAAGAAATAACTCCAGACTCAGGAAATATTTAGCAATAGCACTTTATTGAACACAAACAACCCTAAGCCACAATACTGAATGACAAGACCAATTGGCTGCAGCAAACATTTTATAAAATAGATTCAGGTTTAATGTCACTAAATTGTTTTTTTTTTTCTTTTAACGTCAGAAAGACAGATGCAGGTTTTTCCAAAACAGTGAATGATCTTTTACATATTTAACATTTTTGTAACAAATTATCATTCACATGTTCACACAAAGGAATAACAAGGCAAAGTGCTTTCAGGATTGCATTGTCGAAAAAACAAAACAGAAAAATGAATGGCTTGAGGTTTAGGTGAGACAGTGGGTGGGTGACGGGGGAGCGGGGGGGTGGTCCTGTCCTGGATTAGGCATAGGTGGGTGGGGTGAATGGGTGGGGGGCCCTGGTCAGAAAACCTCAAACCTTTCACCTTGTCCTGTACCCCTTGTAGTCAAACTGAATGTAAAATGTCAGGGCAGTGTGGAGATCTAAATCTAGCAGAATTTGGTTCGCAGTGGACAAATGGATTTCGAAGGCATACGGCTAGAGGGGCTCAAACTCGCCCTCGTACAGAATTACAAATCCACCTCACTATCTTCCTCGTGACAACCTGTGGTATCATTACAACTGCAGGGCAATCGATGGCTGACCCAGAATGAAGCTGTAAACGTTGAAATAATGTACACTATAGGGCTAGACAGGGAAGTATACGCACAGAGGAAACCAAAGAAATACATGGTGTTAAAAAAAAAAAAAAAAAAAAAGCCAATGCATGGTTATTTATTTTCCCAAGAAGATGAATCCTCTGACCATTCGCCACTGAATGTTAAAGGGGATAGACTATCATCATAATCTGCATCATAACATTGTCTGGCTTCACATTCCAGTGGTATTTTGTCGTATAAATGCTTCTCATAAATATTTTTTTTTTTTTTTCAACGTCAAATAGACATATACACATACAGCACAACCAAGCACACTTTTTATGTATAACTACCATTGCTTATGATAAATCTGTATTCCCGTACTGTGAATAGACTTTTTTTTTTTTTTGTCAGAACAGGTGGAGAGACAAAAACAATACTCAAGGCTGCAAAACAAGGAGGTAGGAGAAATGCTACTGAAAAACAGCAAGTGATGCTAACATGATCGTTCACTTAAAAATAATAGTGAGACACACCAGGCTTCGGCTCGACTTCTTGAACCATGCTAGTGCCGACAGTTGCTATTCCAGCCGGCATTTGAGGAGCGGTTGCGTTACAACTGTAGCGTTTAATTTTCACCTTTATTTTTTTTTGTTAAAAATAATGTGCAATATTGATTTGACCACCAAATTAAAAAAACATCCCAGACAAAAAAAAAAAAAATCTCAAAATTGTATGTCTCCTGATTGCTCCAGATGCAGACTGGTGTAGCAACTGTGGTGATTTACTAACTGAAGAAATCTTAGAGGCCCATTCTGCCTTACAAAAAAAAAAAAATAATAATAATTTGAATAGTGTCTTAAACCCTATATTTCCCGACTGGTCATATTCTAAAATTGGCTAACTTCATTGGTCCTGTTGTCATCACAGGTCTAGAGACCACGCTGCTGGTGATGGCATTGACTCCTTTACACACAGTAGAATAGTATATTTGCAGATTTTTGTAAATGAGGTAATCAGCGTTAGGCTAAATAGGGAACCCTGTCATTGACACACATGCCCACTTCATTCACCAGCAAAAAAAAAAAAAAAGCAAAAAGATTTCCTCAATCAGTGGGACAGGACTGTGGAAAATGAAATCAACTTTGGAATGTTGGGTGGACGAGCCAACTTTTTTTTGTGTGTGTGTGTGTAAAGGTGCACTGTGAAACTATTTGATTGTAACTCATCACATGCCCTGATTCAGAGTCCTTCCACTCATAATAAGGGCTCCTTTGTATTTCCCCTTAGATAAGCCACTCAATGTAAAAACAGGCAACCCATTATCAATCACTTTTTTTTTGTTTTGTTTTTTTGAATTCGTCATGAATTAAGGCTGCATCAGCAGCAGATCAATGCCTGCTTCAAGTCCAGTTGTGAGAGGATTGTTAATAGCTTGTGAGTTGCAATGAGTTGGCAACATCTACAGTGAAGCGGACTAAAAACAAAAACATGAAAAGGGACTACCACTACTAAAAATGTCACAGAACATGCAGTATACATCCTTTCCTACAGTAGGCTATTCCTAATAGCACATTCAAGGGGGGCTCCTAATGGGCAAATTCTCTGATATGGCTCTGCTTTAGAGTAATCAAGCTCGGTAGTGAGACTATTTCCATCGTGGGCTCACAGAAGGAGCAAGTCGATAAGGTGCTCCATCAGAAGATTGCTGCCTTATTTTTCACCTGCACAAATACTTTGTGTCATTCAGTTCAACAGGTTCAACAGTAAACACTGGAAAGTGTTCTGAACATTTGTTTTCCTTCGTGTAAATACATTTCACCCCCACCCCCCCAACCCCGCCCAAAGACGCATCCTCTGCTGGTGAAAACAAACGGCACTTTCAAGGGGAATGTTTCTCTAAAATCACAATCACAGGACCTCCAAGTAACAAATTCTGAAAACACATAGGCTATACAGTAGATATAAATCTCATGAGTTTCTTAACTGTACAAGCTTTAGGCTACACACTGAAAAGGGAGGGACACGTAGAACCCTTAATGCTTAACATTGAAAACAAATATAAGGCATTTCATATTTCCTTTTATCCGCATACATCACTGACAGCAGGTCTAAATATTTTTGAGAAAACATTTCATTCAAGGAGGAAGAGGATGCATATACACATCTACACATGCAAATGAACATGTCTACCGGCTAATAAACCAGAAGTCCAGACTACAATACTATCAAAGTCCATCCATAAAAAAAAAAAAAAAAAAAAAAAAAAAAGCACCTACTCATATCTACCAGTCAACTTGTGCACAGTCCTTTCTCTGAGCAGGCAGCTTTTAAAGTTGGACATTGATCACAGTTTTAAGAATGGAATATCAAACACTCCACTATCAAATGCCACCTCTCTGAATACAAACAAGAGGACCACTTGAAATCCTTCATTTGCTACAGACGAGTGACTTTTGGTGTTAACAGAAAGGGCATATTAAATAATATTTTTTTTATTTTTCTCAACTGAGGAAGCAATGATAAACAAAAGGTTATTGCACTTTTTATCTTTTGTCTATTTCAAACGAGGTCAGCTTTAGAGAAGATGATTCATGCCTTAATGTCGTGGCAAGACAACAAATGTTACGTCACTTCTATAAGTATGATCACACTGTTATTAACACTGCACACAGCTACTACTGCAACCCTACTTGTAGTCAGTCTACCCTAAATAAACACAAAACAATCTCTACAATCAATTTGCAACACAGTCACAACAAACAGTTTTGCCTAAACTTGATCTTGAGCGCAGGTACCGCATCGTTTCACAACTTGGTTTGTATTGTGAAGTTACTAATCGTCGATGAATAGAGTTGAGAAGAACAGTCAGAAGAAGCTCTGAAACTCCACCACGATGGTCTTTCTACAGTTGATGTGTTACTGACAATCGAAACCTCGTGTCTTCTGCACACAGAGGAGTCGGGTGTCTTTTCTTTCCTCTCATCTTTGCCTAAATTTGGTCTATAGGCTCCTTCACTCCTTGGTGTTTGGAGAGCCAACTGAGCCCCGAGGTGCCTTCTTTGGATTTGTGCTTTCATACTATTGATCCCCCCTCCATTCAATGTTTGATGTGCCCTAAATCGCATCAGTAATGTGCAATTTATTCTGCCACCCAAAAGGGAGCACTCAGTCACTGCATAATGAAATCCAGACTAATACAGGAGGAGTTTTTCCAGGCTTTTTTTTCTCCTCTCTTTGTTTCTTATAACTCAGATCACATAGGGTTGAAATAATCACGCTCAGAGGGAATATGAGCCTATCCACTGTAGTTGTGTATGTTCAGTGTAATTTCTTTTTCCCATTATAAGGCTTCTGGGAAATACAAATGGAAGACCGTACCTTTCGGTAGTAACAAATAAAAGGCACCATGCCACCACTGTGCTCGATATTACACAGGTCCTATTGGTGGGTGGGGGGGATTAATAACCAAGTGTTCAGGCAGGGAAGGCGGTCGAACTAGCATTAGTCATACAGTAAAATTGTATTGTTTTGACTTACAGAGGTAAAGTTTTATAGCTACCTTCATTCCCCACCTTATATTAGACTGTACCCTTTACCCTATATGACCTGCACTTGATAACAGACTCATCTGTTGGTTGCAATGAAGAGAAACATGTTGAATCATGGTTACTATGCTTTTTCTGTTCTAAAAAAAGGGACTTGTGCATGTTTTAGGTTCGACATGCATATATTGAAAAGTCACTCACACACACTATAAGAGAGAAATCTACACGACTGGCATCAGGAAAAAACGAGAAGAAATCACAGAGGATAAATGTCAGCGTCATCACACAAAATTTCACTGATGAGGTAAAACTGCAGGTCCAATAAAAAGTACAAGGTGCAGTTCGCTGCCCCTTTGTAAGGTAGGAAACATGAGACATCTGCCGACACTAATCTAACACTTCCGCATAGATACATCTCTGATTTAGGCTGGTTTAAGCAGAATTACACTACCCACGACAAGATGGATCACACAATTTTTTAACTCTTTGTTAGCATAGCTGTACAAGCATTTTTCATAAGAATTTCCTTTCCATCAATATTTTTTTTTTTTTGAGGTACACCACTTTTATCCCCAGTGTCCTTTGGCTCTGGATGACAGAGAAGCCAAAGTTGATTGTTTACGAGTGAATTCTGAATTCATTCAATTCACAGTGGCAAATATGGCGATATCCTAACCTCTCAGAACAATCTCTGCACCATGGCAACCTTGAGCTATGTGCTACCTCAATTGATTTGTGTGCTTCTCGACACCCAAAGATGTCTGTAAGACCAAAATTAGCCAAGAATTTTTTATTCATTTTTCTTCGTTTAGCAATCCAACCAAGTAGCATAACTCTACAGGTGATGCAACTTATCAGGTACTGCCAGGTATCATTTCCTTTTTCAGCTTTTAAGGCAAAAGGCTCAACAGTGGATCAGAGAGTTGAATTGAAATTTGCCATTTACTTCAAGTAAGAACCGAGACATCCATTGAGGCAAATCAATTCTATATTGTATATACCAAGCTTTTTTTTTTGGACATCAAAAATGTTTTTTTTTTCCTTCCTGGTAACACACATTATAAACCATCTTGTTAAATAAACACACAACCTAGGGATTGCTTTGCCAATACCAAAGGGACTCACTATATTCTTCAAAAATGTCCAATTATACAACAGACTTCTACCGACACCAAATTTTAAACAGAATACTTGCATTTAAGTACTAATATCCCATGCAAATATTTATATAGTTTTTCTTTGACTAATATAATTGGTGAAAACACATGCAGCTCCAAACACAAAACTGTAATAATCCGGCCTACTTCTGAATAAGTTACTGACCAAGTAAGTATGATTCATGTCTAAAGGCAAATAAAGGTTTCTATGGCACTAAATGGGTGTAGCTTAGGTGCATTTCTGTCAAATATAGGCTATTTACGAGTATGTGTGATCATATCTACTGTAGACCTTTTTGTCCCTCTTGTTTTACTGTACTGTAAGGCAATCTCAATGGAATGGATGAACATGAATGTTAAATTCATCTGAACTCTTGTCCTCTGTTTACCTTGTAGGCTACACTCCACACAAATATATATGTATAGAGAAAGAAGAGCGATATTACACAACAGCAGGCCTACACTCCAACAATAATGCCAAGAACAAAACCTATCCAGACCCTCAATGCAGGAAGACTACTACACATACTGTATAATATGTGGGAATTAGTTATTACATGCTACCTGTATAATCATATCTACGCAAGACAAATGAAGAGCAACAGTTTAAAGTCGGGAGAAAGCAAGTTGTCCTGCTCTAAACTGACCCTACATTCATTTCAGTCAGAAAATTCATGGCTCAGATTTGATGGTCAGACTGTAAACTGCTTGAACATATGCATAAATCCATTGCTGCTTTACTAAGAGGTTTTCCCCCTCTCGACACATTTTGGCAAAACAGGCCTTATTTGTGACCAAAGATTATAACATCTAACCCGCATTTAAATCTTCCATTGGCATTTATGCTATGATTTACTGAATTGGCCTAAATGGATGGCAGTGCAATATTTGTGCTGCACACGATTACACACACTCTCTATTGCTACAATTGGACCTTTCATTGCTTTCCGTTTCTGACACCAGATATATTGTATATGCTCCACTTGTTCAACCGTTACTATATCAAAATTGTGATCTAGCTCCATGCACAATCACTCAGTTATCACTGGTACACACAAATAAAAAAAGCATGTATAAGAATACTGTGATACAACAAAAGGATTCAGTTGCAACCTGTATAGTTGCAGGGGCAATGGCTCCATTTACTGGTCAGATAAGGACATCACAAGAGAAAAAAATCCCTGCCCAAACAGACATCACCTGCAGATGGCAGAGAGAGTATGTAGAGTATTTTGAGGAGTCTGCCTGAGGTGTCTGTTGAATCACTGGACTGACTTTAAGTGACTTAGGCCAGAGTCTGTATTATTAACAGTAGGCTGGGTAATGTAACCTTGTCACTTTTTTTTTTTTTGGGCCGGTTGCCCAGAAATAGATAACACAAAGAAAGTCAGCGGGCAGTGGACACTGTCCCAAAGTACTTAGAGACACTTTTTTTTTTTTAAGTAATGCATTGTTAGAGTACAATTTTGTTGCAGCCTTTGCTTGTCTTTTGCAACCCTACCTTCCTGTATTCAGCAGCAACACACATGCATGTAAACATAAGTACATACATTACATCTGCTCTATTTTGCACACTTAGAACCTGAATGTACTAAAGTGCGTGCTTGACTATCTAATTAAGTGCTGTGGGATTAGGGTTAAAAAGGAATTAAATTACGGAAAATCCCATCAAACAAAAACGTAGACATAATCATCCTGCTGAGATCTGATTGGATTAATAAATTCTGCCCGCTGCTTCAGCACAGGTCCTGAGATTACAAAAAAATTATGTACCTATCCCTAATATTAATAATAATAATAATATTAATAATAATAATAATAATATTATAACTGTTCTTGTAGAAATGATAAATTGATCAAGGGAACAAAGGTTGGGGGTCACAAATTAGATCCATTTCATTTCAATCAATTATGGAGGTCAATTGAAATGCCAACTACGAATCTATGACACTAACTCTGAGAAATTACTGCTCTGAAATGGACTTAGTCAGTTTTAGAAAATCAAGTAAAATACACTAAAGACTTTCTCGCGGGGGTATTTAACAACATAGCCTAGTCTAGGTCCTCATCTCTCATCCAGTCAACTAATGTGTGCAATTGTGCCACTTCATTACCAGTGGATATGAAGTTATCACATCAATGAAAACAATCTGACTCAGTGTAATTTAACCACCAGCAGATGGTCTAAAACAAAAAACAAAAACAAAAAAACCCCAAAACAAAAACAAACAAAAAAAAAAAACCCGACAAAATAGCATAGATATAACATCTAAAAGTCACAAACAGCTCTAGTGGTCCGATACAATCATCTTTAGTATGCTTAGTACCAGAAATGGGATGAGGAGACAACAAAATGAACACCAAAAAAGCACATATTTGGATTTCTGCTATTCCTGAAATCTAAACAGGTATTGGCCTAAGCAAAGATCCCTCTCATTTTCCTCTTAGCCCTATTTTCTTCTATAAGGGATATCACCTCCCTGGTCATTAATAATGCCGGGGCATATAAAGATATGCCGGGCAATTTGTTTTCCACTAGATAATATGGTGCAACTGTGGTTCAATGCTGTTGCTATCAAATGTGTGGAAAGTTAATCAGTCTCAGGGCTCATCATACTCTGCCATTACGCAATCCAACTGAAATGATGTGTTACGGAAGGCATGGGTCAAAAGGCATTTCATGAGATGCCATAAAGGCAATCCAGTGCATTTGTGTTGACACTGACAGTAAAATGCCCGGCACACACAGAGCCATTCGTTTAGTCTTTAGGTAATTTTTCATGAAACAATAAAAACGCAAAAAAAAAAAAAAAAAAAGAGAAAGAAAAAATCAAACACATTCCAGGGAAACAAAAGCCCTTGTGACAGTGATTGTCTATTCAATAATGTTAAACAAAAAGGCCAAAAGAAAATATTGCTTGAAAACTGCCCAATAAAAATAGCAGACAATACTCTATCTGTTCAAATTGATCAGAGCTGACCACTGAGAAGTTGCGATATGAGCTATTATTTGTTTAAGACTAGTTTACCAGCTCCACAAAATACTCCTTTTAGTGACAGCTTGTTAAAACCACAATGCTTAATGGCCAGTTCAACTTAAAAAGAAAAAAGAAAAAAAAAAGAAAAAACACAAAAGAAAAAAACGTCATGAGTGCCTAAAAACCAAAACTGATCGCTCTCTTTCGATAATTAGGCCATTCAAATTCTGAAATCTTTTCCAAAAAACACTGTTAAAGAGATGGGAAATAAATTGAAATGGCTTGTTCATTTATGTGCTCAGATATATGACGCTTTGATGAGGTGTTGTTGGCAGATATTACTAGTAAAGCCTTCATCTAGAAATAAACAAGGCCTCAGTCAGTCACTATCCTACAGTAGTTCTCTAGTCCTACAAAAAAGAGAACATTAGGCCTACGGACCCTGGGTGAAGATGAAGCAGCTGCTAAACGAGTTGACGAGGTATATCAAGATCTATTGTCTTTCTCTATACAGTACAGTTCATCTCAAATAAATAATTTATAGCCATAATAGTGTTGATCAACTTTGGTCATAAGTTATATGCTTAGAAACATTCTAGCTTAACAAACACTTATTTAGCATCTTTAAAACATGAAGTCAGCATTAAGAACAAATCGATGTTACAGCGCTGACCCGAAACATGGCTCTCCTTTGGAAGGAGACATGCTAATGTATTCAGCAGCATTACCAAATTATCTTAAAATGCCAAACAATTCTAGGCCGTACATTTAAAGTACACTATGGAATTAACATCTTTGTGACCCTTTTCCAAATTTTCGGATTGTACTGTAGTACACAAGCATTGCACTCTTAAGCAAAATTTAGATTTTTCCCTTGTGTGGTTCCTTCATAAAAATCTAAGCTAACGGACAATTAAAACAAAAAAGAAAGAAAAAAATAAATCAAAAAACAAACAAAGAAACTCTTTGATCATTCTTTTGGGAAGGCTGTATGTTCCTCTACAAGGTCACCACAACTGATTAAACATGATATGACTTTTATACTGAATGATATGAAGAGAAAGACAGTCGAGGATACAGCGATTTCCATGCTCTTAGATGTCGGTTATATAATTGTCTCAACATGGTTTTAAAGGGTTAAATGATTTAGAGATGGCCAGATTGCTAGTGTTTGTTTTGGATGCCACACTTTATCTGAGTGACCTTGTAGAGCAATCCGCCCCTACATATTAAGCACTACTAGGAGATGGAGGAATGGGATCTAATTGCATATTAGGTTTGACTGCACCTCAAGAGAAGACCAAACACTCACGCACACACAGACACACAAACACATACATACACAGAACAGACATGTGGGTGGGTGCTCTCCTGGTCCTCGGGGCCATGTTAAAGGGAGTCCCCCCCTGGTGGTGATGATGGTGATAGCAGCTGACTGAGGGGGGCACGTGACCTCACTCAGACAGACACCCATCCAGGCCGACCGGTGCACCGTGACGGTCTTTGACGTAGCCGTTGTGGAGGCCGTTGCTGGGCAGGGGGGCGCAGGTGGCGGTGATGCCGCAGTGCTTCAGCAAGTTGAGACCCGGGGAGGGGGAGACGGTGGGAGAGGAGCAGGAGCAGGAGGAAGGGTCCCGCTGGGGGAAAGGCTTCATGGTAGAGAGGATCAGAGCCAGGCAGTCAGCCACGTCCTTGTTAGGAGCACAGGCCAGAGCTGGGGTGTGGCCTGATTGACAGATAACAAACTCAAATTAGTGCATACATACAACAACACGTGACGGTGAATTATGACCCAAATCTCCAGCTTCCATCAGTTCAATGGAGCATTTTAGCATCTTTTTAACTCATTTGTTTTGCATTTTGGTTGACTCACGATGGTCTTATCAGTGTCGTTGTCAGACGCAGTGCGCAGCTGTTATCAGAGAAAAAAAAACTCTTGCTCCCTGCTCACCCCACATACAGCAGCAGACAGACGCAGTTAGTGACTGACTGGTGAACATAGTGGAGCATTTCACAGCTAAAGAGACATATTTACCTCAGGAGTGTGTGTGGAGGTCTAATGTACCTACAGAATCATTTATAGTAAATATCCTAAAATATTTTAAACATTGTAAGATTCTTTTAAAATTCCAGACTCTAAACTCACTAGAAATTAACACAAGAGTTTAACTGTAAATCAAACTGGATGAACAAAACCTGAAAATGACTCACCCTCCTCATCCACAGCCAGCACAGTGGCTCCTCTACTCAGCAGTGCCTGCACCACCGTAGCCAGGCCATTACGTGCTGCAAGATGGAGGGGCCTGGAGGAGAACAAGGGAGACTGTGAGAGACAGCTGGCAGAGCTACTATTCGAACTACAACATGTGAAGAGTACCATAAAACTTTGATTTAAAAAAAAAAAAGAGCCTCAGAGTTAGCAAAATCATTAAAATGACTAAACATTAACCCTGACCACGTTTTTGTTGATAGCTTAAAATTGTTAATAGCTTCTCACATTTGCAGAGCACTGTTGGTGGCGTTTATGAGTGTGGGACTGTGGATCTCCCCCAGAATCAGCAGGGCACACATCTCATGAGCCTGAGGGATAAAATAAAAAGACAGTGAAAAAATTATACATGAGCTTCTGTCGCTCAGCATTCAAAGAAAGTGCACCTCATTACACTCAGGTGCAAAATATTGCTGATGAAAGAAGAACTGTACTTGATTAAGGACTCGGATTCTTTCTAATAGGCTTGGTGTTCATGCACACCACAGTGAAGCTTTGACTTAGCATAATTGTGCTGTGTACCTTGCTGCAGGCCAGGTGCAGGGCAGTGTTCCTGTTCTCATCCAGCAGTGTCAGGTCAGCCTTGGCCCGGTGAAGGAGGATGGCTGGATGACAACAAAAAAACCCCATTAATTCCCTGCAACTATAGACGACCTGATCTGATAATTATAGCCAAAGGAGATGCTCAAGGGACCCAGTCAAGCATAGAGTGTGACAAATAGCTATGTATTCCTGAGAAAACAAACTGCACTTAAGAATCCCAAGAGAATAACAGGTCAAAGACTTACCCACGGTGCCACTGTGTCCCTTGTCAGCAGCTACCATCAGAGCAGAGCGTCCACTTTTGTCCACTGTATTGATCTCTGTCCCATGGCGAAGCACCAGCTGAAGTCCTGCGACATCCTCAGCAAATGCAGCAGCATGCAGTGGGGTCCTACAGGCACAGACAAAGACAGTCCAAGCAATTACAGTATAATCAGTGTAACTGTGGCAGACCGTCGTGACCAATTATTTTAAAAGATAGAAGGAGGAATGGCTTTAGGTAGCACCACTAACTCTACACTACTAACAATGATGAGGATATCTTAAAAATGCTCTTTTTTTTAGGATCTACATTACATGCTGTCTTTCTGAATCACAGTTGTTCCCAAATAAACTCTTCTGCAACCTCACCTTCCTTTGGCATCTCTGGTGTTAATCATGTGGACCCCAGCAGATTCCAGCAGCCTCTCTGCAGCACCGCTGTGGCCATTCATCCTACAAACACGACGGTTGAGTAAATGAAATGATGTTTTCATCTAAACCGACAAATTGTGTTTTTGTTTTCCTTTTAAGTAATAAATTTCGACACAGCAAGACACAAGACAAGAGCATATGCCAAGTTAATACTCACAGAGCACAGTGCAGGGGGGTGAAAGGGTTTCCCTCTTCATGGATAAATGTTTTAAATTCAAGTAAAACCTCCAAACAGTCTTCATGCCCTGAGAACGAACACACTCAGCATTATAGACAGCAGATGTTACAGTGATTAATTGCAGGTTTGAGGATTAGCCATTTCCAGTCGATCAAACTGAGCAAACCTTTGTAAGCAGCCCAGTGTAATGGGGTGTATTGTTTGTTGTCCAGCAGTTTATCTTGTGGGTCTGTTGCCATGGTGGCCTGCACCAGACTGGCCAGGATCTCCGTGTGGCCTCTGGATGCAGCGTAGTGCAGCGGTGTACTACCCTGGACGTCCCGACACAGTGCAGAAGCTTTGTGCTCCAGCAGGGCTGTCACACAGTCATCATGTCCCAACACCGCCTGAACAAAGACCAGCAAGGAGTGATGAGACAATCTCCACTGATAAAAACAACACCTTTACTTTAACTACACATTCCTCTGTTATGCCTTCTACTCCGGGACCTCAGCAGTAATAATTAGATCTAGGATACTTTCTTGGACCTGGGATTTCTTTTTTAGGGATTAAGAATGTTATCCATTAGATATCTCATTTGAGAAGGTTTTTTTTTTTTTAATCCAGTGTTTCCTTTTAATTACTATGACTATGGCACGCCACCATGGTCTAATTTCAGCCGCCATAGTTTCATAAAAGTATGTGTACACTTCTCTCTAACATTGTGTTTTTCGCCATTGCTTCAGCAAAGCATCTCTCACTCACAGTACAAATATCTGAACAATTAACTAGTGGTCAATCTCCCCTCACTCTGCTCCTCCTCCACAGTCTACTGACAGTCACACTGCTATGCAGAGAAACACAGAGTCAGACGCTCTCTGGTGCAGATAGTGTTTATTTTACCAGTGCGGACCAGGTAAAGCAAGAGTGAACAGCAGTGGACACATCACCTGTTTGTTACCACGTTAGTGTTGGTAAAAATCCTGAACGAAAGGTGACTTTACAAACGTTACTGCTGAAGAAAGTCAACAGAGACACAGAGAGAGAGAGAGAGAGAAACAGTAAGAGGCAAGGGCCGCGAGCCAATGTCTGAGTGAATGAGAGAGACCAGAGTATCTGTGTGTGTGGCTTGTGTGGAGAAGACTTATGGAAGAGAAAAGCAAGGTGATTAAAGTAGTTTGAGAGTTACGTGAAATAAGTTATATATAAGTAAAATGTAAAAAATAAGTATGTGTTTTATTTTCAATAGCTTAATATCGGCAACACACTGGATATTTAAAAAGGTTCCCAGTTTGACTAGATTATCTAAAGTACTATATTTGGTAGCAAGGATTAAGGTGAAACACTTAAGTTGTTTGTGCTGTAAATGTTAAAATCTACTGTGTTTGCATTCTAAATGTTAACTTCTACTGTATTAAGTAACACTTGTATGTTATGTTTACCCACCAATTAGTCTTTTTTTAGTAGTTTTTGTGGTATAATTGATGCTCTGCTACAGTTTGTAGCCACGTGCAGTGTTGTTTTGACCTACCCCTCTGTGCAAAGCTGTGCTGCCCCTCTTGTCCTTGGCATCTGGCAAGGCACCCTTCTCCAACAGGAAGTGAACACAGTCAGTGTGACCTCCCAGAACAGCTAGCATCAGAGGGGTCCTGAGGGAGAGAGAGGTGACAATAAAGATGTGTTTCATTGGTAGGGTTAGGCATTAAACTACAGCCACACGTTTAAAAGAAAACAACTCACTGGCCAAATTTGTCCGCAACGTTGGTGAGATCCCCCTCCTCTCCATAATCAATCATCATGCGCAGGCAGTCTGAGTGACCATTGGCAGCTGGTATGAAAGAGTACAAGAGTGAGAGTTACAAATATATTTGTATATTCTCAACATACAATTGACTGTATTCAGGATGGTAACAATCAGACAAAATGCTACACCATGAAATCTTTAAGCAGAGAGAAGTATACCTGCAACATGAATTGGAGTCCACATGAGGCGGTTGTCATTGAGGAGACAGGAGGCCCCCTGAGCCAACAGTACCTCCACACAGCGGGCGTACCCTTTCTGTGCAGCCAAGTAGAGCACAGAACGGCCCGCAGCATCCTGCATATCAACATAGGCTGCAGTCTCCGTCAGCACACGCAGTGCCTGCCAGTGGCCCTTGTCAGCCTGAGGGAGCAGAGGAATGCCGTCACAACTCTGGATTTTGTTAACATTAAGAGCTTGATTACAGTCTGTGTCGACCCAGAGAGCTGATTAAATGGGAAACACTTACAGCAAGATGCAGTGGACTGACTGGAATACTGCTTTCTATGTCTCCTAGTGCATTAAAAGACATCTCCAGGAGCTAAAAAATAAACCACAACGGTGGATTTCATTTAATTTACTGAGGAAAGAAGTAAAACACAACTTGCTACGCATATTAATATAAATTTTAAATCTACACCTGAACATTTGTTGTCATGCACAGTCTCTAAAAAAAAACAATCCTATTAACTAATCATTCACCCTAAACATCGTTTAATTCTGGAAACATATTTCACTCAGCTAGGGCACAGAATTAATAAATACATCTGTTGACCTAAGAAAGTCTTGCATCTACTGTGGACCAGATTTGTGACATCTGCTTAGGTGGAATATGTGCAATCAGTGTGTGTAACATGTCGAATTTGTAACATCTGATGCATCTACCGAGTTAAGGGATTTCAGATTTAAAAAAAAAAGAAAACTGAAAAACTCACCAACTCCAGGTTCTGCTTGTTGCCATGGTAAGCTGCGTAGTGGACAGCACTGTAACCCTTTGAGTTGACCATGGATGGATCAGCACCATTGTCCAAAAGATGCTCCAAGCAGCTGTTATTAAAAGACGACACAAAATGTAGCGAAGGGATAAAGAATAGCAGCATTTCATTTGGCGGTCTTAATGTGTGAATGTTTTCCACAAACAAACTTTTGTGTTGTTTTATTGAATTTGAAGTCATAATCCCATTAGTCCTGGTCAGACACAAGAGACAAGAACTTACAAGTATGACTCCTTCGCCTCATCCTCATCGTTCTGATGGTTGCCAGAAAAATGACGATCGACTCTGAAAACAACAAGAAATACTTTGAGTCAATCTTATTCTGTTTTTAGGGTGAACTTGTACAGTCTGTCCAGAGACATTTACAGCAATGTTTTTCTATCAATGTGGATGTTTTCTGCTGAATAAACCAACAAATAAACTGAAATCAAACTAAAAAATAAAGTTTCTTGAGGTCAGGATAACATAAATCACGGCAAAGCTACACATTCCTTGGTGTGTTGTTTAGATTGTTACACCGCTATCCAAGAAAGCTTGTTGTTCAACTATTTAGTATATTTACATAAAAGTAAACAGCTTGAACCTTATAAAAATGAGTCATGAGAGAAAACAAGTTGAGATACATATGATCGAGAAACACCGTTTACGAACTTCATAAACCACTTTCTGCCAGACATGAACAGAATTTGGTGGCTTGTGTTGCCTCTGTTGTGTCAGAGAGAACACAGAATGAGAGAAACACATTTTCCAACCTGCTGAAGGCTTGGGAGGCAGCAGAGTAGTGCAGGGGAGTACAGCCTGTCTGGTCAGGCTCGTTGACCTCAGCGCCAGCGCTCACCAGGGTCACAGTGCACTGGTACCTCCCATTAGCAGCTGCATAGTGCAACGGTGTCCTACAGAGAGGGAGAGAGAATACAGTCACTCAGAATGAGAATGACACTTAGGTAAATCACCGTTACAGCATCAGTAAAATGAAAACACATATTTCAAAAAAAAAAAAAAAAGGATCAGGGGAAACTCACCTTCCCATTATGTCCCTCTTATTCAAGTCAGTACCGCTGCTTAAGAGCAAGTTCAGACATTCAACATTTCTGTAAAGAAAGGTGATCACAGGAACAGAGTTACAGATGACATGTGATACAAGAATATTTTGACAAATTTGAATAATTCATGTACAGAGCAGATTCTGCATCTCACCCTCCAGAGGCAGCAGCGTGTAGACAGGTCCTCCCAAAGTTGTCAGGGGTGTTTATGTCAAACCCAGCCGATAGTACATGCTCCTTACTCATAGATGAAACTATACTATACAGCTGACCTGTAGGGTTCATTAAGAAACAGGTCGCTTTAACAGCTGTGTCCAAAGTGTATACAAACATAGATATAGAAGTTAATAAGAGTGCACAGATCTATGGAACAAAGACAAACCTGAGGAGAGTAACTTGCGACAACAGTCTGAAAACCCGTACAGCACAGCTAAGTGCAAGGGGAACATTCCATGGATCCCACGTCTGGAAATGCCAAAAACACACAGAACAGAAAGTTAGAAACCAAGTAGTCATTGAAAGTGTAATCCCAAACACACTCAACTGTCTTACAGCAGCAGACACATACATGAATGTTGTTACTTCATATTAAAGGTTTTGTCTTTACAACCTTATGGCATGATTACACTCAACAGTAACATTACTTAAGAGTTTTCCGATACCTGGCCGTGTCTGCTCCGTTGGTCATCAGAGTGCTGATCAGCAGTTCATGGCCGTACTTAGCAGCAACGTGGAGAGGAGTATTGCCATACTTATCCACGCAATCAATTTCCCCACCTGAAGGAAAGTAGGAAAAGACAGAGTGAATCAAATACCCATTAGGAGGAGAGAAAACCTGCTGCAACATTTTCTCACAGATCATCCCGACAGCCACAATCATCGTTACCATTTTGGATGAGGATCTGAGAGCGTGTGAAGCGTCCATGAATGGCTGCCATGTGCAGGGGGCTCTTCCCTTCTTTGCTCTACGTAGGGTAAAAAAACAGAATATACAATTGTGTCAGTTTATCTTAAGGATAGTTCAGAGATAACTACCACAGAGTCAGAATTCACTGATTAATTAGACTTTTAGCAAGCTTCGGAAAACTGCAACAGGCCGGTTTGACAACTCTGTATCTTACAGCTAAAGTATACATGTTTCTACACTCTTTGTGCAGTGTTTCTGAAGGCAGCAGCAGCTAAGCAGTTTCGACTCTTTCTGCTATCACATCAAATTAATATAAATTTGGAGTGACAAGTTTACAAGACTCACTTTACATTACGGTCAATCCGTTTCCACTAAAAAGGCAGTTAACCAGAAATTGTGTCATTTCTAGCAGCTAAATGTATGTGTGAGACAGAGAAGAGTTTCTATAGTATAGGAATCGGATGTGTCATTTCTTCTGCTAAACTAACCACATGTTCATTACTTTGGACCACAGCTACAATTCAAACACACACACACACACACACACACACACACACACACACACACACACACACAAGAAATCTCTAATTTGTGTAGAAAAAACTGAACTAGTTTATGAATGACAATCTTTGATAGTGGCCTAACCATTGCACTCTTATCGCCAAAATACACTACTAGTAATAAGAGGAACAAATAAGACACAGTAGTTAAAGTAAACTGTGCAGTAATTTCCATTCGGGACATCTGTAGTGTATTTCATACCTGCTGGTTGACATCTGCCCCATTGTTGACCAGCAACTCCAGACAGAGGGCACCGTTGGTGGAGACGGCAGCCAGGTGCAGAGGGGTGTAGCCGCACTTGTTGGGCTGGTTAACATTAGCTCCATGGTTCACCAGCTCGGTAGCCACCGCCTCCTGCCCCATGTAGCAAGCCACGTGGAGTGGAGTGTTTCCAAAGCCATTGGGCTCATCAATCTGACAGTAAAACACAAAAGGTGACACAAGATCAGACTGCACCTCGAGCTCGGGATTCCTGGAAATCTTAAAATACAAGACATATTTTAGCTGCTGATGATAAAAGACTATTCATTATACAATGTGACATTTAATAAAGCAGACAATATGGCAGCGTAATTTGGCTAGTTTCAAAATCTATATATAAAACCACTCACCTCTGCCCCCATCCTCAGTAGGTACTTCACAATTTCGATGTGACCACTTGCAGCAGCAGCATGGAGAGGTGTATAGCCCTGCTTATCCTTGCAGCTCTTGTCTGCACTGCGGGACACCAGCAACTTCACAACCTCTGAATGCCCTAAAGGAAACACAAACACACACATGTCAGTATGATCCCCAACATGAATTATATGTTTATTTGACAAATTCACGGCAATAATGGCCACAAATAGAGAGATTAAAGCAAATGACGCACCACAGTTGGTTCTTTCAGTGATAGTAGGGTCTTTTACCCCTAGACTGTGATGTAAGGACTTGGCCATGTTATTGCTCCTCATTTGAGTCAAACTTGCAGTGAACAATGGGAGCTTTTACTGCTGTCTGACAATGAAAATTTGTGTTGTGCAGCATTGGCAAGAAAGGAAAACTTGCTTACCCAAGTAAGCAGCACAATGGATAGGCTGTCTCTCCTTCTTATCGATGGCACTCAGGTTGGCCCCTTTGTTCAGCAGCAGCTTCACCATCTGTAATAAAAATAAATACATTTGAAGAAACACCCCTTTTATGGTCTCATTATTTAATGAATCCCAAAGAAGAGAAGGGCATAACTCTTACCTCTTGGAACCCACTCTGAGCTGCGTGGTGCAGGGCAGTTCTGCCGGTGCGATCTGCCATGTTCAGGTTGCTCAGCTGGGTTAGCAGGGCCTCTGCGCAGCGCGTGGCACGGTTGGCAGTAGCCACATGCAGCGGTGTCTGCCAGAACTTGTCTCGTGCGTTTGCCTCTGCTCCGCGCCTCAGCAGCAGACCCACTGCCCTCTAGGGAGAAGGAAGCAATCACAAGAGCTTAAAGTACACATCACATCTGCAGTTTGCAGCATTTCCTGCAGTCAGCACAATATTTTGGTGCAATTTTATAATCGCTGTGGGTGAATACATAATAGAATTAAAGGATGAGGTCATCTGACAGAGAGATAATTGGACTGTTTGAAATGGCAAAAGGAAATGAGTTGATTGCTTACTTCATTCCTGGAAGCAGCCGCCCTGTGCAACGGGGTCAACCATACATGGTCTTTAGCATTTACAGTGGCACCTGGCAGACACACAAAAATACATCAACCATTTCTTTTTAGGGGTCACAAAGACGTTGGTGAGAAGAGCAATACAGCTGCTGGTGTAATGACAAAGTATAAAGTATGCACCACATTTCACTAACACAGAGGAGACTAAAATCTTAACACATAGTGAAGCATTGGTAATACATAAAGCTCACTCACCTGATTCAATGAGGAGGTCCATTATATGGACGTCACCCACACAGGCAGCAGCATGAAGTGGCGTACGGCGATCTTGGTCCTGAGGGATAAACATTGTTCACAATCAGGGAGAACCTTTTGTGTAATGGAACAAATCCTTTCGTGATCTGAACCCTGTTTTGCTCCCTAACCTAATGTACATCATACATACCAGTGCATTGACATCCTCCTTTTTGTGCAATAATAGTTGAACTTCTTCAGCATTACGATTGAAGATGGCCTGGACCAGAGGAGGCTGCAACACAGAAATACCTCTTCAGTTAACAGCTCCGATAAGGTTGCATACAATTACGTTAACGCCGGTGGTGCGGTGGTCCCTGGAGAAGTGGGTATACTCTTAAAATTTAAGCCCGTAACATAAACAATGACATGTATGACTGCTCTTGCATATGTAGCTCAAAAAAGGGGGGCCAGTAGTATTTATCACTCAACTTCTGCTGCTTGACAGAAGAAGAGGAGCAACTACAAAATTATTCATTTTGAGTGTAGTATCCCTTTACTCCATCCTAGGTCATGCCTTTGCCATCCTGCAAAAATAAAACCAGCTCACAGATCACCACTGAATGAAGTGTGTGTCACCAATGTTGACTGAAAGAGAAGTACCCCGTATACCTGCGTACACCCTGCACTAAACCACCGGGTAACGTTGCTCGATGCCCATCACACTGGGATTCATCTGCACTTCTAGTTCCAGCAATTAACCAACCAGCGATATGGTTGATATCATATTAAAGTTGTATTTAGTTCGTTTACTGTAGCTGTAGATTTAACGTTACCTAATGCATCCCCCCCCTCCCTTTTCCTTTCCAGTAAATACCCTGATCCCGACTGCGGCCTACAGGCCCTCATCTCTCTTCTTACGTCAGCTAGCCCAACGGCTCTAGTTAGCTACCCAGCTAGCTCCGGATCTGGCCCCGACCCAGAGGAGGGCCTCGACCGCAGCTGCAACAACGCGGTGTGTGTGTGTGTGTGTTCAATCCCGAAGCATCGCTAACCACAAGGGCCTACATCAATTCAACTCGCGATGTCCGCTTGACACAAAACATGCACCGCCGACGAGCCAGAAACGAAAACAAGCCGTTGAGCGAGTAAGACGTAATGTGTTGCGCACAAGAAGCTTCCACCAGCAAATAGACTGCGCCACAAGCACAAACACGGAGCGCTTTATTTTCAGCGTACCTGGTCTGCAATGTTGAGTACTCCCATCTCCCAAACTCAGCCAGGACGGAGCTCCTTCATGAGGATGAAACTTCGAGGTATATTGCGGTGCGCTACTGTATCCACTTTTTCAGACTACACCCATAGCTGGTTGCAAACACAAATGCGGTCTTGATCTGTCACTGTTGTTGTCTGTATCCTCTGTCTGGTCTGACGATACAGGCTACGACGGTGCGGGTCCGCCTACAGGCGTGGCGGTCTGTTTTCGCCTCCTCGGGTGAAATGGCGCCATCTGGTGGGCGAAGGCTGTAAGTGCACCCTGCAGTCACACCGACGATATGGGGGGGGTACTGAGCGAGGATTTAAGGTGGGAGATGTTTTAATAAAAACGTAAAATAGCTGTTATTAAGCCGTTTTTTTTAAATTTAGGAACAACTTGAAGCTGTAGTTGGTAACTTTTTATATAAATTACGTTTTGGCATATTTGTGGAAACAATTTAATTTGCTTTATTGGCACGAGTGTAACAGAAAAAGAGTAAAAAAAATAATTAAACACATTAGAATTAATAAGAGCAAGAACATTGTTAACATTAAACTATGTCTTTTGCAAAAAAATGATTTAATTCAGGGGAAGCCCATTTCCACCCATGTGACAAAAAAAGGGATCGTGTTAATCAATATAATGAGAAACTTTCTCAATATTTTGACTTATTATCTAAAAATAATGAGAAACTCTCTCAAAATAATGACTTAGTATCTCAAATTTAGAAACTTTCTCAATATTTTGACTAGTATCTCAAATTTAGAAACTTTCTCAATATTTTTACTAAGTATCTAAATAATGAGGAACTTTCTCGATATTTTGACTTAGTATCTCAAAATAATGAGAAACTCTCGATATTTTGACTTATTATCAAAAAATAATGAGAAACTCTCTCAAAAAAATGACTTAGTATCTCAAATTTAGAAACTTTCTCGATATTTTGACTAAGTATCTCAAAATAATGAGAAACTCTCTCAAAATAATGACTTAGTATCTCAAATTTAGAAACTTTCTCAATATTTTTACTAAGTATCTCAAAATAATGAGGAACTTTCTTGATATTTTTACTAAGTATCTCGAAATAATGAGAAACTTTCTTGATATTTTGACTTAGTATCTCAAAATAATGAGAAACTCTTTAAAAATCTCAAAATAATGACTCAAAATAATACTTAGTATCTCAAATTTAGAAACTTTCTCAATATTTTTACTAAGTATCTCAAAATAATGAGAAACTCTCTCAAAATAATGATTTAGTATCTCAAATTTAGAAACTTTCTCAATATTTTGACTTATTATCTAAAAATAATGAGAATCTCTCAAAATAAAACTTAGTATCTCAAATTTAGGACTTCTCGATATTTTACGAATACTCAAAAAAAGGAACTTTCTAAAATTCTACAAGTATCTCAAATAATGAAAACTTCTTGATATTTTGACTTAGTATCTCAAAATAATGAGAAACTTTCTCAAAATAATGACTTAGTATCTCAAAATAATGAGAAACTCTCTCAAAATAATGACTCAGTATCTCAAATTTAGAAACTTTCTCAATATTTTTTACTAAGTATCTCGAAATAATTACTTAGTTTTTCAAAGTAATTAATAAAAAAGAAACTTTCTCAATATTCTGAAAATGCTAAAGATACTTTGAGATACTAAATCATTATTTTGAAACGGCCTTCCATATTATTATTATTATTTTTATTTTGTTTTATTTTGAAATAAACACTACATTAGCGTGTTTATTTCAAAACAAAACAATAAAATGGCATTTAAAAACGCTTTTATTTTGTAGCCGTGAACCTCCAGCACGGTGGGCGGCAGCACTTCACCACAGAGCCGTTGGCTTTACGTTGGGCCAACGGACGCTCAGAAGAAAGGAACAGTTTGTCCCACCGGCGTTTTATTCAGCAGCAGAAGGTCGTCCGCGGCTCTGCGGGGTTTGACAGTACTGTACACCAAAAGTAGTCTAAATAATTGTTATTGTAGGACGTTTTTTTTTTTTTTTGGGGGGCTTTGTGAATATTTCTGGGGGGTGAAACAAATAGAGGAACGCGGCTTTACGGGCTCGTTATGAAACGTTGCTAGCTGCTAACGTTAGCGGTTGACGTTAGCTGCGCTGACAGCACTGAAAGTGAAGGCAGCTAACTAGCCTGCTAACCGGCTAATGCTACGTGTAATATTGGGACACCCTCACTGAAGCAGGGTGTTTGAAGTGGACCACCCACTGGGTTCAGCTCCTCTAGACCCAGGATCCTTCCTTGAACTGAGCGGCTGGTTTGATGGCAGCCACCGCCAGTGCCCGGCGGTTACCCATGGGTGTGCGGACATTCAGTGACTTTCTCCAGGTCGCCGCCGTGGGCTCCCCTCGGGTGGGCTCCCCTCGGGTGGGTCGTACGGCAGCTCCGAGAGGATGTTTGCGACAAAACATCAGGTGAGCCCGTCATGGAGACACCCGAGTCTATTCTTGTAATGACAGTCGGGCTAGTCCTTCAGTACGGGGCGACTGGGTCACCTTTGGGTCGAGCAGCGGGAAGGTTACAAGCTCACTTTTATTTATTTTATATCTGGGTTTGTTTATATTTATGTTTTCTTTATCTCAGAAGTGTGACGGTTCTCCATTAAGGCAAGGGTTTAGTGGTGGCTAGTGTCACGGTTTAGACTTGTTTATAATGAATACATTCATGTAAGCAGATGCCTACAAGTCAGGGATTCACCAATATGTGTTACTAAAGTTAATTACCAATTATTATCGATCATGCAGCTGAAAGACCACAACAAGTTTTATTATAATTTAACAGATTCTACTGAAAACACAAAAATATTCAGTCAGTATTGTTTGTTAATGCCTATATCAGCTGATATAGACAGTATATTGATTAATGAGTGCATCCCCAGATAAGGATGTGCTATCTTATATTTGTATAGTTTTTTTTTTTTTTAAAGTAATGACTAACTTTACATGCAGCGTCAACAAACATTGCTAACTAAAATCCTACAAAAAAGGTAGTATGTAAGAGGTTTGGATATAAAAAGTGAGGTGACCAACACTACTTCATCGTGTGACGAGAGTGTAACAGCTCATTTGAAGTCTAAACAACCAAATAGATGTTGTTTATGGCAATTAATAATAATATAGCAAAGCAATGTTATAGCAGTACTACCCTGTGATATTGGGATATTATTTTAAAGCAATATCGGCCCATCCTTATCCCCCTAGTCTGTAATGAGGAATGTTTCTAAACACATTTGGTAACCTAGGTACAGGTTGCCTATAGGAAAACACATTGCTAAGTGGTGCAACAAGCCTGACTGGTTGCGACATTATAGGTTTTTTTGCTTTTTGCACAAATGGCCCAACTCAGAAAACACTAGCGCACTCACAAACACAGAGACCTTCCATTACCTCCTGGTGCGCTGTTGTTTGTGTACTCATTGACTTTAGTAGCTGAAAACTGGAATGTTGTGGGCCTTTTTTTTTGTTGTTGTTGTTGTTGTTGTTGTTGTGGACTGCGCCTGTGGCAGGTTGCACTCTTTCCAGAATGGGGCTCACAGGACATTTTCCTCTTACCTCTTTAGACACTTGTCATCATGTGGCATTTTGATGACAAGAACCCCCAGAGTGCTTTGCCTTCAAGACTGGGACACAATGACGGCTGTTCCTCAAAGCAGAAACTTCATCAGTCTCACCAACAAAAGGAAGGAGTACTCCGAGCGTAGGATACTTGGGTAATTTTCTCCAGTATCAGCTAGTCATATGTTGTTGTTGTTGTTGATTTTTCCATAAGTCCATAACCTTGCGTTGCTTGCTGTCGTAGGTTTTCTATGCAGGAGATGTATGATGTGGTGGCCAATGTGGACGAGTACAAGCTCTTTGTGCCCTGGTGTAAGAAGTCCCAGACCATCATGAAAAGAGCCGGCCACTCGAAAGCCCAACTTGAAGTGGGATTCCCTCCAGTTGTGGAGAGATACACATCTATGATCAGTAGTGTTCGGCCTCATCTAGTCAAGGTAAGTGCCAGTAGCTTCACTGAGTCTGTCAGTCCTGTGAATGAAGATCTGTTTAATGGCAATTGTATTTGATACTGCTACAGTTTAAATAACCTAAAAGAAAAGCCTACTGAGACACTAATACTAATTTTTTGTTTAAGTGAATAATGTTTATGATGTTAACAAGCCACCCATTGCTCAAAGCTCCTGATTGTAATCACAGAGTTTCTCTTTTGGGGGGATTTTAGGCCGTGTGTACAGATGGAAAGCTGTTCAATCACCTGGAGACGATATGGCGCTTCAGTCCTGGCATTCCCGGTTACCCTCGCACCTGCACGGTAGACTTTTCTGTAAGTAGCCTGCACCTCGCTTCTTGTGGTGATTTATTGACCGTGTATTAGACCCTCTTCATACTTTTTCTTTTTGTAATTTCCTTGATAAAAGGAATAGTTCAACATATTGGGGAAAACTTTGCCTCACACAGTGAGTACATTTCTGGCAGGTCCCATAGAAAAGCTCAGGGAAGTGACTGTGTGCTACAGTTAACTGGAAGTACATTTACGAAACCAACAAGTTAGTCTTCATCCTTGAAGTCTTTTTTTTCTTTCTTGAAAAATAGTTTGAAAACACTTCTGGTAAAGCACAAAATTCCCTTTTGGCTTTGTGTCACTCGACCAAGAAAGTTTCTATTGCGGCAACTTCTTCATTGTGGTTCAGCAAACCTTAATGGGCTAGAGAACTGCTTGTAGTGGGTGTTTTTATTTTTTTATTTCTCAGAATGAGCCTGTTCCACACTCAAACAAACCTTTATGAGCAACACAAAGCTAAAATGTTCTGTTTTATCAGAAGTGTGTTCAAATAGTAAAGTAAATAGGAAAAGGCTTATTAGCTTTCTTGCAGAGAGTTAGATGAGAAGCTGTCAAGTCTCTACAGTAATTGTAAAGCTTCAGTTGGCTTAACTGTATAAATGTATGTATAGATACTGGAAGTCGGGGGAAACGGCTAGCGAACAAAGTGTAGAAACAAGAAGTTGAGGCTTTTACGAGTGGTTATGTGTGGGATTCTATCTTTTCCTCAAGCAGTGACTTCCTGGAGTCGCTGCTCTAAGATGATGACACACCAGTGAGTCACTGCCGAGCCAAGAAATAGTTCTACATGTAACTTTTGTTACCTGAAGATAGAACCAGGCAAGCTGTTTCCCCGTGTCCACTCTTCGGTCGTATTTATGGTACAGACGCAAGAACTGTGCTCTCATCTAACCCTTAACAAGAATGCAATAAGTGTATTTTCCAAAATGTCTGTCCACTTTCTATAGTTGCCATATTTTGAGGACTAACCTGCTCTCTGGCATACACTAAAGAGATTATTATGTTTGTATCTTTAACAGATATCCTTTGAGTTCCGCTCTTTGCTGCACTCCCAGTTAGCCACCATGTTCTTCGATGAGGTTGTAAAGCAGAATGTCGCCGCGTTTGAGCGGCGAGCCTGTAAGCTCTACGGTCCAGAGACTCGCATCCCACGAGAGCTGATGTTTCACGAGGTGCATCAGACGTGATCTCAACACCCGTATTTGTCCTCATCCGGCCTTAAATCATACCAACCTTTTATTTCCTTTATCCACACGAACCTGCATGATGCTGCTTAGTCACCCATCACGTCAAGTCTCCATCGCCATCATGGCTCCTGAAGATGTTTCACAGCCGACTCCTGTAAGCATTATGTTGGAATTGCTGCCTCAACAGGTTCTCGCTAATCTCCTCCTCCTCCTCCTCCTCCTCCTCCTTGTGTTACGTCTGTCCACTTTCTGTCTACCTCCAACTTGAAGGGATCCTTGTTTAGCAGAAGGACCTCACCATTGCTCTTGCTCCATGGCAGTTACAAGCTGTATTTATGTAAACAAACAGTAAACCATTGCAACATTATGTCACCAATGGTAGAGAGTCGACTATTATTTTAAACAAACAGCACAGTGACACTCAACAAAATTTTTAACTGGGATCTTATAGTTTGACTGTGACCTGAAGGTCGTTTGCCAAACGGACACGTTCGCGAGTCACAGTGTGTCCAGTTTTTTAGTTCACCAGTTACCATCATCACTTTGATCAGCTGATAATACTGTATTAGGAAAGCTTGTTCTTTGCCTTTACTTTTATTATTCACATTTATTTCAAATGGAAGTTTATTATATCGTTTGACATATAGTAGTGAACTTGGTGCAAAACGATAACTTATTTCATCCTTTTTAATTTATCCATCAGTGGTTATATGCACATTTTTATTAGTTTTATTGGGGTTCAGATTAAATGTGCCATGTCTGGGATGTCAAGAGAGTTTGCAAAAGGGGGGGAAAAGGGTAATTTCTTATTTAGTCAGCTGTGCCCTCAATTGGCTTTGAGGTTTGGGAAATGTATCTTTTAACTTGGCTGTTGTTGTGCTGTGAGGATTGTGTTTTTGGACACCGACACCTGGCCTGCCAATTATAATAATGCCTTATTTTACAGCCCAGCGCTTGTAACTATCCCAAGATTAACAGAAGTACTCTTAACTTTGCACAAACGGAGCACCTGAATGACTCCACGGCCAGGCCAGAGAATACTGTGAAATACTTACAACAAGAATGTCACAGATCATACAGGATGTTCTGTATATTTATATTTAATGAAAATATAGTTTCAGATGATCACTAAATGGTCTGCTTTAAATCATGGGACACGTATTAATAATAATGCAAATAAGCAAATTGTAACAGGTTATGTAAAAGTTTCCCTACTCTGCTTTTTGTATTTTATGGTCCATCTTCTGAAGGTCACCAGGAGGATGTTACTCCTCTTTACATTGTGAGTATAACATACAATGCTGGGCTGTAGAATAAAACATTATCAATGTTATCATTGTCTTTGGGTTTCATGCTTATATTTTGTTGATGTTTTAGCTTTTTATTTATATCCATTATCATGCATGAATGTAATTAACAAAGGCAAATACAGTCTACTCAACATTTCCTAGTGTTTAGTGTTGCATTGTTAGGGCGTGACTACATTTAGTTGGGATTTATATTTCATATCTAAGTAGCCCATTGGCTCTTTTCCCAGAATAAAGTGCTCATAAAGTCAATTGATTGTTCTTACCATTTGAGAGGTGACTGATATGGTCAAGTTGCCACACGCCAATGGAAGAAGTCCTGGCCTTCCAGTTCATTATGTCCATGTGCTCCAAGTCTCATAATCCAATAAAAGAAAATAGTGTTTTTAAAGCTGTTTTTGGGGCTGTTGGTAAGATGACTGGAAATTAAAGCACATCAATGCATGAAGAATGTGTATTGAAGCAAAATTGGTCTGTGAATCACTGTTACGTAGAAAATCTAACTTATTAAAAGATTGTTAAATGCCATTTCTGAGTGCTATATCCTTAAGCAATGAAATAGGTTAAGTCTATTTTTTACCATATGGAACTCAGACATGTTGTTTATATTGTGTCATCTTTTATTTCTTTTGCTGGATGTTTTATTTTCAATATCTTTGATACAGATCTCATGCCAAGCTTTATTATAGTAGGTGGCAGTATTGTAATGTAAATTAAAAGCATTATTTTAATCAGAACCAGATGATAACTAGTATCAGACAGTATAAACCCAAGAAATATCTAAAGAGTATTAGATGATCATCTTAGCCCTTCAACCCTGTAGTATATTTGCACATAAATTGTCAGATTGCAGGATGACCCTTGGTCTAATAGTGGTTGTATGTACATAAGGACGGTGACACTATCACTGACTGAAGAGTTGCTACAATACAATATATTATTTTGCAGTTCACTTTTGTTGCAAGCTAAAATGTATCTTTGTAAATACTGTGGGTGTATTTCAGAGCTTTATTTAAATTAAAAAAAAAAAAAGCAGGTGGAATGAATTTCTTTGTGTGCACCAAGTCATTTACAAGTCTCATTCCTTTCTCTACATGTTTAGAGTGATCTGATTGCAGAAATGAATCCTTCAAGGTTCATTTAGATGAAGCTTTGTCGCAGCGAAACCACACAGGCAGAGTCTGTTTGGGTTCAGGGACAGAGAGTGGATGTAGCTCTTCAAAAGGCAGCTGACCAGGAAGAAACTAGAGTGGGTTGATGGTATGTGGGCCAGTTATTAATAACAGCACATAGTAGAGGTGGGCATTTGGACCTATCTTCTTTCTTTATCGCGTCAATTGTATGTATTACATTAAAGCAAGGGCTCGTCAAACATATTGTCACAGGGGAAGATATAAAACTAAATATTATGGCAAATGTAATTTATTGTAGCCCTGCAACAGGAGCCCTGGAGAATGAGACCATTAGAAATAATGATTTTGTCTCACATTCAAAAACTCGTTTCCAAAATTCAATTTGCTTCTCGTCGTACGTCTCAACAAAAGTGACTCCAGGTTGACGGAGTGAGACTTTTGCTCCCTGACAGAGTACACTGACGTGTTTTTCTGTGTTGTAATGTCATCCTCACATTACAGTCGTGACAGAAATTCTTAACAAATCATCGGTCAGCTGAGCGCACATGACCGTGACCTTCAGTGGTTGTGTATTCAGCTCTGCATTTCATTATTTATACAACACCAGATAATAAGAATATCCTCTTAACAATGATGGAAACGTTACCTTCTTTATTTTACATGTACCTTTATATACCATTAACAAAATGAGACCAACAAAGTGTTAATAAAAACCTTTATTATTTTTCATTTTTTGTTAGGTTTTCCAATATTCGCTCTTCAAAGCTTTTTCTTGCCCATTTGACCCAGCCAGCCCCCATCCCCCAAGTGTTTCTCTGATGAATCCACCTGCCATGAATTCTCCCAGTTAACATGTACAACTGTTAATGCTCCTCTAAGATCAAAATAACCACGTCTCTTGAACCACCCGCACGAAAGAACACTACAATAAAACACAAACACACCTGATGAAGCCAGAAGGAAGGTGGTAGCAGAGCGTAGAGATTCAAACATATGAGTGAACTACTACTAGTAGCGCGGCAAGAGTAGTTTGAAAAAAAAAAAATAATATAAAAGATGCATGAGCTTTTCAACCACACAAAAATGGAGTGTTGACAAACCCAGAACTTAAGAGCAAGCTTGAAACATTCAAGTGAAACACCTGAAAAACAGCACCGGCTAAAGCCCACAAAGCTAGGCGAGAAATCGTGTATATACAAGATAGCTGCGGCCTTTCTTTTTGTTCGTTGTTAGAATTTCACAGTGACCAGTGGGACTGAACACTACTACAGTTGGTAAACTATGGTAATCATTGTGGTTATTACAAGCAAGTGATCGCACAGAGCTCATACATTCAAGCTATACATATATATACCTATGTACACAAAGTATAAATAAAACCACAAAATGAGAACCCAAAGATTATTAGTTTTATACATATTCAACACCAAAAAAAGAAACCTGTAAAAAGGGACACAATCAACCTGGGAGGGTTCTACTGCTACAAATTAGGAAATCCAATCAAGCAAGTGCTCATTTTGGAGTAGTTGATGTTTAAAGCGCTCTCCTGTGGGGATAAAGTAACAAACATACACTCAAATAAGACAGGACTTTAACAAATACAAAGCCCCCCCATCCCACGTTTCATTCAAGCTTGCTCTTAAGGATTTACTACAGGCTGCCAATTACAACACCCTTCGCTCAAATCTTATCATTACTGTTACTGTACATTATTTCTTGGTTCACTACCATTCTGAAGACCCTTTGAGCAGAGACACACATTAAAAATAGGAAAGCATGTTAACAGAAAAAAAGCTGAGGAAAATAATTTCTATATCCACAAGACAGTTATTTTGATCATAGAGGGAATACAGGTCATCATTAAAAAGAAAAAACCTATAAGTTGGAGAAAAAGGGGACACCAAAGATTTAAAGGGGCAGTATCTTTTAACTGATTTTCATGTTTGTGAATGTGTATCTTGAACAGTTTGTTCATTTTACTTGTAAGGACCTTTTTTTTTTTTTTTTCTAAAACTGGAGTGTTCATAAATGGGAGTGAAACGCATGGATAGACTGGGTGGGATGACATCTGGGAACATTGCATAGAAGAAACTAAGTTGACAGTCTTGATTGGAGAAAAAAGGTATTTTGCTTGCGGATATCCTCTAAAACAAATCACTGCATTAGCCAAAAGCAGGAAAGCTTGAGACGGGTATTTAACTTTAGATATTTAAAGAAATATGAAGGAAGTAATTCACTCCCACAATTCCCTTTGGATGCCACTGCCTATTCATAGTTCAGACCTTGTGCCCAATGAAAAACACGCAGGCACTGCACAGGGGAAAATCTTAGCAATGCTAGCAGACTTCTAATGGTACATAGTTTGAGCCTACTATGGGTTAACATGTATGTGTGTCTGAAGTTTTTACCGCTCATGTTCCAAATATGGAGACATGATAGGAAAACCTGTCAGTGGTTACCTAAACACACTTCAACACTAATGGTGTGACGATTTAAAAAGGCCCTTCTTTCGTGAAATGACATTAAAAGAGTACTGTCTCTTTGAATCCCATTGAATCCCTGGGGTTGGAAATGACAGGGGGTCAATTTATGTCTGGTTTTTTGATATTTCCACCTCCTCCCACCCTTCACACTAACCCCCAGCTCATTTCAGGTGGTTCTTCAGCCTGACTTGACTCCCACCAGTTTCATCAGTCCATCTGTGCTCATGGACTTGGGGCGCTCCAAGGGGAAGCCGAGGGCTCTACTCCACACCAGCTGAGCGAGCACGCCGAGAGCTCGGGACACACCGAACAGCACAGTGTAGTAATTCATTTCAGTCATTCCATAATACTGCACAGACAGGGAAAACAGACACGGATCAGAATCTGTATTTGCAACCATAACATGACAAGCGTAGGATTATATGCCATCATGCATGTCTTACCTGCAGCAGCACTCCGCTGTGGGCATCGACATTGGGCCAGGGGTTCTTGGCCTTGCCCTGCTCCAGGAGCACGTTGGGCACAATCTTATAAAGCTGGGCAACCAACTTGAACATGGGGTCGTTGGGCAGGTGCTTCAGGGCAAACTCACGCTGGCAGGTGTAACGGGGGTCAGTCTTCCTCAGGACAGCATGGCCATAGCCTGGCACAACCTATAAAGAGAGAAGAGAGAGTTGAGGTATTTTTCTCAACTTTTTAACCCGTACAACCTACCAATCTTTGCATAGCATTTTTTTAGAACATTTAAGTGCTCATTAAAAAGAAAATACCCAGGCTATGTCATTTTATTTAAAATTTTATATTGCAATCTCAAGCTGTCAAAAGGCAGAGTCCTTGTGACAGATAAATTACTTCCTAATTGAGTAAGGTCGTCCCCAAAAAAAAAACAATGGATGACAGGTTATCTGAAAAAAAAAATGAGTTCATAATGATGATGAGAATTAGTAGTGTAGGTTGTGTGTCCTTACCCTGCCAGATTTAAGTGTGTTCCAGATGTAATCCCTCATTAAGTCATCAGAAACTTCTCCACCCATCTCCTTCTGCAGGGCAGTCAGCCACACCAGCACCTCCTGTGAGACGCAGAAGAAAACACACACTAATGAGTTAAAACTGTGAATTTCAAGATTGGTGTGTACAGTGTAAACAGTAAAAATACCACAGCAGGGGGAATGTAGCAGAAACCAGTTCACACATACACTCTGTATGTGTTCTGGGAATTTTAAATGTCAGCATCATGTTTGAAAAAAAAACGACTAGGAAGTAAATGAGAACAAAACCTGTCATCTTCGGATCGGGGCACTATCAGATTGACTAATTATCTAATAATAAAACTGATGGCAGAACTTATTTGAGGGGGTTTGGGGAATTTTGATTAAGATTGAGATTAATTAACTTAAAAAATAAGTTACAATTCAACACTGAGGCAGCCTGTGTGAGAACTTAAAACTCTTCCTATGTGTTATTATTATCCTCTCTGCTGTTCACCTGCTGTGCACCACCAAGTGAGGAGAAAAATAAAACTCAACCCTAAACTGTCACGTGTGGAAAGAGCTGACAAGAAATAGTTTCAATAGGACACACAGCAGACATTTTGACTTGTCACAGTAAGAAAAACACAGGTGTTACTAATAACAATGGCTCCATTTTGTTTAAGTGTCCCAGATAGCCATGGCAGCGTGACAGTGAGCCAGCAGGCACAATACTGGGACCCTGAAACTGAAGCAGCTTAATATAATTCAAACCATTATCAAATGTATTATACCTGTACCTTTCCTGCTGTGATATGTCAAAATGTCTGAGAAAAAGGCTTATTGTGAGACTACTTTAGGGATGAAATAAACACTGCCGTACACCAACTTTTGAAGCCTACAAAATTGCATCTGATCTATATGTGAAAATACAGTGGAAATAATAGTTTTCTTGGCACAAACCTGATTGGCCAGGCCATGCAGAGGACCAGCCAGACCATTCATGGCAGCACTGAAGGACAGGTAGGGGTCAGACAGGGCACTACCCACCAAGTGGCTGGTGTGGGCACTGACGTTGCCACCTTCATGGTCACTGTAACATTACAAAAAAACCCCAACAAAAACAGTTATAATTCAAAACATAAAAAATGGCCTTCCCTACACTGAAATTGATTTGGGCGCACCGGTGCTCCTGACCAGTTCCAAATTATTCATGCGTCAAATATTTTTAAGGTTGGTTTTTTCATTGGTGCTTCAAGAAATCTGTAAATATAGTTTTGGTGTAATTTCTTATCACGCATGCAGCCTTTCCTCTCCTCTGTGTGTCGGTGCATGAGGGCGAGGCTTAGCTCCTTTACCCTGCACACACACACACACACAGCTGCAGAGAAGTTGTGTGAGAATGTAAAACCCAGTTGAAGCGAATGATATTACTCAAGTTCACAACAACTATGCTTGTTACCTGCGTGCAAGTAAAGCTTTCACAACTAAAAAGCCAGTAGAGAGTAATTCATCAAAAGAGCTGTTGAACAAGCATTAACTTGCAGAAAAGTGACTAAATGTTTTAGCCATAGTATGCTCCTTAGGCTAATTGTTATGAACAATATGAACCAAACCGTAATGAGCCCATGTATTGTAATTTTTAGTACATGCCTGTTGGTCTTCTGGCTGTGGTGGCAGCAGCCCACTCCCACCTGCCCAACTCCACTAAAGTACCTGGTACTTTTCACTGTGTTCCTAAATGTTTTTATTTAGGAGCACATTTACTCCTTGGGGATAAAGTTGGTCATGCCCTGCATTTACTTACCCTGTGTGTAATAAATAATAACTATATTCACCAGCACTCTGATATTGGGTCACTTTGATAGCACATGTTCTGCTTGTGGCACTGGTTTGATGCCTACACAAACCACAGATTGTGGGTAGCAGCCAATTCAGGCTAGCAGGACTGTTTGAACAGCAGAAGTTGCATCACACACTGCAATAATGAGGAATCTCCTGGGAACTTTGACAAGCTCGTACATGGCGTGGCTAAACAATTCAGACGAATGTACCTTTATCATCATGTAAGGTGCCCTGAATTGATAATGTTCAGTAAATAATCTCACATTAAATGTTTAATGTTCTAAATCCAGATGTTAGGTCTGGCGCTCTGGAGATGACAGACCTTTTGCAACAAGAGGGTTCCTTCAGTAACATTACGCTGCATATTTTAGTATCAAGTGTTATATAAGCCTAATAGTGGACAATTATTTTGGTTAAACTGATGACTTGCGCAATTCTGGATATATATATATATATATAGATATCTATATATATGCGCTTTATACAGCTTATGTTTTGATATATCGTTTGATATAGATGTTAGAAATAAGTATTCTTAAATTCAATGAATAAAACCAGTATTATCTTAGCCCTTGGGCACAGAAACAGATTCACAATTTAAATTGGATACCACTTTAAACTGTGAATCTTTGTGAAAACACTTCATCTGAGTTTTGCTTCAAGCTCAACATTTAATTTACATTAAAATTGCATGACTTTGATCCAAGTGTGACTTGAAGCATAAGTGGAGCATAAATCCTCAAAATGCTGAGAACCCCACTTCAAAGCTAGTTTATAATCTAAAAAAAGGTATGTGTTCAAGTTGCACCTGTGGATGGTGAGGTAGAGCCTCATTAGCTCAGTGAATTGGGCATCACTGTAGCCCAGCATGTTGGAGAAGTTGTGGGACCAGTCCAGGTTGGAGTCGATGGCTCCGATACTGCTGCCTTCGCGATACAGGTTGCGGTAGATCTTTGCAGCAATGCAGGGCAGCTTGGCAATCAAGTCCATGGAGTCCTCATAGACAAACTAGGAGAACCAATGTAAAAAGGATTTGGAAAAAGGGCATGGAACCAGACCAAAAGTCAACAGCCATGCTAACAGCCCTGTGAGGCTGTAACACTCTTTACACAACTGAAAAAAACACTGTGGATTCATCATCTTAGGACCATGAATATCCGTACCAAATTCAATCCAACCAATTCAAGATATTTTAATTTGGACAAACATTTCCACTCTAGTGCCAAGTCACCAGCCTGTTTTCAGATGTGTTTTCAGATGTGTTTTCAGATGTGTTTTCTGTGTGTCCAGATGTGAACTCACCTCCCAGTACTTGGTCTTGTGGACACCCTCAGAGTAGGCCCGTGCAAAGCTGCTCTCACTGTTCAGAGCTGTGATGGCAGCACTGAACTGAGACATGGGGTGTAGGTTTGTGGGGAAGTTATCCAACATGGTGACAACGTGAGAGGGAAGTGCTGCTCTCTTTGCCCACTCTTTGGACACCCAGTTCACCTGAAGAAACAGGAGCACACAATATAAGCGGGTGACCGGAGATATTCACTTTCGTGTTCTTTCCATGTCATGTTTATATGTTTTTGACAATGTGTGCAACAGGCAAACATACACAGATTTAGTTGTAACCGTACTTTTCCACCAAACATGACTATACACAACCACACCGTCAAGAAAGAGCCTAAGCTGTTCAAGTACAATGTTTGGTTTATTTTACGGAGGGGGGGGGGATTATTTAACTAACGTCCTTAGCTACAGTAGCTGACTTCTCTGAGTCAATTGCAGATCATATCAAAGAACAAAGGGCAAAGAGGTGAAAGCTATTTCTTCAGTGAAAAGATTCAGCTAAAAGGAGAAAGCTTATCAGTCACTTTATCCTCATTTCACCTATTCAGGAGATAGCCATCAGCAATAAAATGCCTATTTAGGTCACAAACTTCCTCGTTTCCCATTTATACAAAATTTCTACCTTATATAAGACTGTTGTAAGACCAGCCAAACATCTTTTGATCACCTTTCCCATGTTTATAACAAGTCAATAATCATCATTAGAGCCCAGACGATACTATCAGCTGATAGTGTCGAATCGCAAACAGCTGGTATTATATCGGTATCTGTGTATATGTTATATAATATGGAATACATATACAATGCAGGAAAAAAATGCTTGTGGTAATATAGTGCTGTAACTGCAAAGTCTGTGCAGCAGGGTGCACTGCAATGTACAATACTATTTACAATACAGGTCTTAGCAATGTCAGCAAGAATTGGTTGACACAATAAAGATTAAATTATTCAACATGTTGAAGAATATTTGACTTAAATATTATAAAGTTATATGTTCAAGAAAGCAGCCTATTGAGTTCCTTTAGATATTCATACTGGTGCAAAATTTGTGAACAATAGATCTATTTTCTAGCTCAAAACGTCACTATAAATGGTATTGGTAGGGCTCTAGTAATCATGTTATCCCTCATATATTATGGAGTTCCTCTTTTAACTAATCATTAATCTGCATATTTAATTTTGAAAATGCTGAAACAGCGAAGGGACATCCTGTCAAAATCTGACGAGCAGCGTTTGAGATGCACTGACAGATGGATGTAGAGAATGAACAGCTGCAGCTCCCTCATTATAGCTCTATTGTATTCTTTGTAGCTTCAGCGCTCCTGTTCCACTCACCTGCTCCTCAGTGGGCACCTGTCCTGTGACCAACAGCCAAAAGAGACCCTCGGGCAGCGGCTCCTCACCTCCTGGAGCTTTAGGCAGCAACTTCTGACACTCTGGAATGCTGTAGCCCCGGAAACGGATACCCTGTGTATCAACAGAGAGAACAAGAGATGCAAAGGTGATTATACATATTCAACTTATCCTGAAATGGCCCATCAAGTGAGTGCTGGCAAGCTGCCAACATGAGCTCCAAGTCTAACCACTGAATTTTGATGATTCAATATCTCATTACATGTGGTGGCCTGCTAAAAAAAGATAGATAACAGCAATTCCACTCTGCCACTAAAGGCTGCTTCAGTAAGAAAGCAATCAAGGTTAAGTGCCTTTGAGGCAGGCTAATCTCATACAGGCAAAGGGTGTTCAAACTATAAAGCCACTGTAAGAATCATAATGCTTTGTGCCACTCATGAGCCATACTGACCTCATCAGGATCCAACACGGAGGTCTCATACACCAGACCCTTCATTCCCCTCATACCTCCATAGACCTGTGGATGAAAACAACAAGCATATAAAGACATTACATATTGAAAACTGTCTTATTAAGACGATATATACAGTTGTAAATATAACAGTTATGTAAAGCCAAAATCTACTGACTGCTCTGAGTGGAGCAGAACAATTGCTAATCTTGGTTATCAATTGCTGCCATGTATTTTACAAAGACGGGAAGAAATAACCTAAATCCAATTCAACGTTAAGTGTGTAACATTATGCACTGGAATTAGAAAATAACAATAAATAGACGTACATAACATCAGCTGAATGCTTACTTCTTGTTGTTAAAGTGAAACAGACTCTTGTCAAGACCCAAATTCTTTTTTCTAAAAAACCCAAAGGCAAGTAGCGAGAGGTCAGAAGTGAAATGCGTGATAAACAGAGGAGGACGATGCAGTTGTTGGACTGGTGTGTGTGCGTGAGTGTATATGGGAGCTGTGCGAGTTGGCAGTGTACAGTAGATGTTTGAGTGACTCAGCTAAAAAACGCCTCCACTGGCGGGTATCAGTGCAGCTTCATATTGTGACCTCTGAGGGACATGACCGAACAGTGACACCCGACACAGTAAATAAGGCTCGACAGGCCCAGACAGATTAGGTGAAGCCAATATGCCACGTCTCATCTACGACATGGTTGATGGCTTCATGCTCCTTCCTAAAGAATTTATTAAAAGAATCTGGCTTTGTTTCTTATTGGTTTGTATTTCTGATTTTATTTGGATCCCTTGACACATACCCTTTATTTGGTCATAACATCCCAAGAAGTCACTCACCATGTCAACAGTAACCTGTCCTATGTTGGTTTTGCCATACTGTTGTTTAAAGTTCTTGATCCTGGTCTGTTCTTTAGGGATAAGGTCTGCCAGAACATCCTTCAGATTCTGTAAAAACACAACATTTAATCAGTCATGCCCTTGATCAAACATCTAGATCAAACAACTCCAAGCACACAGACTACCACTTAAACATATAATATAGAAAAAAAACAAAAGACGTAGATAACTAGAGGCAAGTAAAAAACATAATTACAGATTTCTCTAGGATTTTTTGTTGGAAACATTTGGTATAATAAGTACACAACTCAACAAAATGTACAGCAGGTCTAGTCGGTTTTAAACATTTAAATGCAAAAATGTTACACAGTATACATTTAAGCTACAGATTAATAACAATGCAGGAAGTAAAGGGACTGTTTGTAGTGTACTTACTGTTGTTGATGCGCTGGCATTTCTGGCAGCCACGAGGAAGTAGGTGGCATTCTGTAGAATAGACAAAGAAAGAATACAATTATAAGTATTACTATAATTCACAACCACAAAGCTAAATTTAAAAAAAAAAAAAAAAGGCCTGACATGAGGAACTTAAAATTAAAATATTATCTATAAATATCTTAAAATATTATGGACAATAACAGACTTCCTTCCTCTTAGCTTAAGACCACATTATATATAGAAATCTCCAGTTCAGTTGTTGAAAGGAGTAAACAAAGACAGACTTGAAATCATTCAACTTTAAGTAGTACTGGCCAATATCATGTATAATATGAATTTTACATATACTGCCATAGCTGAAACAACTGTAACTCTTCAACAGGTAGCAATATTGTTTTACCAGGGCAAGCTGTGTAAAGTGTACTGACAGGTGAGATGTATTAACCCTTCTTACTACCAGTTATAACTTTATAACTCACAACTAACTATCTCCAAACAGGGCAAACCCCCTATGGCACATAACAATTTGTGACTATTTGTTTTTTACTTAAATACTACTACTAAGTATTTAATGTCAGTTTATGTTGTTAATACAACGGTCATGCACTCGTGCTCTGCAATAATTTAAAAAGGGACTCAGAAAGCAGTGGCACTCCCATCCAAGAGTAACAACGACACAGAGGTTGCCACATTTCAGAACAGCGGTGTACATATACACCTGCAGGCATATTGATTTCCTAAAGAATGGATTTAATGCCATTTAAAAATATATATATATATATATATATATATATTTGCGTTGCTGTTGGCCTGGTATCCTGCGAGGCCTTAATGCTAGTAATTAATCCAGGATCTAAATTATTAATCCCTCCTTCCTTATATTGACAAGCACTTCTTTTCTTCCCTCTGCATAACTGAACTGGACAGATCACTACAAACGACTGTAAGAGTAACTAATGGTGACTGAGGACTAAGACATTTACAAACTCAAGGCTGATTGCTAATGAAGTGAAGATATTCAGAGTCATACAATGACGCATTTCACAGTCACCAGTCTACAATGTCAATATGTAGGATTGATTCATGTGGTTTCCAGTTTTCCATCACTCTTTTATGTTGGTGTCAAACAATAAACATACAGGATTTGTTCCTTACTCAAAGTGACCCTGTATTTTTTCAGTCATCTTAACTATTTCACAATTCTTGAATTTCATGCTAGTTGATTGAACATGTGATGTTTGGAAATGTTGTCCACTGCTTAATAAGGCTGCTAAATACTAAGAGTAGGGAAATAATAAATGAAAACACTATGTAAGAGAGAAAAAACAGTAAGAATCCACAACAAAAGATAACAAATATTAGCAGCAGCAGTTGCACATGGGCAATAGATTGCACAGTGAATAAAGACATGAAAGGATTGTGAGTGTTTTTGTATTGTAACTGGAGGTCTCCTATAATAATGGACTTAGACCCTAGTATTAATATGCTGCAATGTGACTCGCAAAAAAATAAATAAACAGTAAATAAAGTGCATTTTTATAAGCATTAATATAATATATATAAGCAGTATTTAATGTTTTGCTGATTGAGATAAGTCTAGAAATATTCAGGTGGTTTTTGCAAGGAGATCCTTACAAGTTGGTACGTATTTGCCCAGATAAGCTGAGTGATGGAAAAGAAAATTACGCATGACATGAGGAACCAAACCTTCTCTATAATTAATGGCGCTTGGGTTCTTAAGCCTTGGACTGTTGTTGGAACAAGACCAAGGGACGTAGGAGAGATTTAAAAAACTACCGGCCCTGGTTATGAAAGTGTTTGGAGGCTAGTAATCTTGTTGGAAGCTCAGTGACAGTAGTGAGAAGTCGAGCCTGGTGCTTCTCACAGCTGAAACAGGACTACTCTGTCAGCTTATTAAAATTATCAATGGGAGAGGGAGGAGTCTGGGGACAGCTGGCTCTGCTCCCAATGGGATCCCCTCCCCACAAACACAACTGGTGAGGGTGGATAAAGGAGTGACAAGGCTCACAGAAACAAAAGGTAGGATCTTGCGTCACCACACACACACACACACACTACACAGCTGAGTGAGAGATTATGTAACAGCTCAGGGTCTTAAATATAGAGCGCCAGTTTCACTCAGTCACTCCCAGCTTCCTGCCTGGGAGAAAGGTTAAACCAACTGCACTGGACAAAAGGGTATATGAGTCAAATCAGAGTGTGTGATAAAGAAACCAACAAATAAATAATTGATTTATCACCGACTAAACATTCTCTTAAATAAACTAAAACTACCTGGCTTGAGAAAGCAACTTTGCTGTTGGCAAACAGTCATTTGTGTGTCATTTAGTGACTGCTACATGTAAGAAACTCTACATTTATTCTAAAAATCAACCATTAACACGACACAAACACAAAAACTATCTGAATAAACTATTATAAGAACACCACATGTATTCTGTCCTTGCTCTCAATCACATGATTTTAAGTCATAGTCCAGAGGCAAAAAGATTTTATGGTCAAAAAAATGATATGCAATGACAAAGAAAACTGCTTACTAATTACTTTCCTGAGCAAAGATTACAACTGATATTACAGGACTGATAACAGGAACATGATAGCTCCCAGTCTGTCAGTCTGTATAGAGTTCACAGATGGGGTTGGGTTCAGGGGGGCATTAAGTTGGTAGTACTAGAAGTTCTTCAGCTGTGGGTGACACAAGTTGATATGAGGGCTCATTAAGTGTGAGTAGTCTGTGCTGGGAGGTCAGTGGAGTAAGACAGTAGGTTAGGGTGACTGGAAGGAAGGTTACAGTCAGCACAGAGGGCATTTTACTTAATCACTGGCAGTGTTTCAGGTGCAGCCTTCAGGTGGGGGAATTATGACATACTGAGTTAACTATTAAAGCAATTCCCCCCATTTTATAATAATTTCCAATCACGCTAAGATGATTCATCTGAGATTACATGTGTTAACACTGCTGCTGGATGGCTGAATCCACCCTAAAAGACTCGCTGACACAGGGTTATGCAACTTTTTGCACATGCAAAAACATCTTCAGGACCTCGTTAAATGAGGTGCAGTCAGATAATGGGCTGAAATCTTAACGTGAAGGTCAACGGAGGTGGTGAAGAAACGCAAAGTTAAGAGGGGGAAGAGTTTACGAGCGAATACGGCGCTTGTAACCTATCAAAATAAAAACTAATTCCTCATTAGAAATACTAAAAGAAACGACACAGGCTCACGGTCCAGTCTCTCCTGGTTACAGACTCGGTGACAATACAAGGCCAACACAGACACCCACGGCTGCCATGCTAACGTTAGCGAGCCAACATGACACAAGTTCACACACACACAAAACAACGTTTAAGTAAGTAAAGCGGAGAAAAAAATAAATAAAAACCTCCTATTTTAACATTTTAAAAAATACCTCGCCACGCTAGCACCTCCACATTGTGACATACAAGGCCAACGCTTGCCGTTACGTCGTTAGCCTCCAGGAGCTAACCTCCCAACAGCTTTTGATAAAGTGGAAATCGAGGCCGGGTTTTATTTTATATTTTTAAAGTCCTCTTACCTTGGAATTGAGCAGTTTGGGTGCTAGCCTGCTGACCGACAGGAAGGACATTGTGTCTGTGTAAAAGTGTTATTTCCACTTATTCTTTACGACTCAGGAAGCCGCTGCCGGTGCACCGCGGAGCTGGTTGAAGGTGCCCCTCCGGAAAGCAGAAGGTTGAAGAGGGATTGTGGCCCGCAAGTAGCGCCACTGTTGATTGGACGATGGGCTGAGTCCGTGCGATGGCGTATATTGATTTGATTGGCTGGCGGGCCACTTGGGGTGCGCGCTGATTGGCCCTGTGTTTGTGACGGCAGCTGAGGGTCGGGTAAGCTTTATAAAGTCTCTGCACTCAATTATTGGGATATTGATTACAGTTGATGAAGAATCTGTTCCAGATACCCTTGTCTGGATAATTTAACAAATAATCTCCACTCTCTACACCAATCTTTATTTTTTCTTTATTCCTCTGTACAGTTTTTCCTGAAGGGACCCATTTTCTAGGATTTAAACTTATCACTCCTGGATTAAGTAACATATTTTAGGGAATTCTTTATACAAATCTCTGTCTGTATTATGTATTATATATAATTTTTTAACAATCATACACACTTAATAGGTTTCTTTTTTGGCAAATTCAGTGTTTTCTTGTCCCTGATGCTTGGTCATTATTCTGTTAGACAATTTACCAAACAATTACTAATAATACTTTACTTCACATTTACTTTTCTTCCCAGAAGTGAACCAGATGCTGAGATATAGGCCTACTGTATATTTTTTTTAAGTTTTCGTACACGCCTTAAAATCAAGAAGGCCTCACGACCCTCCTCCATGAAGCTTTGGCCACCCATAGTAGGGGTCCCGACCCCCAGGTTGGGAACCACAGGGTCAAAGGACATCTTTCATGTGGCTCTAAAACAATGGACTTTACTCCTAAAACTTCTCCACTACATCAAAATGTGGTATCAAGCTCAACAAGAAACATTAAAATAAAGACACTGCGACTTGGTTACCTGAATTTAATCCCAACTTCATTTCCAATTGAAAAAATATGCCTACTATTTTTGCCAGTGATCCTCAGCTGCATCTATATATACTCTTTTATGTCTTTAGAGTGACATTTTTGGCATTCAGTATCAGCATATGTTACTTACAATCAATCAGTGTTGGCAGGGACTATAAATGGATCTCTTCAAGACCTGATTTGAACCTATTAGTGGACATGATCTTTGCAGCCATTTACAGCTGTAATAGCGGACAATAATTGCTGCCAGTGTCACGCCAGGACTTCTGCTCAGATCAAAGTCAGTGTTTACCAAATGTTAGCACATGATTGGTAATTTTATTTCTTCACAATCATCCCTCCAGATAGCTGTTAGACTACAGCCCTGATGACTATTGAAGGAACCAAAGTACATTTTTGCTGTAAAACAAGAAGATCAAACTTTATTGTCCAGGATTGTTGGAAAAAAATAGTAGCCTGTTGTTTAGACTCAAGGGCATTTGTTTTTTTTAACCAACTGCATGCAGTTTACCAGTATGGTTTCGTTGATGGTCAAGCCCACTGTTCTCTACCTCTGTGGACTGTAATATAATGGCTCAACAGTTTGTCCAAAGAAATAATTTAATTCTGCAATACACAAGAAATGATTAAAATGCCGAGATGTATCAAAACAGAAACATACTGTACTTTCAAATACAGTACATAGATAGACCTACATATACGTTCTTGCAATCATTCTTGAATTAGAGCTTGTGGTGTAAATAGTCTCAGTTGCATACTCATTCTTGATCACATAATGCAAAGTAATGCTAATAAAACCAGTGGATAAAGTCCACAAAATGTGTTTGGCACATTCAGAATGATCCATATGTTTCATTACACTTTATGTAAGCCAGGAACACACTATACAAAAGACCTAAAATAACTCTTTACAATGACATCTTAAATACTGTGGAGAGTTTTGCCAGGACAGAGCCAGTAGGACCAGTTGGCGTTATCTTAAGCTACATTCACACTACTGGCACACACAACCAAAATCTGATTTATTTATTTTATGCTCATATATGACTTAGATCTGTTTTTTCATGACAGTGTAAACGGCACAAATCACATGCAATCTGATCTTTTCAATACTGATTTGGGCCACTTTCATATGTGGTCCAAATCAAATATAAGTCCAATTTTTTTTTTGCAATGCGACCTCAGTGTGAACGGTCAATTCATTTGACTTTTACGTCCCTCTGGATCTATGTTCCTCATGTGGGACACTTCAGGACTGTGACCTGTTCACACTGGAATCTGATATGGGCCACATTTAAAAAATAATGTGAACAGTTAAAAAAACTAAAAGAAAATCTGAACTGAGCACTTAGGCTTACAGTGTGAACGTAGCCTTAGAGTTTAGAATTAAAATATCTTGTATTGCTGTCCCAATTGTTTGAATTTGTATGACTGGAATCTACATTAATCTGAATGAGATCCTGTAGTCTTAGCTGGTTTATTTAGAGCTCTGTATAGAAAACCAGCAGTCATTAGTCTTCTCATAGCATTAATTAGGATTTTTAAAAAAGTCCTCCTAGTGTGTTCCCGGCTGTTGGCAGATTTTGCATTTTTAACCCTGTTGGGTGAGATTTAGACCAGCAAAACACAGAAGATGCAATGTAAACTAATCCACATCATGCAGCCATTACGACATGCATGTTTTAAAATCTTTGTAAACTTTTGGCAGAATCAGTAGCCTTCTAGTCCACATCATCTCAAGTGAATTCTGTAAACAAAGAGGGCCTCAAACATACAGTATAAGAGCAGAAATAATTGTGTGCAACAAGGTATAAGAGTACGTCAATTTTTCCAGAAGTTGTAGGAGGTGATCTGATGTGCTTGGTCCCCACTCCTGTGTTCTTGTGCCTGGTAATCCGACCCAAGGTAATGCATAAGATGGCATACAGTCCTAAGAGAGTCCTTTTTAGAAGAAGGGCAGGTGCTCTGGGCTCAGTTGTCTTCTTCCTCATCGTCCTCTACGGGATCTAGGAGGACGCTGTGCTTCAAGCAGGTTTGGAGGTAGTTCACCACTGTCCGCTGGAAGTGCTGGATGCTGCGCGGCTCTCTCAGGATGTGGCCCTCGTCTGGGTACAGCTGCAGTGAGTAGTTGGCTTCCACCTTCACCAGTCGGTTCAGGAGCTCAGCGCTGTGCTGAAAGTGTACCCTCGCTTTGGTCAAACACAGATATATTGGAATTAGTTTTAGAAATTATTATTAAAAGCAAGCAATTAAAAGCTAAGCAGCATAAAATTGAACAAAATCTCACCATCTGCAGTTCCATGCAGAATAAGGAAGTTCTCATCTTTCAGCTTGTTAACCTCCTCCAGCAAAGAGGCAGTCTGAAAAGATATACCATCACAGTGTGAGTACTTTATTAGGCACAACTACCTAGCTGAAACTAACGCAGCCTGACACAACAGCCCTGTAATAAATTCCACCTTCATGAAAATGTAATTGTTCAGTTTTTGTTTAAACTGTTTTAGAGAGGTGTTGATTAAACTCTATGGTCGTCTTGGAGGCTGTCGATTGTGGTGCAGTTGAAGTGTATTGCATTATACATAGAGGTGTTTCTGCTCTCAGTAATATAAATGGGGTGGACAAAATATCAGAAACATTTCTCAGTATAACAAAATATAATTCAGTTGTAAGTTTAATCAGCACCTCTCTAAAACAGTTTCAACAAAACCTGCACTTTATAACCATCATGGAGACTGGATTTATTGGAGGATTGTTGTATTAGACTGCACAAGTTTGGGGTAAGAAAGTTGCAGCTGAGTGTATATCCACAACAAAGTACACATATTCTTTACTCAAGCAGAAGTACAAATACTTCTGTAAAAAAAGACTAAAGTCAAAGTAGAAGTATTGACTTAACTTCTTTACTCAAGTAAAAGTGAAAAAGTACAGACTCTGAAATGTACACAAAAGTATAAGAGTAAAAAGTCCTCTCGTGGTTTCTCTGAAGGACATTTCTACCACCCGTTTCTGTGCAAAGCTAACTGAAAAGACAAATAGGGTCGAGTCTCTTCTCTTTTGTTTTACTACACAGCATTTGCAGTCAGGGTCTGGAGGCTCTAGAACAATCTGCCCGAGGAATTCGGAAGTATCTTTTTTACTTAAACCTAAATGTTTTTTCTTGTTTATTTGTTTTTTGTTTTAAATTGATGATTTAATAACTTGGGTTGAATTGTATTTTATTTTTTGTGAAGCACTTTATAATGTTGTTTTTAAAAGTTTTCTATAAATAAAGAACATTATTAGATTATTACTACGTTGTTTCTGGCTTTGTCATCATGTTACGTCATGTGTGATAGAAGCGTGTTGGGCAGGCGTACAATGACCAAAATAATAATAATAATAATGCTAATAAAAACCTTAAGTAACAAGCCTGTTTTGAAAATGTAGGGAGTAGAAAGTACACATATTTGTGTAGAAATGTAGGGGGTAAAAGTGAAAAGTAAAGTACAATAATAAAGTATTTGTACTTTGTTACTTCCCAAATCTGCATGTCAAAACCAAGTATTTACACCTAATAGCTTTAGAGCCCCACCGAGTATGCATGCTCCTCCTTTGCTGGAAGGCCAAGATACCTCTCTGAGAATGCAGCACCTGAAAAAAGAAGAATAACTTTTACTCTGATACGTGAACTGTGTCTCTATTTCATCACTATCTCCATGGCCTCAATGTTTGAATAATTAATGACATGTCTCAACTCACTATAAAGCCTGAAGTCAGTTATCGGTGCCACGACGGCTGTGCATTGAAAGAGCTTATCAGTGGCAGCTAACATCTTGAGAGTTAAATAACCACCAAATGCCTGTGGGGAGAAGCAGAAAAGTGCTAACAATCAAACCAATGGGGCTTCAGTTGTAGTACTGAGTTTCCAAATTTAAATGATGCTGTAACCTTGCCATAGAGGACCATCCGTCGATCGTCAATGTAAGGCAGTTGCATCAACAACCTGCGGAAATATCATAAAAATCCTGCTAGTTTACCAATTCACAGGCATTATTCTTACAGGGTCAGTTATATAGCCTTATGTAGTTGCATAACTGTACTGACTCTACAACTCCCAAGTAATCTTTGACTCTGAGTGAGCCAAGCTTGCGTGGATCTACAGCTGTGGTCTTCTGTCCACGACCAACCCCACTCCTGCCGTCCACCCAGGCCAAGGCCACATTGTGTGTGCCGGAGAGGACCTGAGGCCAGTCCAGGGCAAATTCCTCTGTCACTGACTGACTGCCAGGAACGCCATCTCTAAAGGGACAAGAGGAACAGGATCAGCTAGAACGGTGACAGTAGTAGGGCGTGGAAGATAGGGGAAAAGGCTTCGGGGTCATAGGTTGCCAAACAGGTGACATTAAATAGCTCTTAGCTATTGTTTAGCTTGTGATGCTTACACAATGATGAGGAGGGGGTGCAGGTTGGCCTCGTAACCCTGAGGTAGAGATAGTTTCAGGTGTAGATCTAAAGAAAGCAAATAGGGGTTGAAGAAGGTCAGCTGTCCATAGACATGTTGGGACTACTACTCCCTACTCCTACTACTAACATGAAATACATCAGAACCTCATGCAAGAATGGATCTTAAATATAAACAAAGCATGAACAAACGTGCACAACCAGTCTGAAAGAATACTTGGTGCTGGTCCTTGGGGGCAGGCATGACTCACACTAATTACCTAATCAGCAAATAGAAGAAATTACTGCTTTGGTTGGTGCTTAACTATATTTGTCCCCTTCAGTGTAGCCGGACCTCCATTCTCACTGCTTAATATAGTCTGACTGCTTGAGAGAAACACTGAAGGTGATCTGTAAGTGCTTTGTGACTCTATTTGTCTGGCCAGCATCCTTAATGTCAAACCATAAAATGCTTTCTTTGTTCTACCATGGTTGTCTGCTGGTATCGTCCTGAACACGGCCTCAGGGAGGCTCTTGTCCTCCAGAGCTTTAGATAGAGGGCTGTTATCCTCCAAGACGACGTATCCTACAGGAGATAAAACGCCAGTGTGACATATTTTTAATCCTTAAATTTGAAGACAGACACAGTAGCCCATCAGCTTTCCTTCATCATCATTGACCATCAGCTCTAACAGAGAGCAACAGACAGAGGGCAGTATTCACAAGCATGAAATTAATGAATCTACATTCTGGTGTGCTTGAAAATACCGCCCTCTGTAGGCAGTCAAAGGGAAACTGCAGACAGACCGTGTGTGCATGTGTGACAGTACATCTGTGTGCGTGTGTGTGTGTGTGTGTGTGTGTGTGTGTGTGTGTGTGTGTGAGTGATTAAACCATTAGTCAGACAAGCAGATGTAAAACTCACTGGAGGGGTCCTTTGTACTGTGAACTGTCACTTTAGGGATCCCTGGGCCTGGGGAATTTTTCAAAAGACAACATTATAAAACTAATTGTCTGAGCAGCGTAAAGCTTTCATATTTGTGTGTGTGTGTGTGGGTGTGTGTGTTAGTGTGTGTGTTACCTAAGCAGTAGAGGGTGAAATGGGTTTGATTGGGGCTGAATTCAGCCTTAAAGAAGCGACATCCATCTATGAGGTTACAGGAGATGCACCGGCGCTGAAACACTCCATCCAGGTCCACACTTGAGGGTTATTGACCAAAGAACAAAAAGACAGTCTTAAGTGGTTTGATTTGCTCCAGGAGAGGGTCAATTGATTTCTAAGATATTAAGGAAAAGTGTCAGTGTCTTGAGACAAACTATTCAGGCAGTTGACTTTTCAGAAACAAATGGGGTTCAATAAGGCTAGACATAAAAGCTATTATACTGATTGCTCTGTTACGTGGTGTCAAGTCTCTGAACGTCTCCTTTGCTCTCCACCGCTTACACATTTCATACAGGTTTAATCACAGACCACATTTAAACAACGTCCCTCCTCCATAATACTGTTCTACCTCCGAAAGCCCAAAGCTATGTAAGCTAATAAAAAGATATGAAACCTAGGAGGTTGATGAGGGAACAGACCAGTGTGTTTATCACAGTGGTGACAATACGTCTCAGTGACTCAGCAGCATAGAGGGCCCACGCTCATTAAGCACATTTTTTATAAATGTGTCAATGCAGCATTTGGCCTCAAGCATTTACAGCACAGATCCACGTATCAACACATCAGAGTGCAGTTACTCTTCTGAATGCTTTTCTAGCCATGCTAGCGACTTGACTCCATCGATAGAAATGGTGGTTTATGTTGCCCGAGGGATGAATTGTAGTAACTTTTGTGACGTTTTGTCTAGCGCCCACAATAAATAGATATATGCTGATTTAATCGCAAACAATCACACAAACATGACATTATTGTGGCACATGGCGTTGAATAAGTGGTATTAGAAATCAATAAATAGTTTTATTTCCAAATCTTCAGACATTTCCCAAAATACTTGTCTTTTTTTATTGAATTTGAGCCTATCACTTCGTCTAAAATGCGTCCATAATTGATAAATATATTATATGCATTCATTTACATATTTAACACCTTATTTTTTTTAATGAATCTGAATTAATGTGTTAAATTTGGCAGAAAAAGGGGGTGGCAGCTGGGGCGACCCATGCCATTCCTCTTGATCCCCCCTGCTGCTTGACTGTAAACTCTAATCTTACATTAATGACAAGACATGCTACATACAAATTATATATATATTATCTGTTTTCTGCATCTGCAATATTCATATTTGGTCAAGGTTAGGCCATATTTAACAGGGAAGCAAGCTTACCTGTAAAGGTGTCTGCTCTGTCTGGATTCTTCTGTGCTCAGGAAATATCTGATGAGGAGAAAAAATAACCACAGACACAGAAAGTTACTCATCACAGCCAATGAACTGCAGATCACCTTTGGGCATTTTCACTTCAACATTATTATTCTGGTTATTTATTATTCATGTCAAGAATCAATCTACACTTATTTACATATTCCTGCAAGTTAACAAAATCCGTGTATCACATTTAATTTGTGAAGCAGCAGTAATGATTTAAAACATCTGAGGAGTGGATGTACATCAAAATATGCTGCCTACTTCTACATCAATGTTAAAAGACTATTGTGAAACAAAAATGAACTGTTTGGAGGCAAAGAGCAGTATAAACCTGTGTGCCTTTGTACCGCAAACCACTGACTACATCTAAAATCGACTTTCCTTGATTCTCTGTGATGCTCAGACCTAAGTCAATCAGGTCGTGAGGGATTTCCGCCCCCAGCAGGATAAAGACAGATTTAAGCAATAATCTGCTCTGGTCAAGTGTAAGCAATCCTTTGTCATCTTCAGTGGCAATGCATTGCCACAAGCATAGTCAGGGTCAAAGCCATATCCTTTTAACCGAGATCAATGCTACATGTTAAAATAGCCCTTTTAGTTATTCTTTAAAACACAGTCTTATGTGTACAATCCAGCCAGAGCCTGACCCAGCGAATGAATTTACTCTCCAGTAGCCGACACATCTAGAATTTACTCTCAGCTTACAACAAGAAATTATTATTTTAATGATGGCCACTATTCTAGTCTACTCCTCTGTCACTTGTAGATTAATAGTAAGAAGCTGCAAGCTGTTAAAATCACTGAAGGGTGATTCAACTCGGCCTCACACAATGTGGGTCTCACATACATTTTTCCTGCCTTCTCCTCGAGGGCGCAGAGCAGGGTGACGTCCCAGCTCCCTGATGTCAAGAAGCGAGGAGGGACAGAGGGGATGGCAGGCTGCGTTAGACAGAGAAACAGGAAAGTAGAAGCAGACACACATACAGAATAAAAATAGGTGCAGCGATACAGCAAGTGTGTGTCAGAGGATGGGGAAAGAATGAAGGTTCATGAAGTTAAACCAAATGAGGCCACTGATGGCTACAGCGAGAGTTCGAAAAAATAATTTTTAAATCATTGTTTATTTTGACATGGGGACTGAAGTTAGGGAGACGCAGGAGCACAAACGTTGTATTTGATCCTAAGTCAGTAATTGTATGCATGAGCCCAAAGGTGTGAGACTAACCAACAACTATAAAACACATGCCCTTTTATTGGCAATTTCCCCTAAATGAAGAAATCGAGCCTCATTTCTTCAACAATTTTAACTTAATTCTTTATTGAGAATTAAGTATAAGAGGCCATTCTCGTCTGTATAGACTACGTTTCTAAAGAAATGTTTTATTTGCCCCACTGAGGATGAATAGCTTGTTAAATTGAAGTGAACTGAAATGAATTCATTGAATAATGTAAAGGGCAAAACACCATTAAAATAATGAAGAGTGAAATGCCTCCTTAGATAAAAGTGTTGTTAAGGTAATTAGGGAGAATACAAATGCGAAAAAACTGCTTCAATAATAAGAGAAGAGCAGGACATTGCAAGCAAATTGGACTTTAAGGTCTGTGACGCTGAAATCTGTAATCAAACTGTTTTATATGACCCTTGCTGAAATGTTAATGGCCAATTTTGTCCGAAACTATTCGAGGATGACACGAGGGAATGAAAGTTAACTGCCCTCAAACTGACCTGGGCTGAAAGACCGACAATGTGGTGAAACTCTCCACGAGCGCCCTGTTTTGCTGGCAGGATTGTATAAAACACAGAGCCGTCTGCTGAGAACAACGGCACATCCTGTTGAAAGAAAAGGCACGGAGTCAAAAGAAAGATGGTAGTGATAAATAGATGTAAACAGGCAGAAACATGAGCGATACATACCTGCCTTTGGTTTTGCATTATGTCCATTGCCATTTTGTGTTTCTGTTGATTTAAAATCACACAATATAAAGAAGTTTATTAGTCACGCCATTTAAAATGCACTTAAATCCACATCTGAAAGCTGATTTAAGTAGCATTGTATAAATAAAGCTTATTATGTGTATTAATTCTTAAATATAGCAATAATAAAATATTGGCAATGCATTACTACAATCTGTGAGGATTCACAGGAAGGGAACATGCAATAAAATACTGCAACACATCACTGAAAATTCTTCTCATGCAGCAAATGACCTTAAATATTAATCCAGCGAGTAGACATTTGAGAGCTTAAGGAAATCAATCCCAACTCCCAACACAGAGTAAAAGAAGCCAAAAATCTATTAAAGCTCTATATTGCAGCCGGGGCCGCTCGGATTACTAATGTGGAACGACTGATGACCACTCACCTCTGAGCATGCCCCTGTGGTGGCCTCGCACACGCAGAGCACTGATTGGTTCTGGGCACGATTCAGCCAACGAACTGCGAGGCGGGTGCTGCTGATCCAAGTCACCATGGAGATGTAGCTGTCTCTAAAGAGGCGATGCAGAAAATGATACACGGAGTTAGGATTGGAAAGTGGTGCAATGGAATGGAAAAGAAAGAAGCAGGGGGAGAGGTGATCCTTGGACGTGTGATCATTTCTGACAGATGGTGTCTAAAGTATTCATGATTTATTCTGTTTTTACATTCACAAAGACGTACTACCTGGCCCTGAGGGAGTCAGGAGGCATCATCTCCAGAGTGTGAGCCGGACCATACAAGTTCACCACAAACAGACTGACTGATGGGATACTTGAGCCAGCCTGTGAGTACGACAAGAAAATAAAAAAAGCTTTAAAAGATTAAATGAACTAAACAGAAATGTTAAAGATCCATTGTGTTATAATACCTATGGAGTATTTGACATACAGATCGAAGTGTAGCGCTCAATTCAGATTTATTTTGTTAGGCTGTTCACATTATTTTTTAAATGTGGACTATATCAGATTCCAGTGTGAACAGGTCCATGTTTCTACAGCAGCCCAGAAGAGACAATCCTAACACTGCTTCTAGATTTCTCACTTGTTTCACTGCCACTGTAGTTTCTCCTTCGCACTTGAAAGGGGAAGGTGAAGCGAGGGAGTTGTAATCTGCAAATACACTGCTAGATGACACTTAATCCAACATAACGATCCTTTAAATGTACATTTTGGCAAATATTTTTTAGCTAAACTAGTGGCAATGTCAAAGTCTGTTGGTCCACAACTTTGGTTCAAACTGTAATGTCTCAACTATTCTTCTTTGAGATTATTATTGACATTCATGGTTCCCAGAGAATGAATCCCAATGACTTTGGTGATCCCCTTATTTTTTCTCTAGCGCCACGATGAGGTTGACTGGTAATTGGATGGATTGCCATGACATTTGGTTCAGACACTCATGTTCCCATCAGGATTAATTGTAATACTTTGGTTTCTGACCAAATACCTGCAAAAGTACAGTCATAAAGTGAAGATGGTAAACATTACACCTGCTAGACGGCAGAAGCATGCTGACATTAGCATTCAGCTCCAAGCACCCCCTGAGCCTGAGTACAGCTTACTGAGCCGCTAGTCTGGCTATAGACTTTTGTTCATATCCATTTTTTACCTTGGGGTAAGGGAAAGAGAACATTGGACGGGTAGAGACCACCTAAGAAGTGAGGTATTTCCATCACAGGTGTGGCAGAGTTGTTGATGGTGAGGTATGCCAGCCGTGCCCCATCCATAGACCACCAGTGGGCAACATATGTCAAGAGCACTTCCTCTGTTTTAAAACACAATGTAAGTTGTTACTGTCAAGCTCAACACATACACTTGTTACTCACGATCATTGGTGTCAACTTGGTTTTACAGATTTGTCCCTCTATGGTCGAAGTGGGAAACATTTCTAGTGGAAGCTGGAATATATTATACCTTCATAAGTCCAGTCCGAGAGCCCGTTCACCACATTCTGCTCCAGGTCAGCGGTTGTGAGACGTAAAGGTTTGCTGGTCACACTCGGCTTGTAGTAGATATCGCCGTCAAACACATAGGCCTGGCATGAGTAGCACAGAGAGACAGTGCCAATCCATTATCAAAGACAGTACAGTTGCAGGCTTCATCGCTGGCTGCCTGAATCGTGCGTCGGACGCCGTCCAAGACTAAATGAATCATCGGCCAGCACACACACACACACACACACACACACACACACACACACAAGTGAGAGCCAATACATCTTTGCTTGCCAGTTAATATGCTGCAGATGAGCACCAACATAGCAGCAAGAGCCAATTACATTACAGGGAAGGTATATGAATTACATTATGAGCGTAAAACAACTCCATTATAGCAACACGGTCACTGCAATAACCTCTAGGCTTCAGTTCATCTCATAATGACAAAGACGTTATTCCACTGACATTATCACTATAAAAACGATGTCAAACGGAGGCTCCATTCATAAATAGACTATCATTATAGACTGTCTAATCTTCGTAGTATATCCTCATATAAATGGGTATAGTTGGTGCAGATCTCAGGTGAAACACTGATCAGGTAAATGAGTGCCTGGCTTACCAGCTGGTTCCCCTGAGGTCCCCAGGAAGCGTAATGTATCACTGCCCTCTCACTCTCTGGAGGGTTAAGCTCCAGCAGATCCCTGGAACACACACAAAAAACGCAAACATAAGCCCTCCGTTATGGACGAGCATCCTGTTGAAAGCCCTCAGAGGTCCATCCATGCCCGGGCCTTGAGCTCTGCTCGAGGAAGAGATGCTGTACTGTGAGGACAAAAGAGCAAGATGCAGAGAAGGAAAACAAAACAGAGAACGGGGTTGGTTCATGCAAGAGTGCAATAATTTCTTTTTCCATATTTCTAGCCGTTTTTTCTTCCTCAGGACAAGCAAACATTTTCCTCCAAGGCATACTCAGGCAAATATCGAATCTGAAGGTCCTCTTGAAATCCTTTTAAGAACCATTCCTCTGAGTTTTCCCACTGATATAATGCTGAATATGAATCTCAGGCAGTGAAATCTGGAGTACAGTACAATGCTCACGTTGCGATATGGAACCTGGAAAGAACACTGACGAATGAATGCATGGCTGACAGAAACATGAGGTTCTGATTCGATGAAACACACTTGGGGGGACGTTTTTCAATCCGCAGGTCTGCTTGCATTGGTAACGCTCATGCCCAGTGCAGCCCATGCATTAGCATTCATGATTCTACCTACCCATTAGCCACAGTGTAGATAGCATAGGAGGCTGTGAAGGACTGAGAGAACACCTGAAAGAGGTAGAGGATATCATGCACACAGGAGTGCCACACACATATTTTAGTGCTCACACATGCTCATACACATGTATAAAGAAAGTTAAATGCAAATGAAACAAAGGTTATGAAGGACACTGCCAAGGCCAACCCTAAAATTAAAGCAATTAGCAACTGGAAGCTCTGTTTGCATTCACTAATTTCATCTGAAATCACTGCAAAGCAGAGCTACAAGTAGCGTATTGCTGTTATCAAAGGGCAGCATAAAAACATTATTCTACAAAATTAGAAAGGGACGTGTTCAAGGAAGCCTAAAATATTGTATTAATAATAGTTTAATGCAATTGAATGTTATTCTCTCGCCTAAAAAAGATGTAGTGGCAAAGTGCTGCACACTGTAAGTATCTGTATGTGAGGTAATTTCACATTGATTTTAATATTGCTTTGATTGATCAGTCATAGCTTAGTATTGTAGATGTAATTTATTAGCACCACTTACAGCCATTTTCTCCATATTACATCATTATTGTATAATATCTGAATAACAGGAATTTTAATTATGGAGACCCTTAAAGGAGAGTAAAAGAGAAGACAAAAGACATTAAATGTGAAAGGAAAGTACAGAAACTAAGACGGACACTCTTATGAAACAGCATCATTACAGCTAATATTCTTCTCACTGAGATCTATTGTGGCTGGCAACTCTGTCACGACCCTGACACAAGCATCAGAAGCTCAATGATTAATTAGATTAACATGCTGAAGAACACTAAGAGACCAGAATCAATGAATGCATGGATGTGTATGTGTTACCCGCGATTGATCACAGCCTTACCTGATGAATTCTAAGTAATATATTGATTTGTACCATTCTTTTTTTTCCTCAAGCAGGCTATTTGCCCTCTGGCCTTTAACAGCCCGAGCCTCCTGGAAAAAACAGTCCCTAACAAAATTAAATGTCACATGCTCTATACAGCACACTTAGCAATGAAATTGGATTTCTCCTCTGTGTTGTTTGTCTGTTGTTTTTTGAAAATTCATGGATGAAGTGACGCAGAGGTAAAGCTGTAAGAATAAAGGAGTGGAAATAAATTCTAAGGTTATCTAAATGAAATTGAAATCTGATTGCGGTGTAAAGTCTGAGCAAGAGTGGCAACAGGGCGAACGGGAAAAAGAGCTGCGTTACAACAGAAAACGACGGCGAGAACAGGAAGGGGCAGGAATGAATTGGTGGAACACTAAAGGAAAAAGTAAGAGAGGGATAGAGAGAAAGAAACAAAGACAGGAAGGGAGGAAAGGATGCAGAGAGGGGAGAGGCAGTGGCTGACAGCCGACGGGAGCTCGACACACAACAAGGACCGTTCTTGTGTTAGAGGGAGTATCACTCTTTGAGACCAAGGGGGGCAGCATTGCCATGAGCACCATGTTCAATCAGCTGTTTATGATTTGTTAAGGAGCCCGGAGATCCTACCCATGATTTAACATTATGAAACCGGTGGCAGAGGCTGTACGTTATTGTGGTCTGTGTGATAAACAGACAGAGACAGTGAGAGCTACTGTCTCCGAGAGGCAGAGTGAATTCTAATGTGGCTGCCAGAACCGTATCATAAATCCTCCAGATCGCTCTGCTCCTCACCCCCTGTTACTTCCCACCCCCTCTCCCCAATCCATGTCCCCAAAGGGGATGGGGGCACAACGCACAGATTAAACATTGAGAAGATGGCGTGGGATAATGGGACAAAGGAAATATATAGAGATTACAACATCCTTTGCATGAACATAGATACTGGGATACAGAGATAATAGCATCCTTCCATCAAAACATTGTTCCTGCATCACAAGCGTTTCTTTGCAGCCCCACAATGCGCTGCCTTTGATACCAGCACCCATCAGCGTTTGCTGCAGAGTGCAGACACGACTCCCTTGGCATGTTATTTGTCCCTAAACTGCTCTGTCTTGGCAGGTACCGGTCCATTTGCCTCTGCTCATCAATCCCAGAGACCTCCATCTCCTCTAGATTATTTCCCCATCACTCTTTGAAAAATATGTAGGTCTTCTCGTTCCTTGCACACAAACCTGTTTAATTCAAACAAGCTTTGAGGAAAGACATTTTCCTCTAGGAGATCTGCTTTCTCTTGTTCCTATGTGGCCAAATCCCTAACTCACTATGTATACTCTCTTATCAAAATCCATTTATTTTCACCCACCAGGCACAAAGCCCTCCCTAAAGCCTCCAGAGCTAATACAAAACCCAGAGAAGCCTTTTAACTTTACCCACAGCCTGCTCATCCATTTCTCTGTACTGCAGCTTTCTTCTTTTAGTATCTCTGTCATTCTTTGATAACCATTCTGATTGATTTCAACTGGGCAGTGTATCTAAGGGCAAATGGTGCATAACCCATCCCGCCCCCCTCCATTGCAAGTGGCTTTCCCCACTGCTCTCTCTGTTTTTTATCTCTCGTTCCCTGCCACTCTCAGCAGCGTGCCGCTCCTCTTCCAAACAGCAAAGCTGGTGCCTGGCACAAACTGCTTCAGTCAGCACAAATCCCCCCCAGAGACAGACAGAAGAAAGTGAGAGAGAGTGAGGAAGATGACGTGGGCGAGAGAAGGAGGGAACTAGAAAGAAGGGGAGAGTGGCGGAATAGCCCCCAGGCACAAAAACATGGCAACCATCCTCACACATACATCACATATCCATTTTTTAATATACAAACGACTTCAGGTGGCGTGCCCACTGTCCCTGATTTCTTCTAGTGTGAATACACACGGAGCATACAGATGAGAATAGACCATTCCTGCTGACATCAAAGGAAGTATGCTAATGACATGGCAGGAATCAACCAAAGCAACCCACAAACTGGGCTAAAGATCTGAGCCCTTTTCTCCACAGAGATATCTGAAAACTGATTGGACGTATGTTAACCGCTCAATAATTCAGTTACAATGGATGCACTGTATTTATGATGAATGCTGTAACACAGCAACAGGCTCATTCCTTCTCAACCCCCTACACACATAGAAAATATGATACGCGGTGATTTAAGCAAGAGTAGATCTCTAAAGGAAACCCAGAGAGATAGAAGAGACTGGGAGTTGAGAGTGCAAGAGAGCAGCAAAATCTGCTTTCAGATGTTTAATAAAAATATGGGGAAAATGTGCTGAGGGCTTTCATTTCCTCCTAATTCTGTTTTCTCCCCTCACCGATTACTTGCACATTACACAACTCGCCTGCCCTTTGAGGAACGACTCAACTGTTTATTAATGATGCGGGTATTTGCAGAGTGAGACGGGCGGCGGCGGGGTGGTGGAGGCACCAAGCTATGTGGTGTTTAAATAAAAGGAGCAAAAGGTCTGTGTTTTGTGTCTACCTCAACACTTATCTGAAACCACCTGCGATTGTGATTCTCGTCGGCTTCTCATTAAAATTCTCCACTGAACTAGCACGGCGATTTCATTACAGCAGTTCCAACTTTCCTCTTCGTCTCCTTGATCTTCCCTTCCCCCCCGCGCTATCCACTTCACACTGATCACTGACTCTAAGCTTTCCTCAATCCCCTGCACCTTCCACCACTAGCCAGTTTAAATATTCAACTCCCCATATGTTATCCCAGTCATTTGGCGGGCCGTGTTGTAGAGCTAAAGACTGCTGCAGTAGCAGAATCAGCACACACACACAAACACACACACCTTCTCCTCAACCTCCTCTCTGTTGTTTCTTTGGAGCTCTTATTAGGATGCATGTCACTGTTGTTTCGCAGACACTAGTGGCCTGCCAGACATGTGGAGGTGTGTGAGCGGTAACAGCTTGTCTTTGATATTCGTGGATAATTTATGGCCCTGGATGTATTCTGGAGCTCAACGCTGCCTTTCTGGAATAAATGAATGCCAAGTCAACTTGGCACTCAAAGAAAACTTACCGGTCGAATGTTATACGCCAAGAGGACAAACCTCTTATCTGCAGACACTTGGAATTTAGTAGTGGTCAGGTCCTGTAGAAAAGAAAAGGAGGAAACATGTCAGGAGCTTCCATCTGTTTCCCTGCAGATAAAATGGGTCAGGGTATGAATGTAACTTCTTTGTTTCTGTTACTGACAAACTGTATAGTCTGACATCTGGAGTTCCTCAAGAGTTAATCCTGGGATCTATTCTCCCTTTACACGACTCCTTTAGGGCACATTATCTCTGCATCTCTTATCACTGCTATGCTGATGAACTGCAGCTTTATGTATTTGTGAAGCCTGGGGAGCCTTCAAATCTGGTTGTTTTATATAATTGTCTTAAATCTGTAATAATTGTTTTATTTGGCCACGTGATGCAGTGGAAACAATCTGAGAACACGGCACTGACATATCATCACATTTAAAAGTTGAACTAGACACTGGGCAAGTCCAATATTCACTCTCTTTTAGCTTGTTTTTGGCCTCTGCCAATTTGACCAACTCCTTAGGGAAATATCTGGCTCTTTTGCTGCTAAATGTTCCATTATGTTCACCAGCTAGTCACAAACTGTGTCTCTGTGCTGAGCAGGTAGTGTACAGTGTGTATTTAGAGCTCTTTAACTGATAACAGCTGCCTGCTGCAGCTGAAAACGATGCTTAGATGAGGGGAGCCAACCAAAACGGTAAAGTTGCGGGCCAGACAGCTAAACAATGAGGTAAAACTCTTCAGTTGAATAGTCCTCTTAGTTTCAATTAAGAAACAGATTACACCCCTTTTTATCTTTCCACCAGCTTGAACAAATCTGCCATTCTTTTGTCTCATTATGTCTCCACTATTGTAATGCATCATATTGTTGTTTAAGCCAAGAAGCTCTAGCATAATTACAAATAATTAAAAATTCTGCTGCATATTTGCAAACTAAAACTCCTTCTCATCTACTGACGAGGCTTTATTTGAATCCACCATACATTAGTGAGCGGCTGATAGGTCCACTAGGACACTCTGGTCATTTAAGACATGTGGTGAAGGAGCTTTTGCTGCCTCTCTCTGGGGATCAGATCAGTATTGTGTATAACAATATTGGCACCATGTTTTCCATTGTTCTATTTGCCAAAAGTGAACATGACTTGCCTACCAAGCAACACATTAAAAATGACGACGTTTGTCCTGGTATGAAAGCAGACCTTGCCTTTTTAGTGACATGTGTTAATCATGTAGTGAAAAGAGCTAAAACTCTGTTCAGTGTTATAAATCTCATCTCAAAACCTGATTATGCTCAAAAGGCATTTTATGAAAGGTTTCTTGCCCCAATTTGTTCCTATTATTCAATGTGTTTTGCTTGTCTTTGATTTAAATATTTCTACAGATGCTTTTTATCATCTTTTTTTGTAACTCTGAATCACTTTGTAACTCTGCTTTTGAGAGAAGAGCTACACACAAAAAAGTTTGACTTACTTAATGTAAATTTTAATCTCAAAAGTTACCATCTCCCCCTAGGGATTCGTACATTAGATAGAATTACAGAAGCCTGTATACAATTTATGATGACAAAATGTCTGATACAAAATGTGAATGTCAGTGTTTGACAATATACTTAGCTAAAATTGTATCAGCAATTCATTTATTCAGGCAAATCCCCATGTGTGTCTTGGTATTCACACAAGAAAATATATTTTTCTAGAATTAGCTACAGCAGCAGAGATAACAAACCATATCACAACGCCAAAGAGAGACTTCTTCTCAACCTGACAACACAACCCCTTCTCTAAGCTCCTCGCTGATGACCCATATAAGTCTGTCAGTGTCGTGCAGAGGCGGTGTTCAAAATGATACCCTTGCTTGGAAAATTCTCTTTGAAGGCACATGTTGAGGGCTCACAGAGCAGCCAGATTGGGGGGAAATGAGCTGATACTGTCATTCTGCCAAATCTTTTTCTGTTCAGCTGTGGGATGTGGAACAGTGGGAATCTACAGCTTCTCTTTCTCAATCTGGAGGCACCCCCTCTCCTTTGGCCAGTCAATTTAACCAGCTGTCTGTGGATATGAGCCAATCAATACTGAAATCTGTCCTCTGTTCTCATAAGCTGTAACTCACCAGGGAGCTGTTGTCCAGGAGAGTCGAGGTGAGGTTGCTGTTGAGGCTGAACGACAGGACATGTCCTTCTCTGGTGCGGAGGGCCACTTCGTTTTCTGGCAGGGTTAAGACAGTTCAGGGAAGAGGATCCTTTGTTATTAGTGACGACTTAAACCCACAGAGGCAGAGACGGTTGCAAGGTCTGCAAACCCTGTGGCTCGATTTCAGGTGAGATCATTAAAGTGATTTTAAACTGCGATGAGCACTTTGTCAGTCAGGGGTAATTTGTGAGTCAGAACAGGGATCCTTACCGTTCAACCATGCCACAGAGGGGTCATGAACTTTAAAGTCTTCACTCTCCAGGTCCTCCATAGTGAGATGGGAACGGAGTAACAAGTGCGATTCATCTTTAGAGGAGAGGAGACAGCGTTAATTAGTTCATCAAAAAGTCTGTCCTGTTTAGAGGAAAGCAGAGTCTGACCTATTTCTGCTTCGGTCTTGGATTCATTATGTGCATTTTGAAAATCGCTGTTGTTTGAAACATTTGCAACCCACATTATGCCTCCCTTTGAAGCAGATGTTCAACTTTTTAGGAAATATTTGGTTTCTGGCAGAGAGTTAAATGATACCACTGGATACCTCTCATATCGGTACATTAAAAGGTACAGCTATAGCAGCACCTCTATAGACTACCAATTACCACATTATATCTTGTTTGTTTAATCTGTAAAACAGAAGTGTAAGAACCACAATTTACTGTTTTACGGGGCATATTAAGGAGAACGGTTACATCTATTTTCCAACTATTTTGATGATTAACCATTTGCCAACCAAGCATGGGGAGAAAACTGCAGAGACAGATAACAGGGAATCTCTTATCACCTTGTTTGCAAGCAGTTTTAGCATGCACTTTTGTGCAGCCACCAGGGCAAAGAAGATTAGCCTGATCATCATGAAAATGGAGAAATATGGCCGGATATATGCTCCCATTAAGCTTTGTGGAAGGAGAAGGCTTCTGTGAGGTGATGCCATTTGTTGGGCCGCCTCCATAAAGTGGTGAATGGCTGTTATTATTTTGTGGTTTTTGTACAGGTAAAACAAAAAAGACATAACGTCTTAATTAGAGAGCTTTAGAGGTGCTGGTAGAAGGATATTACTTTAGGACAGAGCCAGGCTAGTGGGTTCCCCCTGTTTCCAGTCTTTGTGCTAAGCTAAGCTAAACAGTAGCTGGCAGTAGCTTCATATAAACCCTACAGACATCTCAGTTTACTCTACACCACAAAGCGAACAAGCCTTATTTCCAAAATGTCAAACTACTCCTTTAATTCCCCACAACTCCTCTCTCTACTTTGTTGCTTTTTACTCTTCCAAACAGCTCTTCTTACCAGGCGAGAGGAGGATGACGGAGAGAATGACCAGAGACATAACAGCCACAATCACCACCATGGCAATTCCTATGCCCTTCCAGTTCCGCGGGGGACCGTCTGAACTCCCCAGGTCCTGATATGATGAGAACACACACAAACACAATGCTGAATGCGGGCACAGCTAAGGAGAAGGACATTAGTGCTGCCTCATTTCCATAGTCTCACAGAAATTTCTCCCCGACAGGCATATTAGTACAGTGAGCCTCAGAGGAATTGAGACCAGTCTCCTGCATCACACAGACCTAGCTGAATTACACTAATTTTCCAAATGAAAATGGCATGAAATTGTTGCATATAAGAGACTTTAATTCCAGCAGTAGTTTTGGCCCACACCATCATTTTTCTTCACCATCGCCTCATTTCACCTGTTACATGACTGATGAGCCATGTGGTTTGCTAAAGAACAGGGGGGTGGGTGAAGTTACCATGAAATGTGTAGTGCCTGAAATCACAATGTGCCTTTATAGGAAAATGTTACCTACTTCATCTCCTTTGGTGGATCAGGATTTATTCAACAGCCTGTTAACGAGGCAATAAAAATAAGAAGTAGATGGGACTATATAACTATACAGTGAATCATAGAGCAAAACTTCAAGTTTAGCCTCAAGTCCTTGTATACCCTCCGTATGCGATCAGGGGGAACTGATCGAATAGGCCGGCATCAGAATCAGTCACAATTAAACACAATTGTGTGCTGTTCCCAGGCTGCGCTCCACTCCCTCATAATGAGTGGCTGGCACCTCTGGAGCCACATGGCTGCTGGAGTGTGAGAGTTCAATCATAGAGCTGCTATAAAATTCAGCCATCATTATGGCTGACCACCCCTTTGGCTTAACTCTCACTGCCTCGCCTGTCCCCGATCACCTTCTTCTAGGCCAGGGGCAGGCAGGCAGGCGGAAGGAGGGCATCTACGTGGTTCACTGGACGACAGATTGCTGCTCCTCCGTGCTCCCGGGGAGACACCAGCTGTCCCTAAGTCTGTGCTTTTGGCCACACTAGCCTTAAAGCCCCCACCTAGCACTTCCTTTCCACAAACATACAGTTATTTACCTCCCTTGACCATCTGACTTACAGCCCCTGGCTCATGGCGTATTAAAGTGCTGAAAACAGACAATGTACTAACATAACAGGGGTCAAAATGTCTTAAAAACCCAATTTCATAAAATGGAGGAAAAAAAAGAATTCTGTAGGAACTGAAGATTAAAGGTCAATGCAGTTGAACCAGAAGTAGTGGGGTTTCTCGTCAGGATAAAAGTCCTCGATACACATTTATTTTTAACTTCTCTTTTAAGAATTTGTTTCAGAAATGTTCACCCTTTATTGTAAGCAAACAGAGTTACTTTAATCCCGAGATGACCTACACGGTCTGCTCAATCTCCACCGGTTGCCAGCACAGAACTCCTGCCAAGGTCTCATCTTTAATAGATCTCCAGGCTCCTGCAGTATCATAACATGTTCAAATTAAAACCACTACCGGTTGCACCTGCAGGGACAACTTTTAAGTGATGTCTGAGCACGCCAGAGCTGGGTGATTGATGTCCAAAGCTCTGTATCTACTGGCCTTTCTTACACTCTGTTTTATCTCATTCGCCTGCCCTCTCGGCACACAATATCTCAGTGAACCACCATTATCCTTCCATCAGATAAAGAAGCCTACAGTAGTCGATGAAGGCTTTTTTGAGTATACAGTAAATACTGAATAATACTGCATCTTCAGCACTTTCTGTTGGACTGAACTGTTATACATTCGAAAAACTGAGAACTGAATCTCCTTGGCAATACGAACTGGGGGTATGTTGTATAAAAACTATGAATAGCAATGGTTAAGTGTTATGGTTACATATCATAAAACAAATTATAAGGAATTACATAGTGGTTCCAGGATCTCATAGTAGAAAGGAACATTATAAATCAAATTCCTCCACTTGACTGATTCCATCACACTGTGTTTTCATTTCCAAGTCCTCCCTCTAATTACTGTGTGCAACATGAGAGCTGAAACATCCTCTTAATGGAATGCACAGCTCCTCTCATTCCCCTGAGCCCGATATAAGACCGTACTTCCAATTAAGGTCGCATCGTTGTTAAGACAGACCGGGAGAATCCCTCATTTGGGGCGAATAAGTAGTTTTGTCACACTTGCAAATGAGGTACAGATGCGCTAAGCAGAATCCCCAGAGTGAACACCGACAATGCTGCTGGTGCCGACTGGCTGCTGGTCACAATGCATGAGGGAATCTAATGCAGCACAAACTGCTGGCACAGGTGAACCGACAAGGAGATGCGCAGCATGACAGACTTGGCTTATTTCAGTCAGGGACCTTGATGGACAAGCAAATATATCTTGGAGCAGATTTTTCTGCTGAGCCACATCAAAAATGAATCACACATAGACCTTTTCTAAGTGGGCCATCTGTTTTATTCAGCCTGCATGATCCCACGGGAGTTGGAGAAGAGATCCATGAGGTGTCAGTCAAACACCAAAGGGTGAGTGAATGCAAATCAAAGGTCTTTATGTTTATGGATAGCTCTCCTGAAGGAATCCCCTTGAGAGGATTTTTTTTGGCAAACCATGCAGAATTGCATTAGAGGAGAGAGAGAGCTCTTGTGTTTGCCAGTGGAGCTAAGGGAATTTTCACTCAACCAAATGAGAGAATCGATAAGTGTACAGTTGTACAAGGTCCAGAGGGAAAAAATTAATAGTGGGAATACAGCCATAAAGGAGACTTTTAGATAGACGCCCTCCTGTTGATCACTGGTTCTTGCAAAGTATGACACCCCCAACACCTATTCTGACCTTTCTGTCATTTCAACTTAAAAATACTTGGGAACCGTTTATTAAACTGCACACAAACTGACTGCAGCTAACTGGCTCCTTTTTTTCCTCAGAGCACTGTACACACAATCAAACTATTCCCACTGTATTGATTGAGTTTGCACACTAAAAAAGCAAGCCACACCACACAATTATTCACTCTGCAACACAACTAGGTTGAGCAGAATCCAGGCGGTGCTAAGAAATCATAAATTAGGCTCAGGAGACCTCCTTAACTCTATCTTCTCTTTCTTTGAGGCATGGAGAATCTGACAGTAAATTACATGCAGAGGAATGAGGGAACCAATGCAGGCTGTTTTGGGATCGGGTTCTGGATTTTAAACCCCCCTTTAACATCGGGCAATGATGTTTATTACTCACATGACATTGGCTGAGCCATCAATGAAATAACCACCACCATAAAAAGGGTTGAGATCTATTGGCAGACACATACAGCATTCACTATAGCCTATATGCTCCTGATTATAACGATTCACTGTAATGGCTCACAAGGGAAAGCTGTAGATTAGCAAGTAACCCACGTATGTATTACCATGTCAATATCTCTCACTGCCTCTTTTAAAATAAAGGTCATCATCAGAGCAGGCTGTAACTTTAGCGTGTTTGGAATAAATAGTAACCAATGTGCTGTAGTAATGAGATACTACAGCTCAATATTGATTCATATCTTGGCTTTGTCTTTCATCACATCCAGAGGAATTTCTGTGCTCCTACTCACTGCGCCACTGTTTCTCCCTTTGCGTTTCTTATCTTAAAAAAAGCAGTAGGTGGCATAGACACCATATGGGACTAACTGGGCTGATTTTTTTGCCCTCGAGGCTATTGCCAGATAATGCAGCACAAGCCTTTTGCGAAATGAAAGACCTGCCGCTTGAGCCTATACTGCTGCAAGGCTGCCCTACTGTCTTATTCTTTTCATGCTTCCCATCACGCATAAGAAAATTACTGTACAAAAGGGTCCTGTATGAGGGAGCTTTTTCTCAGCGTGTCCAGCCACTCACAGGAACCGAGTTCTTGCCTGAGGAAACAAGCAGCATCAGTAATAAAACACGTGTGGGAGAGCTGTCGGTGACATGATATATAGTTATAGTAAAATATGAGAAAGAATGTGTCATTTTTCACTGGGTTGAGACAGAAATACTCTATCAGTAAATAATATGCTTGTAATATGCTCACGGTATACACAATAAGAATACACTGTGTCATAATGTCACATTATCAGTGTTGATGATAAATGTTAAAAGAATGCCGCCTTTGAAAAAACTAATTAAATCACTTATATTCGACATTAATGCTTGGGATTAACTGAACCAGAACCAAAGCATTATGTTTTTCCGGCATGAAATTGGGATATTGCTTAAGTATTTGGATATGACAAAAAGCAGTATTACAACTCATTTACATCAACTCCTTAATGCTCTTTGCTCCTTCTGTATCATGGTGTGTCTAATATTGTGACACGCAAACATATGAGTCAAGCAGAAACCCACATTATCCCTTAAACCATTGCGTCTTTTCACCAACACGCAAAGGCAAAAATGACAATATATAACACAGGTTTGCCTCATTAATTGCTTTGGTATGTAAAACATATTGATTAAAGACCGTAGGCATGAAACGTTGCGACATTCGGAGGTAATGGATTGTCAATAAACCCTGCTGCTTTGTGTGGCCCTCTCAAGGAGACAACAATGCTGCAAGATTATCACACAGATGCTTCCCACAGGTTCGATCACATTAGTATGTGAGTAAAAGCACTAAAGGTTGGTGTAATGTCAAACATCACTATGCTCATACCACATACCAATTAGATGTAATTTAACTAAATAATTGACCTGCTCCTCTATCTCACAAACACTTTCTCCACCAGGCCAGCTGTGTACTAATGATATCATGATTGAAGCTCTTTTCCACGAAGGGTGACAGTTTGATGAGACCTGTTAATTAGTTGACTTGGCAAGGGTTTAAATTGTTACACTGCACTGTAAAAAAAAACAGATTAACCAGAGGACATTATAATTCCCCCCCCAGACAATGACTGATGCAGCATGAGAAAGTTTTATTCAAAGAAAGAAACAATGCATATTTGTGATTCCGTATATATTAGTCATGTAAATCCCATTGAAATAAAAATGTAAAACCAGTGACATGACTAATCTGATGCAATAATTTATCACCATCATTTATATTACATTAAACCGCTGATAAATTCTACACACTTTAAGATGTTAAAAGCATTAGTGAATCTTTAATTCACGTAGTGTATAATTTATGTAATCTCCATGTAATACATGAAAGTGTTTGCTCATAAGTTGCTTCTGACACATAAACAGAAGCGAACTGTCTTTGAAATGAACCATAAAAAGTCACACTGGAGCTGATGTGCATGTTACAATTGAACGGGAGGGGTGCATAAATACTCATTTACAGAGCATTAAGGGTATTTTAACTAAGTGCAGTGTGTGTGTGAGGAAAAAACAGAAGATGTTTGTTCATAGTCTTTGTTCATTGACAGTATACCAACCCAGCAGAGGGATAATCAATCATACAGTGCAGGCTGCAGGTTTGAGCCCCATTGTCACTGTGCAGGTGCAGGCTGGAAGGGACAGTCTGCTGGGACAAATTCTTACATCTGTAACAGTAGACTGCAGATATTATGCTATAAAAGTCTGCATGGGACAGAAAGACAATAAGAGTGAGGTGCGCTGGACGTCGTGTAACCACACCAGCCTGCACCGCAGTACACAGAGTCAAAGCCTGTTCAGGAGATTGATATTGCAGTCTGAATGGGTGAAATGACTAAAACACTAATCGATAGTCATCATATTGTGGTCATACATGAGGAATCCCCCGCTGCGCTCAGTGAATCTCCCCTAACAGAGCAGAAACACACACCCACACACACACACACACACATACACATACACACACACACACTCAGTGCTCTGAATGTGAAGAAAAACTAAGTATACAGATAAAACAATAAAATAAAAAAACCACACACATACCAGCTCCGTGGTCATGTTTTGTTGAGTTGTGGCAATCATTGTAATCCCCAACAAGCTGTGCTGCTTCTGTAGCCTCAAAACCCGCCGAGCTGCTGCACTGTTGTCTTGCGGAGCTTTTTCTGCATGCACTGCTTCTTGCAAGTTTGTCCTCACAGGGTTGGTGGTCTCTCTCTCTCTCTCTCTCTCTCTCTCTCTCTCTCTCTCCCCCCTCGTTCACCCATTCGCCTATTTCCAATCTGCTTAGAATATTGATTGGCTCAGAAATTAATCATGACAGGAGGTTGGGTGCATAGCTGTACTATCATGCGACTAAAGCTGTTTCAGCATTCCTACAGACTATCAACACGGAGTAATTAATAATGAGCTAAATGTTTTGTGAAAGATTAACAGCCAATTTTCATCCATTAGTTTGTTATATGTGGGTTGAATACTTATAGACTAATTGTCAAATTCCATTCATACATAATAATTATCATCGTGTAGTTATTCCTGTAGCCTATCTAATAATATAAAGATTCATGATTCCTTCAGGAGCAATGCTGAAGTGCCTTAATTTCCTTTCTCTTCTACAGGCTGGAGTTTTTGCTTTTGAGTTTCTTGTTTTCTTTTATATTAATTGTTGCAGAAATGTAATTTTATTCACCTATCATTTTATAATATGGAATATAGAGTACTTGCAACTTTTATAATGTACATTTCTCCAGAACTTTGGTATACCGGTACTCTGTACTAAATGAACTGGTCTGTATGGGTGGACTGACTGCACAAATACAGCAATATGGTGATAATTAAACAAACTGTTTTACTGCTCCTTCAGGGCTACAGATGCAGGGCTCCTTCCCTCCCAGCCACAGCATACTGACACTGTCAGTTAAACTCATGCAGTGACCTAACAGGACCGTGTGTAGTCGTTATTTTTCCACTTACATACTCCAACAATAAAACCCTTTTATTCACTGGTATGGATTTTTATTTTGAAGGTTGTGACCGGAAGTTTTTTTTTTCTTCTTCTTGATTCCTGCTTTTTTCCCCCTCCTTACTTATTTGATAGGTAATCGATAAAATTTTTAAACTGACATTTAACAGTCGTGGCTGTACTCGTTTCTGTGTGTCGCCCGTTGTAGTGCCGCCGAAGCGACGATCGACCATTACGGTGGGGTTTTATTATGAAAATCCGTCCCCGGATGTCCCGTTCTCCATTCTGCCGCGGCTCCTTCGCTGATTGGCCAGCGGCGAAATTTGAAATGTAACGCGGTCAAAGCAGCTGTGGCTGCGGAAGGATGCAGACAAAGATACAACAAGCTCGTCGCTAAAGGCTAAAAAAAAAAAAAAAAAAAGAGAGAAACGGGGACAAAAAGCAGTGCGCTAATCATCGCCGAAAGGATTATTCTGTCGATATCTTCACTATCGAAACGGTAAAGTAACTGTTGCTCGCTAATGTTTGCTCACATGCGAGATTAAAGAATACAAACAAGTTAGCAGCTAAAGTCAGACCCGCCATGGTTTTTTTTTTTTTCCCCAATCATACAGTTAACTGTGTGTAACGCATTTCCCTGGAGATGTTAGCTCTCCAGAACATAAACAAAATAAGCAGATTTTATCAGATGAGGAATATGTAACGTTATTGTTATGGTTTTAGGTACAGTTATGGGGCTAATTTATATTTTTTTAAGCATTGTTTTCGTTGCCAAGTTTAAGGTTAATTTCCATTTCTTCCAAACACAGCTCCACACCAATCCCAGTCTCTATAGAACCACTTGTTATCATATGAATTGAACGTAGTTAATGTACTTTTTTTTTTTAAAAAGGTCTCAGTTGTAAAACAACATGGACACGGCTGTGCTGAGCCTCCAGAGCTTATATGATAAGCTGAGGACGCAAGTTGACCTTCTCAATGACAACATTGAACCCAGTGAGTAGTTTTTATTGTTCTTGAGGTTTTATCTTTACTGTCTGTTTGATTTGAGACAGCTGCCTTGGGTTGCTATACATACGCCTGCCCACATTACTGCTGTAACTATGTGCATCCTGTTTCCCCAGACTTCATCCAGATGGCACAAAACTTTGATGACTGCCGCCGCAAGTGGCTGAGGACCGAGCATGAGCTGGGATCTTGCAAAGAGGCCCTCACCAAAACGGAGACGGAGAGGGGATCCTTGGAGGTCAAACTGAAACATGCCCGCAACCAAGTAGATGTGGAGATCCGGCGCAGACAAAAAGCTGAAGCTGACTGCGAGAAATTGGTATGTTTGAAACCCTTGTTCGTTAATGTGTGTTGATTTCAGTTTGTTCTGTTATTTCACCTGGTTCTTCTTGTATTCCTCTAACACAGGACCGTCAAATCCAGTTGATCCGGGACCTGCTGACCAGTGAGGGATCCTCAAACAGCATCCAGCTGAGTGCAGAGCAGCGTTCAGCTCTGGCCTTCCTGAACACAAACTGCCAGGCGGCCGCCAACCTGAATACCAGCCGAAGGTAATAAGCTCACACATACAGCAATATATATTTAATATAGCCATGTTTTATCTTTCATTCATAGTTTTGAGTCCCTGGCAGTGCTTCAGCAGGGCTGCATCTGCTACATTAGCTGTTCTGTGAGCCATATGGTACAATAGAGAGAGTACACTGATGGTTTACCTTGTGGTGGGGTTCATTTGCATGTGTGAACATCTGACACTTGAGACTTGGATGCAATACAAAATTGTATTCACAAGCTTACTCTGAACTGGGGAACTCATTTCCCCACGTCCATTCCCATCTTCCCATCTATTTATCGCATGAATGCACCATTCTGCCACGCTTTAAAGTCACTCTGAACTTTCAAATGCATTTCCATGTAGGCATTTTAAAGAATAAAATGGCAAATAAAACAATTTGCAAAACTGTTTTGGGTGAAGGCAAATGAAAGTAGATGAAATACTCCTGACTGGTTTAACACGTATATTCTGTTGCTCCTGACAGACTGAAGACGATAGATGAGTCCGCCTCCATCTTGTCAGATATCAGCTATGATAAAACTGATGACTCTCTTGTAAGTACTTCCCTTTTCAGTATCATCTAGAGTACAATTAACATATATATATGTTATGTTATATACAATAAAACAACCTCCTTTCCTTTTGTGTGATTGATCTGTGACAGGATTGGGACTCCTCTACGGTGAGGACAGTGCGACTCAAGAAACGAGAAAAAAGGGTATGTTAAGGACACGTGCACCTTTCCCCCCTTTTAAACATTTGTATTTGTAAGATGAGCTTTGTGTTCACTGGAGTTAAAGATCTCATGTCTGCTGTCTTGATTTCAGCGCTCCTCGAGAAACCATGTCGATGGTCCTCCACTCGCCTCCAAACGCACTCGATCCACAGGCAGAACTTCAGAGAGGGTAGGGTTTTTACTCATTATCACCGTTTCACTGAAACGTGTGGTGTTCTTACACATGGCTACGATAACTCCAAATATAAACAACTAAAATATGGCAACCAAAATAAAATGATTCTGTTTTGGCAACCGAAAGCTGATTGTTTGTTGGAAGCCTGTAACCAGCTTGTAAAACGTGTTGGGACCTGTCATAGATGGCTTGTATGGTTATTTATTTGTAACAGGGAAATGAGACCCTTGTGACGAAGACCACAGTGACTGTTCCTGCGAACGGAGGACCTGTTGAGGCGGTTTCTACCATTGAGACTGTTCCTTACTGGACTCGCAGCAGGAGAAAGACTAGTAAGATTTTCGTTATGATGCAGTATTTAACCTTGGGCGGTGCTCAGCTTAACTAATCCCAGTTTAAGTGATCTTGTTCATTCTTATCCAGCTAACTTGATTCTTTCAGCTGTTTTTTTATCTGTCAAAATCAGCCGAAAATGTAATTACTTAAATCCCTAAATTATTTAATCTAATCCATGCATGCTTTTATTCTGAAATAATGGCGACATGACAGATTTTAACCCATAGGCTCATGTCAGATCAAAATCAATCTACTGTTATTATTATTTTTATTATTATTATTATTATTATTATTATTAGTAAAATCAAAACACATTCAATTAAAGGAGGCTGCCTATTATTTACAGTAATGCTCTCATTATTTGTATGGATTTCTCTGCAGCAGTGATTTAACGTTTTCTCCTAACTGGAGAATGATCATGGATGTGTGCCAAAAGTATTTTGTTGTCTGCCTCCTGTTCAGCTACCATGGACTGGGAGTCTGAATCAGTTAAGCCTGAGGATGTCTTCAAGCAGCCTGGCATCCCTGAAGGAGAAATAAAAATGCAGCCCAGCACTCCGCAGAACCACGGGGGCGTCCGTCATCATGAGTTTGTCTCCAAAACTGTAAGAGCGCCGTTTGTGTGATAGAATTTGCAGAGTGAATTACTAGAACTAGAAATACACATTTTCTTTTGGATTTATGGGAAATTCTGTTCTGTTTATAATACGTGTATTTGGACATACTTATTTGTTATCATCTATCTTTTTATGCCGTTAATTTGCCAAAACAAAGTCTAATATCTTGTTTTGGCTAAACATATACGTAGCTGTTGACCCACAAGCCTCCTAAATCCTGTCAAATGTCTTTCTATAGGTCATTAAACCTGAATCGTGCGTGCCCTGTGGAAAGAGGATAAAGTTTGGAAAGATTTCACTGAAGTGCCGTGACTGCAGGGTGGTCTCGCACCCCGAGTGCCGCGAGCGTTGCCCTCTGCCGTGCATCCCCAACATGGGTGGCACACCGGTCAAAATCGGGGAGGTGTGTGTGTGTGAACGGAGTTAAACTGAGTTTATTTCCAATTTAAAATGTTACCACAGTGCTGAAAGTTTATCCCATTACTCATTTGTTTCCAGGGTGTGCTTGCAGACTACGTCTCCGACACATCGCCCATGATTCCTCCTCTCGTTGTCCATTGTATCAATGAGATTGACCAAAGGGGCCTGCATGAGGTGAGAGGTGTTTCCTGTCCTAATAATATGCAGCGATGTGAAAGACTATAAAGCCTCACACCCCAGTAGTTATCTTCTAATGTATTTCCCTTTAGCTGAGACAGAGAGCTGAAACTAAGATTTTTACAATCTGTTCCTGGGAGATTAAATTTGTAATTGGGCTGTGGAAGCGCTCCAAATCAGGAGATTTCTGTGTGACTGTGCTGCTGTCTTCCTTCTGTCTTTAATGTTTTACTGCCGTCTTACTTTCGCTCTATGGGTTTTGTTTGAGGTGGTTATGAAATGTTGGCTTTTTTTTCTCCATCTGAAACAAATTAGCTTCTTCTGTCACTTAGAAATTTCATCTTCAAAGGTCCTAAGCCTGACAAATGTTATGTCAGCTGTTTTGCAAAGAAAAATGTTCTTATTCTTCTTTTTTTTTATATAGTGGGAAGAAATTGTACTTGAAAGAATTGTTTGACATAGAAAAAAATTTGCTTAATTTCTGAGAATTGAATAGGAAGATGGATTCCACCACCATTTCTGTGCACTAAGTACAAAACTAGAGCCAGGGGCTTGTTAGTTTAGCTTAGCATAAAGACTGGAAGCAGGGGGAACCAGCTAGTCTGTCCAAAATTCACTTACCAGCACCACTAAAGCTCCGTAATTAATGCATACAGCAGGAATGTAGAAACGAGAAGTTGTGGTCTTATGGGGCGATCAGTGGCTGGGCACAGATACTTTGAGTTCATTGAAGAAAATTTAACGGCGAATATTTTGTGTTTCTCCGTTCTCAGGCTGGACTGTACCGCTTGTCCGGCGCTGATCGCACAGTGAAGGAGCTGAAGGAGAAGTTCCTCCGCAGCAAAACCGTTCCCGTGCTCAGCAAGGTGGACGATATCAACGCCATCACAGGCCTCCTCAAGGACTTCCTGAGGAACCTCAAGGAGCCTCTTCTCACCTTCCGCCTCAACCGTACTTTCATGGATGCAGCCGGTATGTGTGTGTGTGGGTGGCTGACTGGTGTTAAAAAACCAGTGTTGTTGGTTGCTGCTTCTGATGTGGAGGGCTCCACTTAAAAGAAGTAATGGCACACTACATGAAAGCAGTCGGTAGATATTGAAATAACTTGAAAGTTTGTGTAAGTTCTTGAACATTTACCCAACAGACCTGTTAAATGCATATTTCCACGTTGTTTTGTTCAATTTGTACTGAGCAGTGATGGAAATCTCACTTGCCCGGGGCAAAAAAGAGATTGATCTTTCTGTTTGTTTGCCTTTTTTAGTATTTATTTGTCACTGGAGTCGGGCACATTTTCTTTCAAGTTGTTAAAAATAAATCCACACAATCTCCCATTTCTTGTTCTCTGCTAACAACATTGTTTTCTTTGTTCCCTCTCAGAGGTTTCAGACGACGACAACAGCTTAGCTCTGATGTACCAAACCATCAGTGACCTGCCACAGCCCAACAGAGACACACTGGCCTTCTTAGTCCTTCACCTTCAGAGGTTAGCAGCTACTCTCCTCTAAAAATAATAATATACCTAATTTGAGCTATGCATATTCCAATGCAGCTGATTTAAAAACATTTCCTCCGCTTCGATGCCTAGGATATTCTTGCTACTGATTAAGTGTTGGGGTTTGCTGATATTCACAGAAGTATCTAGTCTGTCTGTAACTGAGCTGTTTTTGAATTTTGCTGCATCCTCTAAGTTTAATTGGGTTAAATTGCTTCAGGCAAAATGTGCTAAGCATATATTAAACACCTGAACTCTATCTCATTACCTGATTTTCAGATAGGCAAAAAAATGCAGTTTATATAACCTAAGATACACGTTGAATGGTTTATATTGTATTCCACATACATTAAATAAACATAATTTAATCTAACAACACCTTTCAGAGTTGCTAGCAGTTTGGACACTAGGATGGACATCAGTAACTTGGCTCGAGTGTTTGGTCCAACTATTGTGGGTCATGCAGTTCCCAACCCAGACCCTATGACAATCCTACAGGATACCAAAAGACAACCTAAGGTAGGCCTGAGTGATTCATCAAGTCACACTGCCACTAACAATGTAAACTACTACATAAAGAGTTAATTACAGAATGTAAACGAATGCCTACTGCTGAAATATATCTATAAAAAAATGGGGTTTGATTTGATGACCATCTTAACGAATCATCACTATGAATGAATCATTTTAAACATTTAGTTTGAAAGAAAGTCAATCATGGGACAAAGTCTTGATAAGATTTTAATAATATTAAAAAGTTATTAAAAGTTTCTTTTACACAAATTATAACTATTTTAATCAATAATCATCACACTTTTTAGCAATAAAACCCCAAAACATTGTAAATGTGTATCCCAATTTGATGTAAGAGACTGACTACAACATATAGAGACCACCAAACATTTATTTTTTTAATTTATTATGTAATACTTACCTTCAGAGCAGCATCATCATAATACCATAGACTTTTTTTTAGTAATTCCCCTCTGTCTTGCCCAAGGCCTTTACATAACCAACTCAGCATGTTGGTCTAGGATGAGGCAACACACTGAAATCACCCCAATGTCTTTTTACATTTTTATGATTTCCCCTTTCCTTTCAGGTCGTGGAGCGTCTGTTGGCTCTGCCGGTCGTCTACTGGGACCAGTTTGTGATGGTGCAAAGCGAGCAGCCGAACTTGGATCACCTGATCATCGAGAACGCAAACTGCTATGCCACCCCTGAGAAAAGTACGTGCTCACTAAACTTTGTCTGTGGTTCTGCAGGGCTTGTATGAGTCTGGGCACTTGTTTGCTGGCTGATGTTTCATCTCAATGTTTGTACTGTTTGCAGTGGGCATGCTGGGACCTCTGACCACTCCAGAGCACCAGCTCAGTAAAACCCCCTCCTCCAGCTCCTTGTCTCAGCGCATGAAGTCCAGTCTGACACCCAGGTAAACATACAAACATCCTGCCCTGCTTTTAACAATCAATGATTAAGTTCCTCTAGAATGACTAATAGTCTACTGCTGATTTAAATATTCAGGAGAGAGAGCTATATACTGTTTTTAGGGGGATTTAGATTAAAAGGACTCTTTTGAACATCTTTCATAGAAGTTAATCTACTGTAAAATATCTCATTATCCTCCATTGACTCTGCTGTATTGACTTTGACTCCTACTTCCATTAAATTTCATTATGTGCACTCTTTGTTGCAGATTTGGAAGCAAGACCAAATCAGCAGTCGGATTTTCACGCCAAGGAAAATTCTTTGCATCTCCACTCCTCAAATAATCCAAAGCAGCTTCACTTAACCTTTTTATTGATCCTGCAATAACAACCAAACATTTATGCATAACACATAACTTGGTACTGCTTTGATTATAGCTATAAACGCCTCCATCTTAGTCTTCTTGTAATAGTTTTAATGTTTCACAGTACTAAGAGTTGTACTTTGATGATTTTACATGTTTGTAAAGTGATTAATTTTTTAACCAAATAGTAGGTTTTCCTATCTATGCACACTCTTGTGTCTTTAGAGCTGATGCTTCTTTTAAATGTTTAACGAGGCATTCTCATTTCACCTCATGCCATGTGAGAATGTACTGCATATTACTCTTTTTGAAGAATGTGCACATAAAAATATGTACTGTAATATGCACAGTTTTATTGTGATCCTCTTCTACATTTAATCATTTCTTTTGACAGTTTTTCAACTCATGTGTCACTCAGAAGTTGAATAACTGATTCTTTGGCATTTCATTCTAGGTTGTAATTGAATGTGTGACTGCAAGTAACATTATGTTTTAGTTTTGATGTTTGTTTATTCTCTTCTGGTAAGTGTTTGATTGTCTTCCAGGTAGTTGTGCAGTAAATGTTAGCAATCTCACAATGCCCAGCCCTTTTACTACTACAACAACTACAAACTAGTTCTAGACCTCAAGGCAGACCTTTCTCATTGGCAGGATCTCCGGCATTATCTACAAACGTGACTGGGTGCAATGTTTTTGGTGATTAATCTGTTGAATAGGGGGACAGTTTTTTAAGAGTCTTTACTGCCATTGTGTTTTCCAGTATATTCTGCACTGCCAGTGATAATCAGGAACATTGTTCACTGGTTTATGTGACAGGCTGTAATCTTTGTCTGAATTTTGCCCCTCTAATGTTTATTGCTCTGTGTGATGTTTGTACTGTGGGCGGTTACTTTATGAGCAATCCCACGCAAAAGGCAATTACTTTGTATGATTGGCCAGTTCAGTTACTGTGGCATTATTTGATTAACCATTAGCACAAATTTTGTACACAAAGACACGCTCTAAAAGTCATGTAACTTATAAAATACATTTCTAACCTTTACAAAAATGTCTTGTGTGCTTTCTTTTATATACATACATACATATTTAATGTTCTGATCTCTGCACTACATCCACTTGTACCATATTACCTAAAATATTTAACTATTGATGTAGTGCACCTAGCTATTTGTGTGTCTTAAACGTCCTGGGAAGGCTTAGGTTATGTCAAAAAAAGAACTGGTGTGTAGACATGTTGTTGGACCATGTTGGAAAGCAAAAGAATAGCTGTTCTGAACAGTCCACAGCTGAAGGTGGCAGGAGAGCCATCACTGACAGAAAAGTAGTGTTATTGTTTAAACATGGGGAGAACAGCACACGTACACCAGAAATGGTGTGACAAAATGAAAGAGCACCATGTAAAGTGGCTGCAAAGGTGTTTTTTTTTTTTTTTGTCAGTTTTGGGAAATTGTGAAACATGTTCTGGCAGATGACTGATGGTTGTTTCAGTTTGACAAAAATCTTAACAAATCTTTATGGCAGAGATGTCCAACCTGTAAATTTAAAGAATTTAGAGAGTAAAAGGTGAAATAATTTCTAATAATTTACAACGCATTGGCCACTGCAGCATGAACCCAGCCTTGGTGCATGGGGTGCTACTTCTACTGGGTGAGCTACCGTGGCGTCCTGGCTTTACAGTCTTGACAACAATGCAGTTATTTAGCTCTCAGTCATTAAACCCCACAAGAGATCTTACACAGAAGGCTTTTATGTAAAGACTAGGAATGATAAACTGGAATTTATATTACAGAATAATTACAGGTGACAGATTATAGCTGCACACTCATTTCAAAGTATTGTGCTCAGAACACCTAATGGCTTGAATGTGTAAATATCCTTTATGTGGAGGCAAATTTTGGTAAATGAATTAAACATAACAAATATGTAACATCAAAATTTAGGCCATGGCCAGAGAAGAGGAGTGTTCTTGATGTAGTCCTGGAAGACAGGGTCAGATCCCCACTTCTTCATAGCCTGCTTCTCCAGGATGGGGATGCCGCTGACGTAACGTAGCAGGAACCAGACGAAGAGAGGTGACGCCGCACTCAGGTACTGGGGCCCCTGCATCACAGATGAGGCTGAGAGCCAGAGACCCGACCACTGCAGGATCTCTCCAAAATAGTTTGGGTGTCTGCTGTAGGCCCACAGTCCACTCTGGATGAACTTCCCCTGGAGGCACAGATGCAAATTAGACCATACAGTTGGTGAATGAGGTATTAATGCAGTTAAGGGCTGCACAACATCAGGTCTGTTGACTTACAGCATTATCTGGGTCACGCTTGAAAAGCCATTTCTGCTGGTCAGCAATAGCCTCAGCAGCGAAGCCAAGGCCCCATACGGTCCAGCCAATATAGTCCCTAGTTCCCAGAGGTACATCTCGCTTCTCACTGTTCAGCATGAGGGTGGGCAGGAGAGTCACATATACCCACATGGCTGAAAGAAACAGGAAAATATGAATCATCTTGAACCAGCTTTTTCCTGAAAAGCTCCATGAACTAAATGCATTTAACTTACCCAACAGCTCTTACCTAGAATAAATGCATGTTAGCGCTACAAACTAGACAGTGATTTATACAAGGCTACCCTCCCTTTAACTGGGTGCTGAGTTGCTCAAGGTCTGTGGCATTGAGAGGAAGGCATTTACATTGCTTCCAAGTACCTTGAACAGTCCAATATACAAAGAAAGTCCCCGGGCTGTCTCTGACATTGTTGAACCTGCGATCATGACCGTCCTTCAAGATCCGCATGAAGAGGAATGTCCCCAGCCTGCAGAAAGAATACGGTTAACGTCCATTCACATTAACCCAGGCATTATTCATTAACCTGACTTCAGGTTTCACATTCATTAGTTCCTCCTCTGACCTCGCCAAGGACCCTCCATAACTAACACAAAACTCTGTGGGTTTTTTTTAATGTAAGAGGGTATAATCTTCATTGCTCTGTGGGAGTTTTATTAAACTGCACTGGGTGTGTATAAGAATGAGGGTCAATACTGCCTCATTTACCTGAGTCCCCACGCTGTCACCAACCCAGTCTGCACCTTCTGACGGACGTGAGTGGCTCCTCCCCAGATACGACTGAGGTGGGCAAGTAGTATAAATGTGCCAGACCCTGGGGGGAAAAAAAGAGAGAGAAGCTGTAGACTCAGGGTGGTTGGATTGGGACATGGGCATGGCGGATGGCCCTACTTGTTGCAGAGTAAGGCGTGTTCAATAAATCTTTTACCCAGGATACTGCAGACAATTGGTTCCAAAGTTCAAGGGTAAAATTTCCTAGGAGCACAGCGTACAGCGGAGAACCAGAAGAGGACGAGTCAAAAGAAAAGTGTCAAGGTACTTCATTTGGGAAAAGAAACCAGACACTGCCGTTGACAGGTAAGCTGCAATGTTCTACGTGTGACAAATGATTTGATGATTTTCTATATTTAAGGACAATCACCTGAAAATCTCAAAATTTGTTATACTTAACTTTTTAGGCTCATAACTTCCTTTGTTAAAACTCACAATCTAATTGGGTGAAAAGTGAGGATACTCTGGCTGCAGCTAAATCTTATGCTAATGATTGTTTTCCATTATTGGTTAATCTGAATGGTGAAAATGTTTCCTAAAGCCCGGGCTGACACCTCACAATTGCCTGTTTTGTCCGACTAACCAAAAGAGTTGCTATCACCTACGGCTAAAACTATTAGGGACATTATTGCTCAAAAAGTAACAAACTTTATCAAAAAGATCAGTTTTATTAGTCTGAAGAGTTTCGGCTGATCGACTAATTGCTTCACCTCTGCAAGACACAAATTAATTTAGTATTCGGTATTTGCTTAATATTTTTAAAACAGGATTACCAACTTTCACCTACTTTTATAAATATTCAGGTAGTTTGTTTATCAATGCAAAAGTGGGACCAGGAAGCATAAATCACTAGTGGAGAGACCAGATGTGCTGATTCTTGATTTGGGGCCCACAAAAATCCCCCTTTCTGATTCAAAAAGAGGGACCCAAGATTCCTCTGTACGCCCCTGCTGACGCTGATTGGATATGTGCTGCTTCCTAATCTGAAGGAGGAGCCTTCTGCCTGTTTCACAACAAAGCTGCTTTAGATAACAGGTTTTATAATCATGACAGTTCAACATCTTAATGCATTGCAGTAATAATTAAATTAAATAGGAAGTGCACAGATGACTTATGGATAAGTCACCTACCTAGAAGTTTATATATGATTCGCTTTTTCTGTCAACACTAATACATTGATGTGAATAACAAGTCAGGCTGCACATGGTCGCAGATCAACACACAAGGAGAGCCACTTTTCCACATTACCTGCCAAATCATAAAACTTCTCGGTTTTGAAAGCTGCAGCCAGAGCCCAGCCGGCCCACTGGATGCCGAGGTCGGTGGCGGCACATTTGAACAGAGTGCTCCCCATGATCGCGTCCTGCAGGTCGGCGAGCAGCGCAGGAAACTGGTAGTTTGTCATAGGGCCACTCCTCCGACAGCCAAAGAAATTTCAACACCGTGGTTAAAGTTCACCGCCGCCATTCTACTGCTGGGAGTGGCTTGACCGCGGGGAAGTCTGGGTATTGTAGTTTATTAGAGGATCAGAGCCAGAGTTTGTGTGGTTCCCAAGCTGAGGTGCTGGGTGCCTTCATGGATCACTGAGCTTTTATTGATCCCCAGAGGAGAAATTGAGGTGTTGCAGCACCAATATATAATTATAAGTATATAAAATAGTTTGTATTATTATTATTATTGTATGTAATATAGAAATATGTTGTAGTGCATTATGTAATAACATAATATAGTATAGAATAAAATATAATGCATATATGTGTGGTATTTATTATATATATGTAACTAAGTACGTTTACTCGAGTACTTTACTTCTGTACAATGTTACTGCTACTGAAAACTAAGGTTTTATCAGCAATATGTCGCCTATTGAAAAGTAACAGTACTCAGTGTTATAGTATTAAACTAAATCATTTCTGGATTATTATTACTGATGCATGTATGTGTAAATATGATTTTACTGTTATAGTTGGTCAAAGTGGTGCTAATTTGAATTATTTTACATAATGTAGTATAATAAATGTAGGATAATCTGTAATTCTATGAGATTAATATGTATTTTAAAATTAATCTGACACTGACTATAACTGTACACAAATGTAGTGGAGTTAAAAGTATAATATTTATATTATATTTATCTGAATTGTAGCAGGGAAGTAGAAGCAAAAAGTAAATGAAAATACTAAAGTACAAGTACATTAAATTTGTACGTCATACAGTACGAGATTAAACTACCCAACAGTATAGATGCTAGTCAAATGTAGCTTCACCTCCACCCCATTTATGCACTTATTAAAAATAAAGTAATATACAATATATAATACAACTCTGAAAAGGGCCATTCAACTGCATAATGAGTACATTTACTTTTAGTCCACTTTTCCTATAATATTACCAACTCTGAATGTCGGACTTTTAGTTGTATAAGTACTTTTTCCATCACTGCTTCCAAAGAGGACGTCTCTCACTACTTTGCTCACTGAGGCGAATACAGAGAGTTTATTTGAATATGCTTCACTTTCCCCATTTTTGCTACTTCATCTAACATTTTACATTTAAATACTCTCTATATATGAAAAAGCCACAAGAGTCAAATGTTACAGCAGCACAGAGAAGAGGTAATAAACCAGAGTGTGTGCAGCAAACTGTTTGAAAATAAATACAAATAAAGTGAGAAATTAAGGAAAGTAGAGAGATGACAGTAAATATATATATATACACACAATACCTTAGACTATATTAAATAATGTGAATGGAAATGTCTGTGTAAAGGAAATCAAGAAATCTTATAATCTTAATAATTAAAATAACATTTTAAGTATATATCCTGTGCAGTATAAGTAACATACACAATAACAAAATGCAATAGGAATACAATTTTATGAAATATATTTGATATACATAGAAAAGAAAATAATAATTTAACATATCATTTAAAAGTACAATGACAAATAATATTAGTAATATAGCATTGTAGTGATATGAGTAATATAAATATATAGATATATTACTACTTGTACTACTACCCCATACTAATAATAATACTATATAATGGAGGACCAGGTGCAGGTGTGTTGTTGTAAAGCACTTGTTTCAATGTGCAACATTAAGGCCAAATACTCCATACACCAAAGGTCTTGAGGTATTGTTGTAATATTTTCTTTCTTCTCTGTATCCCTTTAATCATCAGGAATAAACACTGTCAAGACAAAATATGGCCGAGAATCCAAAAGGCAGCTCTGGTGACTTTGCTAAAAAAGTCCAAAGACAGCTGAGCAGAAGCAAAGAAAAGGTAATAGTCTGCAAGTTTTTGTTTCCCAAATAACAAGAGAAATAACTTATTGCCATTTAGCTGCTGTTGCTTTGAGATATGGGCTTTTTTTTCTGCAGGTACTGCAAAGGCTGGGAAAGACTGTGGAGAGCAAAGATGACGAATTCGAGCGTTCTCTCCAGCAGTTTAATGACCAGCAGGTAATAACCCCCTCTATTTAATAAGGAGATAATAATTATGGAGTTGCTTTATTTTGGGCAGTAAAATGGATTTAAATGTTTGAACTGCTCAAAAGTTCAAAAGAAATAAATTCCCCACTGCTGTCTCAACATGTTTCACTGTGTATGTAGACACTGATGATTTATTGACTATACTCAGTGAATCAAACATCTTAAATGTAATAAATCTAAACGCTGACAGTCATACGCACCTCTTATTTGCAGACTGATGGGAACCGAATGTACAAGGACTTGAGGAACTACATTAATGCAGTTAGAGGTGAGTGTGCTTTTTGCTTGTAGATGCTGCAGAGCTGTAAATTTATGTCCTCTGCAGGTCTCATATTGACAAAAATGGTTTTTTTTTGTTTTTTTTTTTACAGATATGCGTGAGGCTTCAAGACGCCTTTCCCAGTCTCTGTTTGATTCATATGAAACTGACTGGGCTGGAGAGGAAGATTTAGGAGCCATTGTAGAGGTCCGTAGTGATAAAAACCCAGAGCAGCAACTGCTCTGCCCATTTTTGTTGTGTACAAAAGCAGCAATATTCGCCAGGGGAACCAAACCCCTGCTTTCTCCCGCTCTTTATACATAATTAATCCAATATTTATGCTGCGTCTTTTAATAAAGGGGGAGGACCTCCTGTGGAATGACTACGAGGTGAAGCTATTAGACCAGTCCATACGCACCATGGAGTCCTATGTGAGCCAATTCCCAGATGTCAGGGTAAGACAAGAGGAAGCAAGTATGCAAGCAAACAAAAGTGAATACACAGGCAGATAAAAAGGCCTGAGAGCAAACACACAAAAACCAACAAAGGCACAGAAATAGTTCACACACGCACTCATGCATAATTTATCTGGACCCTTTTTTTCAACCTGCAGGAGAAAATAGCCAAAAGGGGAAGAAAACTGGTGGACTACGACTCTGCCCGTCACCACCTGGAGGCACTGCAGACTGCAAAGAAGAGGGATGATGTCAAGATAAACAAGGTGATTAATAATGACATTCATATCTCTCTTTTTTTCCTTGCACTGCGTATTTCCACCTTCCCTTGCTCTGAAGTGTACTTTAACATTAATTCAATTTTTCACTCTGTAGGCAGAAGAGGAGATGAATGCTGCCAAAAGTGTCTATGAGGGAATCAACAATGACTTAAAAGAAGAGCTGCCTGCACTCTATGAAAGGTCTGATAGATTATTTTCTATTATCAAATGATATATTGGGGGTGTTCACATTTCTTTTACATTATGTTTTGATATTTTCCCTTTTTAGCCGTATTGGATGCTACGTCTCAGTCTTCTCAGCTCTATCAAATTTAAGAGACATCTTCCATAAGGAAATGAGCACGGTATGTTTGGCTCTGTGTTGGCATTTGCATTAAGTTGCCACACAATTGTTATAAAATAATCATTTTTTGACCAGTCCTTTCCTTTTTCAGCTCAGTCTTGATCTGCATAATGTGATAAAGGAGCTGCAGGCTCAGCATCCGGACAAAATGTTTGCTGTAAAGGGACTGCAACGGTAAGATTTGTTTTTTAAACTTTACATTATGATTAGTACGATACAAAATGATATCATCTACTCATAAGTTGAAGTTCTGCAAGATTTTATAGATCACAAAACAGTGTAAATTATTAAAGGCAATATTCCACATGTTTTGTGGCCAAACAGTTGCAAATTAGGGCCTAAAGCTACAATATTTACTATATTTTTTGTTATATTCTCCTCACTGACAATACTGTACATCCAAGAATCTGACAGATGTGAACATTTGGGCTGGATTATTTTAATAAATTGATGTCTCTGTTTGGGGATAGAAGCAAAATCTTCAAACAACTTCCTTGCTTTTTTGTCTGATATATTACTCTTGCAAAATGTTTCAGGTACGGCTCCCTGAAGAGACGATCTCTGATGTCCCCTAAGGCCTGGAAAGCCAGCTTTTCTGAGTTTCACAAGAGCTATAGTCCCAGACCTGGCCAGAGGTTTAGTTTCAGGTCCCCTGACAGATCTCGCCAGGGTACTCTGTCCAGAGAGAGCAGCACCCTTGCGGTCTCCCCGCAGTCACCTCTTCTGGAGAGCCCCACCTCTGAGTCCAGGGACCTGGATGCAGAACCGAGCCACAGTGAGATCTCATCTGCAGAAGAAGACACTGCAGCAGGGACGGCTAGAAACGAGTTGGGAGAAGACGGCAATCAGGTGGAAGAGGAGGACAGGAAGGAAGAGGAGTCTGAGCCTAAGCCACCTGCAGAGTCTGAAAATAAGGGAGATGTTGAGAAAGCTCCACCAAGTGAGAGCAGCTCTGAACTGAACAACTCCTGTGATTCAGAGAGCTTGGAGCTCCAGCTGTCAGCAGCAACTGACGGCCCGCTGCACATTGAAGAAAGAGAAGACAGCCCGGTAGCCTTCAACCCTCCTAAACCAAACGGACTGGAGAATGGTGAAGTTTCTAAGGACCTGAGCAACAAGGTTTGTCGTTTGATTAGCACACAGCTGAGGAACAGTGATGCAAACCTTCTCTATGAGTTGTTTTCTCTCCTGTTTCACACACTTTTCTGTCCCATTCAGGATGCTCCTGCAGAGAAACAGGCAACTCCGGACTCAAAAAGCACAACGGTTTAATGTATTCAAACTTTAATAGAAGGTTTGTATGTTTTTTTAATGTCACATATCAATCTCCTTGCTCCCTTCTATCTTGTTTCTGACTGAGCTTTTTATAAATCAGTGTCTGCTCTGTGTTCCTTTAACAGAGAAGCACAGAAGAGATTGAAGTCAACAGCTGCACAAGAGAGAAAAAATGTGGAGACAGCCGCACTGAAGTGTCCATCTGTGGTGTCAGGAATGATGTGCTATGCATTGACGTGTCGGTGCTAGTTTTCTTATTTATCTTTTATTGAAATCAGCTGTGGATAGACTACACCATATAGGTAAATCTTCATCTGTAATATTTTTGTAACAGCAATGCTTTATCTCAATTATCCTCTCAAGAAGTATAGATACATGTGTACATGTCATTTTTGGAGCAAACATTGTCCCACAGATTCCATTATATTCTGCACCAAACAGGTTATAATCAGATAAGTTATCTCATGTGTCTAATGTCAGCAAACACACATGCACTTATAGGTTTACAAAACTGTCCTGCAGTATAGCTCACCATATGCAGACATACTGTACTGTGGTCTCAGTTTAGAAAGGAACTGAGATCAACTCCATTCTCATGTAACCACTTAACCTAAAGACTGAAAGTAAATAGAAGTTTCAATGATTTTCTTTTCTTCTATTTCTATCTATTTTATTTCTTAACCAGTTTTGTTGGCAGGGATTCATTTTTTGAATCTTTTAATCTTTTTCACTCGCACAAAGACGTGATCTGCTAATTAGTTGTGCACTGAGAAGATAAATCATTGTGTAATTCTGAACATTTTTTGGTTCACATTTATACTCATTTGTTTGATTTTAATCATTTACAACACACACACCCTCAAGGGTACAGCTAATAGATGGACATCTGTATAAAATAAATGATGAATGTAAAACTGAATTGAATTTAATATTGTGTCAAAAGCTGTGGATGCTTCTCTGCCAATGGAGGTTTAACATGATAGTGACAAAAACAGAGAGCTCTCACTCAGCCCACATTTCTCAGCTCACTTCATTATGAACACAACATAACACAGGAAAGCTATAGAGACATGTCTTTCTGCTTTAATGGTTATTAATTTAAAGCATTTAAAACGTTTATTTGTACCAAATTCCCCCTAAAAACTGAAAACATTGAATTGAAACGATGAATTCTAGAGCTAAAATGGCTATGAGATGATAATAATGATATTTGTATAGCACTTCTCAGTTACAATGTGTTTTACAGAACAAGATGTCTTTACTAGATTAGTTTGATGATATAAAATCAGTTTTTACTTACACTTCATTCATTACGAGAGGAAGACATCAGATGTGTGCTTCCTGAAATTTGTCGAGGTCTATTGTCCCCACTGGCTTTCACTTCTTGAATTGTAACAACGAGGATCTCTGTTATGGCGGCCAGAATCAGGACACAGAAACCACTTGCTGATCTTTCTGATTTTATATGTGACGATGATAAACCTGCTTCTCTGTGAAACACAAACTTAAATGTGGCACCAAGTGTGTGACAAAGGTGACGATCAAGAGGAACCACAGACGTTTTCAAAGACAGCATTCGAGCAGGATGAAGCAAGTTTAAATGTTTGAACCCTTTCAAATCTTTTCAGTGTGTGGATGATTATTTCCCTCTGATGATCTCTGCAGCTGTCAGCTTGAGAAACAACATTGTGGAACAGAAAGTGGGTGGACTTTTTTTGGAAATATTTGTTGATTACACAAACAGAAAAGAAGGAGAGCTAGTTTGTGCATTATCTAGTAGGCTAATAAGACGTTAAATTAAATTCATGGGTAGTTGATTTGTTACAAAACCAAGAAGCCTTCTGCAGGCTTCCTCCAGGATAACGGAAGTATTGACTTGTTGGCTGAATCCAAATAGAAAAGGTGGTGCTAACACTTTAAAGGTTTACCAGCTGTAATTTGATTAACAGCTAACAGAGATTCAACAACATATCTTATGTCATGCAGGCACAGCCAAATAAGGGGGGTGACACCAAGTGGTCTTATGGAAAATAAGTTTGACCCAAATTTAAAAGTCAGTATATCTCAGCCACAGATTTTGATCCTTCATCTTTAAATCTGTCACTGCCAAAGTCCTTCAACTTTATGTACGTGTAATACTAAATCGCTGAGTTACAGGTAACCTTTAGCCTTCAGATAATACTTCATACAATAAAAAGAAAAATGTGCTTATCAAGATATTTACTTTTCTTTCCTCACTGTAACTAATCATTTATCAAATGCATAAATCTGCCTTTTAACAAACCATAGCAAGACTCCTCTGACAATATGTGGCTCTACAGATCACTTCGAGAGAATTTGGAAACCATTTATAGAATATATTTAAGATAAGCTTTAGCTGCCGCACCCTCCTGAATGTAACTCCATATGGAGTAATTAAAAATGAATTATTATCTTGTATCTATCTCTGCCTTTGTACCTCTGTAGCCCATCACAATGAGGTAAGCCTCGGGCCTTTACTTTGTGCAACTGCCTGTTTGTTAACATGTTTTTGTGTATAAACTGCATCACTTTAATCCCAAGACACATGGTTTGAATGCAACAACGCTAAAGGACACACTCTTTCACTGTGGATGGGGATGTAATGTGGTCAGAAGACAGGATCAGCCAGATAACAAACCTGACAATCCATTGTTTGTCTAAGTTATATATTCTGGTTATTTATCCAAACGATGTTATTGCTAAGAAGAATGACTGTGCATTAATAGATTTGTGTCTTTTACAAGCTAAAAGAGCAACAGCTACAAGCTGGAGACAAATGTTAATAAACCAAGTATGAACCAATGTATGAAGGATCTATCATTATGTGTCTTAATGGACAAACTAACGTACATTACTGAAGGAAAGCTTAGAGTTTCTGAAAACATCTGGGGGAGCTTCATGGAGCAGGGTCACGGGTATATGATTATTTTAAAGTATTTATTTATGTTCCTTTTCATTTGATGATTAACTGTATCTGCTGCCAAAGCTGTCTATTTTTAAATTTTATTTATTTTTTCAATTAGTGTATTAATATCTAACAGATGTTCTAAAACAGCAATAAAAACATTGTATATTTAAAAAATTGTGTATGTTTTTATTTTTCTTAGCCGTTTTTAGTCATTAAACTGGTGCTGATGATGTGCAATAAGTCGATTAAATACCCGGGTCAATGTGCAATACACTTGATTATTATGTTATTACTATTTAATTTCTTTCAGCACATACTATATAATATGTTTACATTTACTTTGTATATACGCTCTTATTATCTTATTATATCTCTTACACTCTTATTATATTTATATTTCAATTTTTATTTTTACTTTTACTTTATGTATATTCCTATACATTTCTATTCTGTATATCGTGTTAGATAATATAAACATAAGTTTTATTTCTATTCTTGAACATGTGTGAGTAGAACATTTAACGTATTGTTGTGCAGCTGTTCTGTATGTTCCTAAAAAAGCCAATAAGAATATGTAATAAAAAACAAACAAAGTGGGGGAAAGTGAGGCACAGAGCACCTTTCAACTCAGGTTTCTTTGTTAACTCTTCACTGTTTTGCACTTTAAGTTATATGTGCTATTTTAGTTATATTTTAACTTAAAGGGAGTCGGGCAAAGTAAGAATAAACCTCTAAACATTTAATTTACCTGCACATGTTTCATTTCTAGTTAAATTTAATGTATGGCTACCGTGTTATAAGTTTATCTATCTATCTATCTATCTATCTATCTATCTATCTATCTATCTATCTATCTATCTATCTATCTATCTATCTATCTATCTATCTATCTATCTATCTATCTATCTATCTATCTATCTATCTATCTATCTATCTATCTATCTATCTATCTATCTATCTATCATCTTTGATCTTTGAAAATCTACTTTGAAACCAGACTCCTCTTAACCTAACAGAGGAGTGATGCATCTCGCTCACAGAAGATCTTTGACAGAGAAGAAGGAGGGAGGAAAAAAGGGGGAGGAAAGGGAGGGGCGGAAATCGAGAGCGTGTGCCGCATGACTCACTGAGTGCTGGGAGAAAAAAAAAAAAGTATATGCACTTACTGTATTTCACAGACGCAGTTCAGACGCCTCAACAGCTTCAATTTCAAAACTCAAAGTTAGCAGCGTGCGCTCGTTTTGCTCACCTTTTAGAAGAAAAAAAAAGAGTTGAAAAGTGGACCACCGCCGCCGACAGTTCGGGGTTACTGTCACTCTCCGCTGCGCCCAGGTAAGCTCCACACAAACAGCTGTGATGAACAATGTCTGATTGTTTTTTTTAAAAAGGCGTTTTGAGAACCGTGAGTTACTTTACCTGCTACCAACTCCAGGGTGGGGTGGGGGGCTTTTATTTGTTAAGCGAGCTGACCTGAATGGTGGTGAAGCAGTTTTTAGTTTTTCCCCTGACAAGAAGTGAGTGAGAGGGACAAAGAAAGTCAGCTGTGGTTGATGAAGTAACAATGGGAGAGAAAAAAAGGTGTCGACCGGTTAAATAAATCGTGTCGAGCTCCAGCGTGGTTAGAAACAGTGACTGCGGAAATGTCAGTGAGATGTTTGGTTGTTTATTGTTTGGGTTTTTTTTGTGTGTGTTTACAGGTATATATTAACCAGTGAGTTTACCAGAAGTAACCATGAATAGTAAGTCAAAGTGCTTCTTTAGAGCTTTTGCTAAATGTCTTTCTGCCACACATTTGATTGTTGTTATTCTCCTTTTATCCTGCAGCGAATATTTGATTAATCCATCAAAATAAAAAGAATTTGCTACTATTTTTTTTTTACATTTTCAAGCAAAAACTACAAACTTTTGATGGTTCCAGGTTTCTCAAATGTGAGAATGTGTCCTACATTGTAGTCAACTGACTGACTTTGGGGGTTTTCAACTGTTTTATTGTACTTTACATACAACATAGTTTTATAAAATATGATGTGTAGTCACAGATTAACCCACCCAAAAGTGCAAAGTAGTTCAAACTAGCTCCACCTCCACCAGATACAACAATATATGCATCAGTAACAATAACCCCATAAAATAATATAACTGGGGGCTAAAAAAACCAGTATTTTCTCTATTAAAGGTTTGCTGTAGATGAGGCCTTTCCTGTTTTTTCACGAGTTTCACAGCCACCATAGTGATGTTCAGTTAGTCCAGTCTGAAACTTCACCGATAGATGCCACTGAATCCTTCACACTGGTCCTTTTTTTTAAAAATCATTTCATCTAAAAAAAAAAAAAACCCATCAGAAAATGGTGAAAAATGCCTATTAAAAGTATCCTAGCTGTCTTGTTCTGTGGGAATAAGATAATATAACCAAAATACTGGATTTACAGTGTATTTATTGTACTGTGTAAATAAGAAAAGCAGGAAATTCTCTCATTTGAGAACCTTAAACCAAAGAATGTTTGGCATTTTGGCTTTAAAAACGACTCAATAGTAACATTTTCTGTTGATTGATCAATCAACCAATCATTGCTGCTCTATTGCTGATACCATTTTAAAAGCAGAACCTTTTCCTTGTAATGGCTGTAGTGTTTCATAGTGTGGTATTCCTACTTTTTCTCCATTAAAAGATCTCCATATTTCTTCCACCCCTGGTCTGTTTTCTGATTAAGTTCATTGCATCACCGAGGAAATAAGAGGCGGACAGGTTTCAGTCCCAGCCCTTAATAATCAGATTACTGTGTCACAACACTTAATATTCCCTTCCTCAGCCAGCAGCTATGCAGTTACACAAGTCTCTTCTAGCAGACTGCGTGCTGAAGATAGAGCCCCTGTGACATTTTTAACATGTTTTTTTATCTTCCAGAATCAGACATGGTGCCTTCGACAACGCTCTCCTCCTATACAAACGCAACAGCTGTGACAGAGGGTGAGGACATTGTTTGTTTTTTGTATTTTTAGCTCCGTTATTAATGTATCCACTCTGAGTCGCAGCCAACAACAATCCTGATATCATAACCCTTTTTTTTTTTTCCTTTTACTTTGTGCTGTTTTATCCAAACATGTCATGCTTGTGTGTGTTTTCCTTTTGTTCAGCACCAGATATGGGACTTTTAACATCACTTCCCACACAAGCAGACACCACCATGATTCAGGGTAACTCCTACACTTTTTGTTCTTTATTTTTTTTATTTTTTCTATTACTGGCACACAAACCGGTCTCCTCCTGGACCCACACATTTGTGAGACACAACACAGTTTACTTCCTGTCAGATGCTTTACAGTCGAACAAACTCATGACCTTTCTACTTCGTCTGTTACCTGACACCAGTGGTTTAAAAACCAATTTACATGTTTTATTCCCCCCCTCCCTTTCAGTGGTAACAACAGCAGCCCCCACAGGTCCAGACTCCGCAGTTATTGCAGGTAACTGTTCGCACTTTATGCTGAACTCGCGAGGTCATAATGTTTTAAAAACTGCATTTTAAAAAGATGTTTTGCGTTGTTTGTTTTTTTCTTTCTTTCCTCCAGTGGTTATTGTTCTTATCCTGCTGACGATAGCTGCCTTGGGCATCCTGCTTTACCGGTATCTCTGCCACAACAAAGGAGACTACAGGACGACGGGGGAGCTGGCTCCGGGAGAGGACCCCGATGAAGAGTACAGTAACCAGGCTATGAGCGAAAAGAAGGAATACTTCATATGAACCTGGTGAAGCCCTACAGGGAGTGAACAGGGCTTAAGAAAGAGAAAAAAGGGTCTGTGAAGGACTAGGACTGTTTTTTTTTTTTTTGGTTTTTGTATCTGTGTTTTGAGGGAAGGCTGCTACTTGCTGCTCACGGTGGAGGAGGGGGGGCAAAGAAAAGAACCTTGTTTATTAAAAAATGATTATGATAAACGGAGAGAGGAGCACGAGCAATACCAAAGATAAGGTTGTTGTAGTGAGAGTGCGGATTGATGGATGGAGAGCAGGTGAACCAGACAACAGGTGTGTTCAGATTAGCAGAGCTAGGCGTGAAACAGGTGGTGGGATTTTAAAATATCACAGCTACGCGATCAGTTACAATCAAAATGTAAGATTATCTCATCCGCTACACTATTTATCAGCCAGGTTTCCGTTTTTTATTTAGCATTTATAATATGTTGTTTTGATTCAGACATACTGTATTCCCCCCCTCCCCCCCAACAAACCCAGTACAAGACATGTTCTGGGGCTACTGGGGGCAATTACTTTTATATTGATTTGCTTTTAAGACGATAGTTTTCTATGCAATTCTTTTATAAGCTAGTCAAAAACAGCTTTTTGTATTTGATTTTACTGTACCTGGTTTTGTTTTGTATTATTCCTCGCCAGACTTTGGTTACTGATGACTTCCCTGTTTGAGATAAATGTGGAAGACAATAAAAGGTTGTTTTTCAAACTTGTGTCGTTTTACAGCCCGGCAGATTAGTGGTATTTAATGTATTCTATAATAGGCAATGTCATGATCATCAGCATTGCTGCCCACAATTGGATTTGTTGGAATCGGAGATGGGTGCACAAATGTTTTAGAGAACATACTGCACATTACACTGAGTTTGTTAAGATACATTTAGATACATCCAATATAGTATAATCCAACAGTCCAGCACTGAATCCCACGATCATGAAGCGTATGTTCAGTTTTTGTTGACGCAGCGTTTGAAAAATTGATTAGCTGACAAAATAATAGACACCTTTTCGGTAAAATGCAATACAAGCCAACAAACCAGGGATTCAAATGATCTCACGGCTGTGAGTCAAAACCTTCCTGTCACAATGTCAGCAAAAAACTGAATTTGACAAGCTTCATTAAGGTGTGATTTATCGTGGGCTGTTGGATCAAAATGCTATGGATGAGATAAACTGGCAACTCCGTGTTGTGCTGGGCGGTTTTGACAAAAATACACATCCATATTTGACTCAATACTGTTTATATCAAAGTGACAATAGTTGGGTTGTGACTATTGGTTCTTTCATACAGTACGTATACTAAATTAAGGTGGATGATGAGGATTTCTGACAAAAAAATCTTGGTGATATTGGTATGAAGGCCAAGCAAGTAGGAGCATCCACTCAAACAAGTTGATAAAACGATCAATTACCTGTGATGCAGTCTGGCCAGGGGAAAGACAACATTTAAGCTATAATCACAACATAACAGTAACCAAAATCTCAGATGTTCTCTCGGATCAAAATCATGAAATAAATACCTGCCCTGTTCTAATACATTGTATATGTGGATAAAATTAAAACAAACATGCAACATTTCAAATTTCCAAAATAACCTTTATTCTAAACTTACATTTTAAATTTTAAGTTTAGTATAAAAAAGTTAAGTGCACCTAAGTTCTTTTTTTCAAAGTATTCCATCTTTGACACTCATCTCCTTTAGTAATCTTAAAAGATAGAATGTGTACCAAAGTCTATCACATCACTTTAGTACATACATCTATTTTTACAAAATATTGTAAAGAGAATCCCTGAACTATAAATGTCCATAATCCTTCAACAAAGGGGGTAATCCATTTGCTGGCTGTGGTTGGCATAGCATCTACTGGTCAGCTGTAGTTTACAGTACTTCATATTGCTGGGACAAAGCCACCATTATGCTGCTTTACAAACAATCAGAGCAGAGATGGAGAGAGAGAAGAAAAAAAAAAAATACACATTTGTTTGAATAATATTTTAAAAGCTTTGATAGCTGTGGCCTCTTCCCCAGCAAAGCTGTATGAAGCGGCGGAATGAGTGAGATTTTAAAAACACGAGTGACATTGTTAGTCACGTCCGTTGTAGTAGCTGTGTGTCTGTGTGTGTGTGTGTGTATGAGCTGCTGAGAGGAGGTTCATCGGATGAATGAAGCACGTTTTCCAGACAGCCGGTCTTTCTCACATAAATAACACTGAAATCACTCGATGTTGGTTGACAGCAAACAGCATTTGTTTTCTGGTGGCCACAGCTGTTAAAACTTGATATAGTATGTCGGATACCCAGTGACACATTGACGCTACCACACACCAAAATGAAGAATATCTACAAATATACGTTTATGGTATCTATACTTACTTCCCTACTTTTTAGATACCTAAAGTTCACAACATAACGTATTATGTAAAGATTCTAAAGAAGTGTAATTACCAGCACAAAAGTGTCTTTTTAAATGAACTATTATGCTGACGGTGATATAGCCTCATTGCAAGTGTTTTGCATACACTTTAAGGCTACTGAACAACACGACACATCATGACGTTATTTTCAAATGGACTAGAACTTGATGAATTTTAAAATCTTAAAAAAGAAATGTTGAAAAATCTCACAGCTTTCTTTAAAAACTCATGAAAAAAAAAAGAAAAAGAGTAGCCCCTTGTTTGCAACCACTCAGATTTGCTTAGCAGTGCATCTCAGATAAAAAGTATTTAATCAAATTTGTACATAGCAAAGGTGCAAAAGTATGCAACGACTTAAAAAAAAATGCAATTAACCCACATAAAGTGACATGAACACATTAACTAACATGTCAGACTGAAGATCTAGGTACCAACAATCTCATAACTGCGTATTCAATGATATGTTTGCTTTTAAATTGTGACGTTTTAAATTTCAAGTCACAACCAAACATAAGTGCATTATAGACCAAATCTTTGGTACAACCAGCTCATTGGTCATACTAACGAATGTAATAGCCTAACTACTCATGTAGCACGCTTAAGATGTGGAATAGTAATGGAAGAAATAAAAGAAACACTGAAATATTTATAGAAGTCTCCTCAACCTTTGAAAAGTTTAACTAGAAACTAATGCTATCACAAAAGTGACATTTTTCTTCTTCTACAGTGAATAAATATGTTTAACAAATTATACGGTGTGAAATGACAAAGAAGGAACAATGGAGGGTAGTTCTTGAAATCTGCACAATAAAACATTTAGTGTATAAAGTCTGGGTATCCGACTGTGAAATAGAAACAAGAGACAAAAAAAGCTAAAATGTTACACCAACCACCCCTTCCCATTCAACTTACTATTTGGATTTACTTTAAATTTCTTTCCTTTAAGTTTACTGAAGTTAATTTGCTTTAAATTAGGGCTATCCCCAGTGCTCTTTGGCACTTGACTATGTTCATCTACAAGTTGCCCAACAAGGTACAGTAAACCACTTTGGATATTGCATGAAATCTTTTCTTGAATTATTTGCTTTAGCTTAAATTTATTTAATTTACAAGTGATTTTAATGTAGGAATCTGTCAGATGAGACAGTTCACTGTGCAACAAATTCGCCGTGTTATTTTGGATACTGTGCAAAGGACAAGACGATTCTAGCTAAAAGCATCCAGGATGCTCATTCTTTTTTTTTTTTCTTTTTTTTTAATAGTCGAGATGTAAATTCTTATGATCATCATACTGATATTTACATGGAACTATTACACATCTATTAATTTAACTACACTAAAAGTTTTCAAAAAGACAAGTGGAGATTTCTTTTTTTTTGCGCTTTCACTGCAACTTTGTAACTGCATTTCACTTTCACCATAAAGCAGCTAAACTATATAATGCGGGTCTGATATTTCAACATTTCATTTATGTAGCTTTACAGGTATACAAGAACATCTCAATGTAATTTGTGATCTATTCGATCAAAGGAGACAAGGTCTCTTGAACAAATACAGATGCCTGAAAGAGGTCCAATCTGGAATGACCAAAGAGGTTTGTGACGAATTATGGAATGAATTCTGCGACATTAAAAATTTTGCATTTGTCCTCTCCAGGCAGTGGCATTCATCATTTGATCTCTAGGTCAGAAGTGGAGTACTGTACCTTTCACGAGGGCTCTAAAATATTACATTCCATTAGGTGATATCAGTATTGTGGCATGGCCAAGCAGCCTGAAGAGGGAGGCGTATGGGATGGGGGAAGAACTGGGTCATCATTTGGGACGGGGACACGGTTTAGGCATGAAGGAGGAGTTGAGGACTTGCTGTTACCAGATGGTATAACCTCCACTGGATCCACCAAGGAAGAAGTTATTCTTGCGCTGTGTCATTACAACATTGGCATTCTGCATGGCAGCCAGCTGAGCTGCATTGGGGGGATGTCCAGGAGGTGGGGGCTACGGGAGAAACAAGCAAAGGAATATGCATTGAGGTGATCAGCTTTGGATTTTATATATTCCAGCATCCAGACGTAAGATAACACTCAACAACATCCTAACTGCAATAATGAGTTGAACAAGGGGGGGATACTCACTGGGATGGAAACACTGCTGCCTGCTGTGAAGCGAGCACCAGCATCAAAGCCACCTTCCACCATCACTGTTGAACCAGGGGGGTACATGGCTCCCATGGGATAGTAAGCCATGGGGACATTCTGGCCCACCGGTCCAACAGACATATGTGGCTGCATGGGCATGAACATCTGAGCACCAGGGTAGTGAGAGGACATCTGAGGCAACTGACCAGGCACCTGAGGTGGAAGCACATATCTGGGCTGGTATATCTGCAGACACAGAGACAAAAAGGACAGGTTTAAAACGGTTTACAACTGTTCATATATGTTTATAATCGTATATGACATGTACATGTAATAGTTACCTCAGAATATGCAGGTGGTGTGTCTGTGTAAGGAGGTGCCTGAGGAGACATTTGCATAGCAGGAGGGTATACAGGTGCAGTGCTCTGCTGAGGGTACACAGCCTGCTGTGGATATGAACCTGCAAAACAACATTTTACTTTCAGCAAATGACCATTTTTTAGTCTTAAAAAGTGACAGACACAGAAATCCCAGCCTGAGGGAGTAACAGTGTATTCGTGGCAAAGTGTTGTGAAATATTTCAGCAGTAAACAAAGTCTGAGAACTTTAGAGGCTTCCGAGAAACATCAACAAAGTATGTGACACAGGGCAAGACAAATATGTCCCGTTAACGGCCTGGATGGAGGAAAGAATACCACATTTTCGGCAGTAATAGAAAATATTTTTCTATTCAAATAGCATTGCTTGTGGGGTGAAATGTAGTGTCACTTCCACTGCCCCATGATGGAGAGCAAGGAAAAACCCTGAAATATAAAAAAACGGCCCTGAGAAATTTTCTTTCAAGGGTGCATATAAATCCTATAATGACATGAAAAAAATGTACACAAGTTTAAGCTGTTAATTCCAAATAAATATAAAATACAGTTTAAATTTTTGGTTTTTTTCAGTTCCTAGGTTTAAAAACTGACAAAACATTTAAAAAATAAATCTAGGAAAACATACAAGATAATTAAACTATAAGCCAATTATTTGATTAGTCAATCCACAGAAAATACAATTTTAGAATCAATAAGTATTTTTTTAAAGCAAAAATTGTTAAATCATTTGTTTATTCTGTCTATTCTTGATGGACAAAACCATAATTTAAAAAAAAAGGCA